CGACTGCGAATTTTCATCGCCGCTAACCCCATACAGTTGAGCAGTGTGCAGTGGTATTAGTGACATGGGCTCATGCTGTTCATGACAAGTAGTGGCTGGCTGCTTCCTTTCAATCGCAGCTTCATTCATCAAACTTTTAGGTTCTTCTGTAGATACCGAAGCATTATATGGAGAGTCTACGGAGTGCGTAAATTCTCCATATAGTCTCTAATTCATGCTGACGTCCGGAGGCGGAGTACAGACTTCTGGGCGCCAGCAAGGATGCGATTGAGTATCAGACGCACAATGAAATAATTCCAAAGAAAAAAATTTCCCAAGATTGTGGCAGCGTGTGTATGAGTTTTCGGAGGCCCATGAGGCTTGGCAGCAGGGACAAAAGGGCCAGGGAGTCAACACTTTGGCCCACAAGAAGCATAGGTTTGAACCGCATTACAGGCATTGGTATTGGTTCTCGGGCCTCTGCCACCGGGGTCATAGTTGCGGGGTCTACACAACATCCCACAACAGCCGCAACAAGCAGGTCCCATAGCAAAGCTGATATCTTGAGCCTTGGCCTACCAGGATGGCTATATGCACTAAGCACATTGTATCTCAATGCATGCTCAGCCTTCGAAGGTAGAATATTCTGCAGGTACCAGAGTATCAAGGATGTATTGAAAGAGTACTTGATCGGCCTAGGTTCATAACTGAGTGGATCGTGCGGTCCACCAGTCAATGGAGGATTTGAATTACTTATTAGAAAACTCGTTCATGAAGATGGATCTGCCAAATCGACATTGTTCAACTACGCAAATCTCTGTCACCCAACCCCCTTCTCATGAGCAAGTGCTTCTCATATGGTGCTTCTCATACAGTGCTGGCTCCGCATAGCTGATCAAAAACGGAGAATCGACGGCTTTCGCTTATTGGTCAATCGAATCGCCAACATATCAAACAGCCCCGACCATACACGGAAGTCAGCCCTCGAAGTCAGAAACATTCAATCCTACAGTCCAATACTGTCTGAATTCGAAATCTCGCCATAATCGACTTCCGGGACGCATTGTTCGCCTCGCTTCCACCCTCTCCTGAATGGGTTCCCTTCTGGAGCAGTCCGTTCGAAGGTGCGCTGCCAGTCTCCCTCATCTGACTTGTAGCCCAATCGGTCCCACGAGGAATTCTACGTTTCATCTAATATGTTATTCGTTAATCCATGTGTGTCGATTCGTCTTGGCGATTATATCTGGCTTCCAAGATGGTTGGCCGAAGCTATCTGTGATCGAGTGTTTTGGCTTGACGATTGTTGTTTCGTCGTTTATGGTGGCTCTCTATACCGATCATTATGAACAGGGTTGATCTTGTACGTCATTTGGCTTCCCTGGGAGTTCTCTGCCAATGCATTTAGGGAGGGGGACGGAAATGAGAAAATCACAACTTACAATCAATTGGTTGAATAGATAAAGTAGAAATGAGCACATAGGGCCGTAGATCAACAGATTATTTATCGTGTCTGCACGCGGAAAGATAGGTCTAGAGGATGTTCCGTAGGCCGATTAATAGTTGTAGTTAGGATGCCAAGCCCTCCCAATGCGAAAGGTAGCAAAGGCGGTAACCAAGTGGCCAGCAAAATCTCACCGCCCGACAGATTTTCCTCCCGAAAACTTTCAGGACCAGAACGAAGAACTCACCAACAACAACAGATTATTCCCAAACCACATTGCACCATGAAACGAAAGCTCGATGCAAATGACGTCCCGTCGCCAGAGTCTGCTGGCAAGACTGAAATCCATGATTCCGACGATGCCAGTTTTGAAAGTCTCAACCTCGACCCAAGATTACGCCAAGCCTTGACCAAAGAGAAATTCTCGAAGCCGACTCTTGTCCAGGCAAAGGCGATTCCATTAGCGCTTCAGGGGAAGGATATTCTGGGTGAGTAAGAGTTATTGCATTGTGATGGAGAAACTTGAAGAAAAGGAAATGATAAAAAGAAACTAACGAATTCAGCTCGCGCAAAAACTGGTTCCGGTAAGACCGCGGCTTACGTCCTACCGATTCTGCAGACCATTCTGCAGAAGAAGGCTGTTAGTACTTCTCTTGATTTCTTTGGAACAGTTTGAGTACTCATGAACTACAGGCCGACCCCTCGTTGAGAGCGACATCCGGTCTCATCCTCGTCCCAACCCGAGAACTTTCCGAACAAGTCCAGAATGTCGTGACCACCTTCGCAGCCTTCTGCGGAAAGGAAGTTCGTTCCGTAAATCTTACGCAGAAGGTTTCCGACGCAGTTCAGCGTACAATGCTCGCCGATTGCCCGGATCTGATTGTGTCGACCCCCTCGCGTGTCCTGTCCAACATTGGCAATTCCGCTTTGTCACTCGACAATCTGAGTCACTTGGTTATTGACGAGGCGGATCTTGTGCTTTCGTATGGATATGACGAGGACATTCAGGCGCTGTCGAAGGCGATCCCTCGTGGTGTGCAGACATTCTTGATGAGTGCTACCCTTACTGCGGAGGTTGATACCCTGAAGGGTCTGTTCTGTCGGAGTCCTGTGACCTTGAAGCTTGAAGATAAAGACGAACAGGGCGCTGGTGTGAGTCAGTTTGTTGTCAAGTAAGAATCTTGTCAATTGAGTCTTGATACGACCCATTGCTAATTCATCGCAGGTGCGCGGAGGACGAAAAATTCCTCTTGACCTACGTCATCTTCAAGCTGCAGCTGATCAAGGGCAAGGTCATCGTTTTCGTCGGTGATATCGACCGCTGCTACCGTGTAAAGCTTTTCTTAGAGCAGTTCGGTATCAAGTGCTGTGTGCTCAACTCAGAATTGCCCGTCAACTCCCGAATCCACGTCGTGCAGGAGTTCAACAAGGGTGTCTACGATATTATCATTGCTGCCGATGACCAAGAAGTGATGGGCATTCGCAAGCCCAAGAAGTCTATCAAGGGAGAAGAAGGCGGCGAAGATAAGACACAGTCCAGTGACGAGGACGAGAATGAAGGAGAGACCAAGCGCCGCAAACTGTCTGGCAAAGAAAAGGATTACGGTATCTCCCGCGGTATCGACTTCCAAAATGTCGCCTGCGTCCTGAACTTCGACCTGCCTACCTCCTCCAAGTCCTACACCCACCGTATCGGCCGTACCGGAAGAGCAGGCAAGGCCGGAATGGCACTCTCCTTTGTCGTCCCATCAGATCAATTTGGCAAACACAAGCCCACATCAATCTCCTCCGCAAAGCACGATGAATCCGTCCTCGGGAAGATCGTCAAGCGTCAGTCCAAGCTCGGCCACGAAGTCAAACCTTACCACTTCGAAATGCAACAAGTCGAAGCATTCCGGTACCGTATGTCCGACGCTCTCCGCGCCGTAACCCGACTTGCCGTGCAAGAAGCCCGTGCACGCGAAATCCGTCAAGAACTTATCAAGAGCGAGAAGCTCAAGCGCCACTTCGAAGAGAACCCTGAAGAATTGCGACAACTGCGCCATGACGGGGAGCTGCGTTCTGCACGTATCCAGCATCATCTCAAACATGTTCCGGATTACCTGATGCCCGCTAAGGGGAGAAAGGGTATCTCAAATGAGGATATTGGGTACGTTGGGCTGCGGAAGACAACCGATAACCGGATTCGGAAGGCTAGAGAGCGGAATCGCAAGGCTGGACGGGGCCGGAAGCCTGGCGGGAGAGTTGATCCATTGAAGACGTTTAATCGTGGGAGAAAATAAAAGTTTGTGTTCTTGATGATACCATTGTCTTTGTGGTCAGATGTAAATATAGATAGGTATAGTTCAATCAAAATATATAACAGTGTAATAATCACAGGTCTCGGTAGAGAAGGTCTCACTGGCATTTACTTCTGTGTATCGTCTTTGCTAAAATATATTCCCCTCTTTTGTTCCTGGTTCATCTTCTGGGATACATACTTGATACCACGAGATGACCTGCACCTCCAAGAGAAACGGCCCAATAGAATATATCCTCTCTAATCCCCATCCGCTAGCCTGGGGCTTCCAGAGCGAGGGTTGAAGCTACAGAACAGCCGTCAGTTTCAGGGTTTCCTGCGCTGCAATGTCGTTTTTCGTCTTCTTGACCCTTGTTAGAAGCTACTCCATCCCAAGCGGCAAGGGAAGAGAGGATCTAACTATTATTAAGCGAAAGACTCACAGACCGATGGGAACTAGGGAAGTTGATCGATAGAGCATAGCTCCAGCGCTAAACAATTTATGACCCGAAGCGACAACTATTACTTCCAGAAAGGAAGATAACGGTAGGCTGTGAGCAATAGATTCTTGCCTGATTTGATTACCCCCGGCATTTGTAGGATCTGTGTATCCTACCTTTTATTTTTGCTCCGGAATTGAAAGTCTCTGAAAAGTAGTACGCCATGTTTCGAGCCATTTACACACCATTTTTCCGTTTAGCAGATTTGGAGCGAGACGCCGAAGATTACGAACTGGGGGCAGTTTGAGGGAGAGCGAGGACCACCATCAGACTTTCGACGGATCAGAATTTATCTAGGGCCATGGAAGAAGATATACGCCTATGGACAATCAACGAGAACTACTGTGACCCTGAGTGTTCGAGCCCATGCGCGAGCTCCAGGAGCAAATCATGCCCCATGACTGCCGACGTTTAGTTCAAGGCCAGCTAACAGAGTGAATAGTCGGGGCGTTATAAATCTCCAACAGCAGTCATTAAGGTAAATGGGGTACGTTTGTTTATATTTCAATTCGTATAGTTTGCAGTATATGCATTCCGTGTTAACCATACAAAAACGTCATGGTTCCCAAAACTAAATACAGACAGTTGTTATTCTGCTCTGTATGTAAGGTACCAGGTCCTATAGTTATAATACCAGACAGGTTATCTTTAGAATTGAGAAAGCAAACATATGAGCCACGTGATTGAAATCTCAATCTCACTGCATGAACCCCGCAACGACAACAAAGCTCTGATTCAAACTCGCAAACCTCACACAGTTGCAAGGGTGGCTTGGGCTTAGAATATATTGAGAAGAATCAAGATGCATCTCCCTATGGAGATATATGATCACGTAAGACCCGTACTCAACGGTCTTTGCTCGGCTCTAAATGCTGCCCACAGATTATTTTCCACGTTCAGAACAAGGACAATGAAAGGTTTCTGTCCTGGCAGGATGATCCTCGAAATCATACTCTCCTCGATAGTGAAACCCGACGAGATTTGGAAGCGCTGCGTCTTGTTGACAAGGCTTTCTGTCGCAGCGCCTCATCTTGGCTATTCCGACGTGTTGTCGCGAGACATGGCTCCTCGAATTCTCTAGCTCTGGAACAACTCGTGAAATTGTCAAACAGTCCATATGCCGCGTGCGTATGTCAGATTGATTTGAGGTTCGAAAATGCCACACGTTCTGTCGATACTGCCGATGCGTTCTATGGCGAGGGTTTTGTAACATTACTATCGTCTTGCCTGGTGAAATTTACCAACTTGAAGGCACTCGAGTTTCACGAACCGCCCCGAAACTTTGCCAGGAACAGAGGAGACTTTATATTGACACGGTTATTTCGCCGCTGCGTGGCATGCGGATCCCAAATTTGGAAGAACTTGAAGTACACTTTTCCCTCGCCCACGATTTTGAGCATTTCTTTCCTGCCAAAATAAGCCCATCATGGATTCCTGTTGGCGATATTCTGCAGAATCTTCGGCATTTTGGGTTGTATGTGTGTGAAAATACAGATCGGCTTAATCAAAGGAATGGGGTGGAGCCGATTATGTTAGAATATGCTACGTTCCTAAACAGCACCCATGCACAGCATTTAATCAGAATGGTTGAACTTGCCCCAAATTTCAAGTCCCTCGCAATCAACAGTCCAAACATTCTGGACCTTGACGAGCTCGACTTTCCACCCTCGCTTCGTCTCCGGTCTCTCTGTTTGGGAGGTGTGTCCATCTCATCGCACAAGCTTCTTTCGTTGATCGAACAGTCCAAAAAGACAATCAGATACATTAATTTTTCACCGGTTAAGCTGAAGTCTGGAACATGGGAGCAAGTACTAGTGCAACTGTGCACGCTACCGCGCCTTCTTGATTTCAGGACCTGTAACAGTGGGTATTCATGGCGATATGGTCTAGCTCCCCAGCTACCTCCCAATCCGCACTGCCGCTTAAACATCGAAACCGTTAATCCTTTAGATCGATGTGCACTGGGGAATTTACAACGTCAAGTAAACGCAAACAGGATTGCTGCAGGGTTTCCCTCCTTCACTAAATCGGATTATCAATATATCGATCAACTACCCCTAGAAATTGCCATGCAATATCTCGAACGTTATCGCTAGATTGATGCTCCTATGGCACAACCATCTTGCAGGCCCCAGGCCCCATCAAGCAGCTGTGAGAGGATGGTTAAAGGCATGGGCAATTCTGCAAGTGGCTATTTGGTGTTCTGTTCTAAGTGTCAATACCGGGGTTTACCACTATCTCGCTCGTGATATCAGAGACCGTAGCAAGATGATGTAGAGATTGAAATTTGGTCATAACAAGCAGAAAGTAGCTTTTGATTTAAAGACTAAGTGGCGCTGAGGTCTGGTGTGCTTGGTATCTCGGATATCCGAAACCTTTCCGAGCCCATAGTCATCGAGTCCCCAGTGAATGCGGTTTTGATGCTTAAGTGAGGGTAAGTAAATTATTGAGAAAGCAAATATAGGCAGGTCGAATGCTGCGGTCACACATGGCCTCCTTTGGTTTTCTTTCCCACTTCTTCCCCTTCTTCTCTCCCTCCCTCTGTATTTGTCCACCAGCAACTTCTCAAAAGCAGACAGATGATTTTTCACCCCCTAAAAAAAGCTCTTCGTGCTTTCGGGGCTCTCACCGACAGAAAGCAACGGATCGTCTTCACCAAAAGAATAGAGCTTGATTGTATCTAGCATGTACCGTGGAGAGGATGTATTAAGTATATCCAAAAGAATGACTACATATCTCCTCTGGGTTATAAGGTGGCAAAGGGCAATATATTAAACAGTAAGTTATGCCTCTAATCACATGGTTGATTCCCATGTGGCCTTTTTATCTCGCCTCTCCATTTGTTTCTCCTTCATTCCTACTCCTTTCCAATTGCTGTGATCAAAAAACAGATGAAATGTTTCTTTTATGCAGACTCTCTCCTATCATCAGATCTTCTCTCGCAAGAAGAAGCGACAAATCAAAGAACGCGAGACTGCCCGAATCGCGAATATCGTAATCCTGGAGGGTATCTACTACTCAATCCGCGACTATGACCATGTTTACCTGGGCGATTCAACAACCCACGAGCTATTCATAGCAGCGGATAATCGTTTGGAGAGAATTGGTCATCCTTGTATGCTTTCATTCTTTCGGTTTTGGGGGCCTGGGTGTTAAATATATATTTGGGCGGCAGCGGTGCCTTTGAATATTTCGAAACGACTTAAGGATATGTCACACCTTATCAAGGTGCTGTATCCCTTTTCAATTAAATTGATTAAATTTCTGTTTACTGTCACATCCTGACTTCCTGAAACATTTTGCCCTCAAAACACCTGTTTTCGTGCGCTTCTCAACCGTAACCCTAAACCAAAAATTCCCCAACCTAACGAAAAATCCACGAAGTTTCACAATAAAACTCTACACCGGCGAAGGAAACCATAACCTCGTATGGTTGAACTTTATACGTCCTCTGTATCTTTATAAGAATGATAACTGACGAGAACATAGCCTGCCTTCTTCTGTCGCTACCCAATCCATAGCCCCGATATCATCTGCTCTCGGCACCGGAATCCGCAGAACTTCCTGTTGGATCATAACTTGCTATTTGACTTGCTTGTCAATATGCTGGAGGGGTATGTCTTACTTTCCTGAATACAAGACTTTGCACAACTGGTGTTCTCAGAAACCACACTGCTGGATGTACTTCAGCGACCATGGCACGCCAATGGGATGACAAAATCAGCACGGCTACGGTTGCTATACCTTCAGATAGTACCATTTCACCTCCCTTTTCTCCTCCATCCGCCACTCTAACAACGGTACGCAGGGTAAACAAAGATGGCACATTTGTCTACATAAAATACCACTTTCTAGCAAACAATGGCGAAAAACAACTCTCGGCCGACGAAGCCCTCCGATTTGGCGGCCAACACCTAGACTTCTCAAACCACGACTTCTGGCAAACAACTAAAAGGGCGGGTAGGTATCTTGGACGGCGCATGTGCAAATTATGAAGCCGGAGGCAGATCCGAGGGAATTGGGTTTCGACCCGCTCGATGTTACGAATGTTTGGCCGAAGAAGCTGTTTCCAGTGCGTACCCTATTTCTATTCCGAAGTATATAGGGTTATGGCTAATTGGTTCGAATATAGCTGCACGAACTTGGCAAGCAGAATCTGAACAAGACCCCCGAAAATTACCATCGAGATGTTGAACAAGCCGCCTTTTCATCAGGAAGCATGGTCACTGGAATCGAAGACAGCCCTGGTCCCCTCCTGAAATTCCGGATGTTCTTTTACAGCGACGCACAGTACCACAGAATCGGTGTAAACCTACACCAAGTCCAAGGTACCTACCCGTCCCTCACCACCTCCACAGTTAAAATAGCATAGCACTGGCGCAGTCGCTAACTGATGTGAAAGAACAGTAAACTGCCCCTTCATGTCCGGCTCCTATTCCTCCCTGAACTTCGACGGCTTACTCCGCGTCGATCTAAACCACGCCATGAACCCCAATACACACTAAACAGCTTCGCAAACAAATCCCGCCCATACACAGCAGAATGTCCCTACGTGCTAGGCGACAACATCGTCTCTCGCAAATCACACTTCTACCATGAAAGTAAAGCATCTGAGTACGAGCAGTCGCGCTAGCTTTGTAGACGAGTTACGGATACGAATGCCGCGCAAGGAAGGTGAAGGGGACTGCTGGTGTGGGGAAAAAGAAGAAGCTTTTGCTGACGGATGGGGAGGTGCTTATGGGGACTTGTCCTAAGGAGCCGGTTTATGCTGTTGTTGATTGGATGTAGTGGAATGTGGTGGGTTGTGTTGGTTGTATATCGACTTGCCCTTGGTTGGGTTTAGTATCTGTAATGATTTTAAATGCATTTCTATTTCATGTACAAATCACTCTATGCATATCTACGGAAGGAAGTCTGTATACTCCTTCCCTAACAACTCCCTAACCACATCCTCCTTCAGCTCCTCAATCCCAAACGAGAAATGCACCCACTTCCTCTTTCCTTCCCTTCTAAGCTGCTGCACCCGTTGCTGCACCGTCCTCGCGGTACGCATCGCCTCCTGGTACCGCTCTAGCTCCTTTGCGCGGCGATACTTAACGCGTTCTACTTCCACGTCCCATGAGGTGTCACTACCACTGTCATCGTCATCGGTCTCAATTCCCCTTATACGGGACAGCGATGATGATGGGGTTGGCGGTGCGTGAATGGAGGATGCTAGTGACCGGAAGGCAGGTGGTTGATACGGCTGTTGTTGTTGTTGCTGCTGTTGCGGCCGAATCGCCGTCGCTGTCGGTGGGTTATCGGCATCACGAGTATGAAGTCCAAGAATCTCAGCATCATCAATATGCGGCAACCAACCAGGTCCCAACCGAATCCATTCAATATCTCTCCATGCTCCATTCCACTCGGGCCCCGTGTGATATACCTCGCCATCGGGACCGTGGCCGGTCCAACTCAGCGCTGGAATCCAGTCACCACAACCTTCGAGATCAAGCCATTTTAGGCAATAAGTAGCATGCGATAGTTTGCGCAGGATACCCGACGCTTCGGCCCAATTGTTCTCCATGGTGGAGTATGTGTCTGTGCCGCTGTAGGAAAAGGTGAGCGATCGGTGTGTGGGGTGGCGGATGCGAGCATTGATCGCATTGGGCGTAAGAGTTGGAACGGGCCAGTGGCCTAGTGACAGATGAGTGAGAATCGATAGACGGGAAAGAAGCTTGAGTAGGGATTTCCAGTTCGCAGCGGATGGATGCGGATGCGCTAGAGAGAGAAATCGGAGGTTCTCAAATCGGCAGCCATGTTCAAAGGACTTGGGTATGGCTGATGCTTCTTCCTCGTACTCCTCTTCCCACGATGCTGGGACAACTTCTTTTGATTTGCGCGGTAAGTCCACAGCGCTAGGCGACAGGAATAGCTCATTATTCAACTCCTTAAATCCCATCCACCGTCCCAGTGCACCACCAAAATCCAGTCGCGATATACCATCCAACTCAGAACCTTGGTAATCCTCATCATTCTTATCGACAGAAATCAACGGCTTCAACCCACGAACCAAGCCCCCCAGCGGCTGATCCTTCCCGTACACCGAAATATAACTCAACAGCAACACTTTAACGTGAGTAGGCAGCATAGCCAGAAACTGTCCGTCGTACGCCACATGCCATGCCCAGTGCTGGGCCATGGCCTTGAGAGTCATATGCAATAGGCCATTTTTCGGGGGGAACGTTGCCCCCGGGAGGCGCTCTAGTCGATAGATGACTCGCTCGGTTTGTGCGGTGGTATCAATATCCTCTTGCTCGGAATTTTCGTTGGTAATTTGATTATTTCCTAATAACCAGCTCTCCGGTGGCGGAGGTCCCGGGGTTCTTCTCAGTCGTCCAACGCCGACGCGGCGCGCATTGGGGCGGGGGCGCGGAGGCGGAGTTACAGGGAGTTCGAGGAGGTTTCGTAAGGAGGGATGAACGGATCGAGGAGCGACGAAGCTGGAGGGACTGGTGCGATCATCAGAGCTGGATACTTGCGTGCGGCGGAGATGGTCGATCAGGTCGTTAACGGATGGCTGGGCGCTTGAGGATGATTGGAACCTGTCACTTCGAGAACTGGAACTGAGGAGCGTGTGGTGCGGAGTGCCGACAGGCTTTGTGAAGAGAAAATCATGTCGTTTTTTGGGCATAGATGCTGGGTGTTGTAAAAAAGGTTGGTGGGAGAATGCGAGTTGCGGGGATGAAATACCCGGGATTGCTAAGTTCAGATACAGTCATTTGCCTCCGGCATAGCCACAACCATACGAAACAGAATAATAATAATAATATATACACACTTATGGATGTTATACAATGCTCTCGCTTATTTAATAATACACTGTGGTTCTGAATCCTGCTCAGGGACCTCTCAAATATCCCGAACCCATGAATCGTCCTTCATCTTACCCTCACGCTTAGGACCTTCTTGGATCCATGTCTCCACAAGACCTTCCTTGGGATCCTCGTCTGGCAGCCCTCTAGTCCGCCGGACATCTAATACAAGATCTCTAATCTTTTTGGTGACTTCCCTGCGCAGCTCGACTGCTTCATCGCCATACAGTAGTTCCTCGTTCAAGACTCCGAGCGGCAGATCACGAGCTGAGGGCGAGCTCTTCTCAACCTTCTCCTTGAGTTCCTTCCATCGTCTTCTGTACTCGCCAAAAACAATATCCGTGTCAACCTTACACCCGAATGTGACGCTGATGTTCTTTCCCACTCGGGGCAGGAATCGAGGGAATTTGCGGCTTTCGTGCATAACCTGATCCAATCCCTCCAACCATATGGGCACAACATCCGGGCATTCGCTGGCTTCTAGGATAAGTCGTGCAACACCCCACTTGAAATAGCGCATCGTCTTATGCGGTGCCTGATGGATCTTGCCCTCCGGGAAGATATGAAGCCACGCATGCGAATTGCAGGAATAAGCGGAGGGCGCCAGATGCGAATCCTGACCGTTCGTCGTATAGGCAGTAGGGAGGTCTGAGAATGGGTCGACGCAAACGTTCTGTATGCTCCAGTCCTGTCGTTCGGGCTTAGCGCGGTGGGAGTCAACCGGGAAAGGTCCGTTGGACAGCAATCGAATTGCCTGGGTCACGGCAGGCTGTGAAAGACCACCGAAAGGCGAGTGCACAAGTCGATGGGTAGGTAGCACTTGGCCCATTGTGAAGAACAATGCCAACGGTCTGCACATGTCATAATATATATCGTCAGCCAACTCTCACATCACGGGATAAGAGCAGATAAAAGGCTTTAGCCGTACCGGCCCTGGTAGCAGATATCATGACTCCCAAAAGACCACCTCATGTTCGTCGCCGGGAATCTCATATGGTATCGCATGGGCAGAACTCCCCACATAATCGGATCATCCATTCTATCGCAAGTTACCGGTCAGCATCCGTTCTTGTAGACATGCTTTTCGATCGACCGTCGACGTACGTACACGCTCGTGTGATTAGAAACTATCCAGTAGAAAGTCAATTAGCCATTATCCCCAACGTGGTACGCAGAGACCTACCAGTGAGCAGCCCCCTTGACCTCTGAGCCGGATCCTTCCTCGACTCAACAAGCTCCAAAAACGACTCCAAGCCATGGACCTCGGGGTGGCTCAACCCATACAGAAACCCGCGACACAGCGCACTCACGCCGAGCATGGTAGTAGAGGACAGCAGCTTCCATGGCAGAGAAGGGCATTCTGCCGTTGCTGCACCGGAATCCCCATCGCTGGACATGGCGGCTGCTAGAGAGATCCCATTAATAGATCAGTAATAATAATACAGAAGAATAAGAAGGTAGGGGGAAAAGAATGAAGTTGAACCTCCGAATTTCTTTCTGCTCCCCGGATCGGCAGGCGTGGGACATACAGAGCTGTGATTGGTCCGCTGCATGACGCCGCCTTTTTTTCGCCGTTGACTGCGGTTAAGCAAATAATCCCCGACTTCAATCTTCTGCTTTTGTCACCAGTTGCCAATTCTCCGAACAAGCAGAGAACAATGTTCAAGCCTACATCGGCCCTCTTCTCGGGTCTTCTCTGGTAAGTCTGCTTTGCCGTGACTTTACTATTCCCCCATAATGAATGAGCGCGGTAGTCCCGCACACTCCACTCCACCGTCCATAGCAACAAAAGAAAACGAACAAGGGCCTAACCAGACTCTCGAATACAGGAAGACCCCATGGCGTATCTCGCAACCCCAGAAAGCCCGCCAGCGTAAGCGCTTACGCTCTGTCGACCGCGTCGTCGATACCCTCAGCGCCGCCCTGCAACGGAACGGCCAGAGCACGAAGGCTGTTGAGCGGTGGTACGCTGAGATGCCCCGGGAGGAGGAAATGGTGCCTAAGGACAAGTACACCATCTTTGACAAGAAGGAGAAGACGTACCGAAAGGGACTTCACAGTATGTGTCTTGGTATTATGGTCTTGCGGGGAGATGCTGACGAAGTGTGCGCTAGAACTGCCTAAGTGGACACGAGTGAGCCAGCGAGTTAACCCTCCGGGTTTCTAAACGTGTTATTGATTACAACCTTTGATTGCTGGGCGAAAAGCGGCTACTGTCGTATTTACAAATGCATATAGAACTTCTTTGTACGATACATCACAAAACACACTGGCCGGGGATACTGGCTAGAAAAGATTATAGGAAGGATATCCGGAGTTATTGGCAGTCGGGAATTTAACTTATTCACAACGTTTTATTAACCCTGAGTTTATCTCAATACACGATTCGACATCTTCAAAACGAACTTGATGGTGCTACTGTTTAACTTGACAAATGTGGTAAAGATAGGACACAACAGAAACGTCCCGACATTCCATCGAAGCAGAATTGGTTGAACAAAAAAAAATGGCGATAACGATATGGCAGACATGAAAGCCATGGATATCTCAACCATTACTCCCATACATCTGTTCCCATCCCAATAACCATATCCATATCGACACAATAACACAATCCCCTCTCTCAACCAGGTGCATTCCCTTTCTCGGAAGCCTTGGTTATAGCCTTTTGGCAGAGTCGGCCCATACCTAAGGCAATCTCCTTCGCTCGCGTCCGGTTCACCCTGCCGTCAAAGACCATCTTCCGAACCCGATAACCACGACGCACCTGCTGCCAGTCGCTCAGCGTCTCGTGCCAGCCCGTACCACCTTCGTAGTATGCGTCTTTCTGGCAACTTGACATTCCGAATCCTTGTGGTGGTTTTCTAAGTATCCAGCTCGCCGGGTCGATCTGCCCGTCAGGGGGTTCGTCGACTGAGTCGTCGAATAGTTCCACAGCCCTGACCACGTCTCTCATCCCAGACGCCCTTCTCTGGCGATTGATAGCAAGTCTCCACGAGTCAATCCGGGGCGTATAAGCTTTCTTGTGGGGGACTATCGGATACTTCGGCTTGGCTTCCCAGCGCGGAGCTGGATACGGCACGTTGAATCTTGGATCTCCCAATTGGCGTTTTTTGTCAACCGGAACTCGTGAAACTGGGTCAATAACCATCCATGTCTTTCTATTCAGCCAATGGTTGGCGAGTAGCGGGAAATGGAATGGCCTTCGTCCCGGGGTAAGTTGATCAAAGTGCCATTCAAGCTTTCGGTCCAGATTGTCCATCCATCTAATTTCCCAATTGTTCAATTTATGCAACGGAAGTGGGCGCCCTTTTGGTCTGAATCGACGAGGTCTCTTCTCGGAATACTTTCCGTTTGCATCCTTTGTTCCAGATTTTACCTGCTTCGCCGGCAATTGAAGAGGATCATCGCAGAAAGATGAGGAATGGTGCCTCCGAATAACCGCATCTATGGAAGGAAATAGATATTGCGCTCCCTGTTGGGCCGGCATTATGCTCCCGTTACACTCGTCTAAAGCGTCTAAAGGCACCCGCCCTGGAGGTTGACGTTGTCTGAGGCTCGAGATCCATTGGCTATTTTCGTTAGACAAGTGGCGCGCAATCTTTGCCCCTTGCGATCGATCCAACGATCCAAATGGTGCACTATTCTCAGATGCATAACTTCGCAACAATTCAGATGCTGGAGTGCCTGGTGGTTCTTGGAATCCGTGACAGCTATGCTTCATTTGGTTGGATGCCTGCAGCTGCATTCGAGCCGACCAAACTTGATATTTGCGGGAATACCGCATCTTGCGGAGTGTAGAGTTAGTCTTGCATGAGGTGCTCGAGGGTTGACACTGCCGTTGCGGATATAAATCGACCGTCAGAAGACATGGGAGAGAGACGCTCTGTGGTAACCTGCTCTCGACTATAGGTGCGTTCATGAACGGGATGCCCTTTCTGTGAGTTCGACTTGGCTGTTGAAGAGACCAAAATGGCCTGGTCTGATCAATTGGTAAGTGTGGACCGTTGACCAGTTTGCCGGGAAAGCTGTTGCGAAAGGCCTCGAAGGAGTGTCGTCTATCAATGGAGTCTGCGGAAAGGAACTGGTGTCGGGATTTTTTCAATCTATCTCGATATCCTTTTGTTCTCCCATGGTACGTGCGGGGTGCGTAGTATTTCTGAGAGAATGGGAAAGCGTCTGTCATAGCGGTCCGTTGGCGGTCTTTCGAGATCCGCTTATGCCGTTCTGGGGGAGGGCCACGGTTCCAGATCGTATCCGCGGTTGTGTGCTCCTTGCTCCTAAACCATTTTGGTACCCATCGCAGGAAACTCCTGTTTTGGCGATACTCCTCGTGTGCTGTTTGTCCCGGATCCCACCACACCCAACGATAATCAGCCCTAGTCGTTTTCCAAGTCGTCCACTCGCAGATCTTCCTCCAACACTTCCGGAACACGTTCTTGGCCGCCTCGTGCTTCTTTAATGGTACCCAACCATACCATGCCCTTGCGTACCGAGTATTAACCCTTTTCCCCTTCTTGAGCACGTTATTCCGAGTAAACCGCCGAAAACACCGACCTATCTTCCAGAACAGGACGCCAAGGACGAAGATACAAACGGTGCCAGCAAAGAGTTGTAAGAAAACTTTCTTGCTGATGTATTTTGTGACGGGGACGGGTATTCCTGGCGTTTCTTTCGGGGGTCGAGGAGGCGAAGGGTAGTGGTAATGTTGTCGTGGAAGGACCGGTGCCATCAGTCGAAGGATCATCTGTGTGGCCATATGGTCCTTCTGGTAACAATATGAGAGTAAGATGGTGAATTTCTGCTCATAGTGTCGAGTTTCTTCTTTCGTATCTAGCGGGGAAAACTTTTTGCTTGGGGATAGTCTGCAGGGAAGGAGGAAGCAGTCGCTGTTGCCGTTTTTGTCGTTGTCGGAGTAGCCGCAACCCTTGACCCCAGCCCGGGTTTCTCCCTATCTCTTCTATCTGGGAGACAAAAAACTTAGTCGCTGATTTGTAGAATGACTTAGTTTTTTTCACCTCCAAAACTGTTCGACTCTGGTCACCGCATCAATGGGCTACACAACGCCCAAAAAACATACACTCGATCAAAAAGCAACATCAATTATCCCATTGCTCAACAGAAGGAATCATTCATCCTTTACTTGGTATTTACTTCATCATGCCAGATGGGACATAATGTGCTATTGATCCATCATGGCGAACCAACCAAAGCCAGTATCTTCTCTTACAGCTGTAGCATAATCGTCATCATCGGATTCTATAGGCAACTAATCCTATTGGCCTCGCAGTCATGCCAGCTTAGTTCGCAATCTAGAAGTCGCCAGCACGCAGCGACGCTGTCGATCTGTGCTATGGCTGGATAAGCACGGAAAAATAATATAGAGATACTGAGTCTCATCTACCAGAGAGCAGATCACTTTGCCTTATCAATCACCTCGAGTAATCTGCAATAATGGCACTTCAGACGTTCAACTTTCCTGGTTTTGGGTCTGTGTTGACTGCAGTTTCAATATCAGTGTGTAAAGATGATCGCATTCTCTATGCTGAGCTGTTGGTTAACGTACGTTACTTGCAGGTAATATCATATGTCCTAGGACGGGCCATCTACAATGTCTACCTCCATCCGCTCAGCAGATACCCTGGTCCACGGCTCGCGGCTATATCCAGCTTGTATTACATCTACTGGACAAACAACGGGCAGCTACATATTAAACTCAAGAACCTGCATGATCAATATGGCGACGTCGTCCGAATCGAGCCCTCCTCACTCGTATACAGGAGCGCACAGCCATGGAAAGATATCTACGGGCACCGAAAATCTTTTGTCAAAGATGACAAGTTCTTCATCCCGAGTCCTAACGGTCCGAACATCCAAACAACACTCGACGATGTAGGGCATGCGAGGCAGAGGCGTCTGTTATCGCACGCATTTTCCAAAAGAGCGTTGCGAGAGCAAAAATCGATTATCCAGTTGTACATTGACATGTTTATGGAAAGGCTTCATCAGGAAGTCGCATCACACCGCGAGACGGTCGACATACCCAGGTGGATTACTTACACGAACTTTGATACCATTGGTGACTTGGCATTCGGGGAGTCGTTCGATTGCCTCCGTAATAACGACTATCATCCGTGGTTAACAATTCTTTTTGACAGTATCCGAGTCGCAACGTTCATGAGAACTGTTTTGATTTATCCACTGTGCGCATTCCTGATAACCTGGATTATCCCTAAAAGTATGAACGAAAAAAGTGATCAGCACTACCAAATGAGCAAGGACAAAGTCAACCGCCGTCTTGCGACCAAGACCAACAGACTGGATTTTACCTCGTGCATTTTAAGATATAACGAGAAAGAGATGACATGCCAGGAAATCGAATCGAACGCAGCTTTACTCATCATCGCTGGGAGCGAAACGACAAGCACTGCGCTCTCGGGATGTATCTATTATCTCCTAACACACCCCGACGTATATCATCGGCTAGTAAATGAAATCAGAGAGGCCTTTTGCACACAAGCCGACATCACTATCTTGTCTTCTGCAAAGGTCTCGTTACTATACTGTGTCCTGGAGGAGACACTCCGTTTGTATTCACCAGTCCCGGGTAAAATTCCCCGACGAGTTCACAAGGGTGATGCCATTATCGACGGCAATTTTGTCCCGGAAGGGGTATAAAGCCTCCAAAGCTCACTGTCGCTTCCTCATTAGCGTACTAACAAACTTCAGATATCTGTATCAGTAGCTTATTACTCTGCCCTCCGAGCAAGCTCCAACTTCGCGGAAGCTGAATCCTTCATCCCGGAACGTTGGCTGGATAATAAAGATCCCAGACTCGCGTTCTATAACCGAGATGCATTCCAACTATTTTCCTATGGACCTCGGAACTGTATTGGGAAGAAGTAAGCTGAACCCGAGGCTATGTTACAGACCTAGCCACATCAGTCTCACGTGACTATGCGGGAAGTTAAGGCAGAATCATTGGGTTACAAGAAATGATGAGAATGCAGGAAGGAACAGGGATTCCAGCTGATAACCTAAAAGATCAGTCACGTGATCCCCTACCATTTGTCGGAATATAGAGGTTCCTTACCGAACAATACCAACTGATGCCTGATTGATGCCTCGCTGATATCATATGGCGCAAAGCAGCGTATTTACTCTGCTATTACTGCTTTTGAAACCGCACAATCGCTTAGTATACTCTATAAGGTATTTACTGTCTTATATAGGATCCTAGATAGCACACTTTTGCAAGAATTAGAGACGTCAACCATATACGCTTGATACGTACTTTCAACCCTGACTAAGCCACATTTCCGACACCATTTATCTACCATAAATGGTATACGGAATGGTATACGCTACCATCTATCTACCCTAGATGGTATACGGAATGGTATACGCTACCATCTATCTACCCTAGATGGTATACGGAATGGTAGGAGAGCAAAGGATATATAAGGACACTCATTCATGCACTTAGTTTAGTTCTCCGCAATCAATCTAGTTAATCAAGCATTGGTTACCTTCTAGTTTCTGACTCATCCACACTTAACCAACAACCCAGCATACGTGCTCGGTTGGCCTTGTTTCTCTATTCGTTACCTTTACCGATTCTACCTGTTGACTACCTTACGGAGCCTGGAGGGGGCGAGATACCTTCGACGTGATATACAGAGGACCTGGATGGTCATTGAGCATATGAGTGCTTGGAAGACACTTAGGGTAAGTGTCCTGTCTCGAAATACAACTAACTAGAACCCTAGGTATGATACGAGGGAAGCCAGGTTGTGACAGGCCAGTGCTGTTGTGTAGCTAACCTCTTTAGCATGGTTTACGCCGAAACGCGCGTTTTTCTGGCGAAAGTTTTGTGGAACTTCGACATGGAATTCAGGGACGAGTGTCGTGACTGGTCGAACCAACATTCATATACTTTTTGGCAGAAGACGCCGTTGATGGTGACATTGAGGCCGGTGATGCGCTAAGAACGGACTGGACATGGGTTTGTATAGGATGATCACAGAAAAGAAAGAAATGCATAAAAGGGTAACAAGAATGCCATACAAACGGAGAAAAAACAGCAAGAATAGCAAAAGGGAAAGAAAAAAAAAATGGCCCCAATCGCGACTCGAACGCGAGACCTCTTCGAGGTCAGATTTGTTAACCCGAACGAAGAATCATACCACTAGACCATCGGGGCTAATTCGATTACGAAATCTGATGTGGGGATCGGGTTTGTGGTATATAAATACTATTGCTATTGTTTATTGTCGTTCCATGGTACAACCCAATGTTTTTTCTTGTTCTCTCGCTCAAATTTTACGGAATATTCTAGCCCATGTAGATGTCTAAAACAGCTGGATCAAGCATCACGGAGTCTTTTGTGTAGACGCATATTTAACTGATCGTCGAGGATCATGAACCATGATCCACAGATAGATATAATTTCATAAACCGTCTTCGAGTCATTACATACCCGAGATGCTTTATTTACAGTGGCTATGATCAGTGCCCACTTCACACGGTATCATAGTTCCAACCACCCGAATATCATCAGAGTCCGAGTAAATCCTCTCTCCTTTCTAACTCGCCCACAAGCCCCTCAAGCCCCTAGCGGCGGCGGCATACCCGCTCCCTTACCCAGATAAAACGGGGCTCTTCGCCTACTCCCCTGGGCTTGCCGGCGGAGTTCTCGTTCACGAGCGCGCACGCGTCGACTGTGTTTCTGACTTGCCCGGCGCTGCTTTTTGCGCTGGTTTTGGGCTTCGAGGGTCTCGGGATCGGGGCGGGTTAAGAGGTTCTTGAGCCAGGCGAACATTTTATGCCGTTTGTTTCAGAGTTTTATTTGGCGTTAGATGTGAGTAATCAATATGGTGATTTCCAAATTATCCAAGAAATGACCTGAGAAAAAAATTAATGCATTAGTCAAGAGGTAACTATGTATTAACGGACATTCTTATTTCAGTTGTGCACCAAAAAATGTCTCGGAATAACTATTCAACGAATGGAAGATGATCAACTAAGTAACAATGGAGGTGAAAGTTATTCACACCAAGCTTGAGGACATTTCCATGCTTCTGTCACTTACGGATAGATCACGGAAATAAAGGACTCATTTTCTTTATGATAACCATGGGAGCCCTAGTAGAACATCTGACATTCACCGCTATCTCTTTTAATTTAACTTCGAACCTGCAACTCTCCTCTTGAGCAGCAGGAAGAGTTCTCTCTGGCTCTCTGGTATTCTTCTGCAGTCACTATCTTTTTTCTTTTTTCTTTTCTTTTTTTTTTTTTTTTTTTTCCCCTCATCTTCTGCAAGAAGCTTTTCCAATAGTGTTCCAGCACTTTACAGTACGCATGACTATGACTACATGTGCCACTGTGCCCAGCTCGATAACAAAGTTGAATGATTAGATCTTAGTACTCAACGTTTAGCTCCCTTCCTTCAAAGTTTGCTACTCTTAGTGAGACTAATCGACGGACCTCAAGAATCTGCAGCCAAATGCCCAGCTGTGAGAGCGGCACACTTGGACGAGAACGTGGAGGCTATCTCCCTCATCGAGAGGATCTAACCGCGGACTGGTGCTCTATCTGCAAGGACCAGAAAGTAACCGTACATATCATATACCTGGATCAAACGATCACCTATCTATATGTTTGGCATTAAGGTTCATATCCAGGACAGGCTAACAGACATCCGTCTTGGATACGAAAGCATTGGTCTTTTCCACCAAAAAAAATGGGCGGTCATAACGCACATACGAATACTGCATGATAGGTGTAAAACCTCGATCCGCAAACCTGTCCATTTTGCGACTCCGCAATCCACGAGTGGCCCTAATGCTCGGTTTGGTAAGATTATGGTGGATACATCGAAACGACTATCTAAGCTTTCCAATGGCCATGAACGCATCTCAAACGGGAAACCTTGCGACTGTCAATGGCTTCAAACAATTACACACCCTCCGTCACAGATAGCTTCACGGCGTGAGCGACAGACGTTCTGAATTACTCTTAACATGAACAGTAATACAGTTCAACGGTTACCAAACCTCCCAAGATGAGCACCTGATGGCGTTCAGGGGGGAATCTGGTATAACTCTGACATTAGCCAATGTCCCTTGAGAATCAGACATCGTTGGAATTGCCTGGGAGAAGCAAATTAAGATTACATATGCGAATAAGCCGGCTTCTACCCATTGAAAGAATAAATACAACTTTTACTCTACCAAAGCTTTCAGGATTGTAGTCAGGGAAGCCAGAGGGATGGAAGCCATGGCGATTGATTTTGTTTTTTGGAATTCCAGGAGTTATCTACTGTCTCTTAGGTTCAGTAGATAGAATCAATGAAATGTAGAGTGATTTTCATTCTCTATAGTCTGCTCATATTGTTGATTCCAGCTGTAATCATGTCATTCCATTCACTGTGTTGACAATTCAACTGGGGGTGAAGGGAAAACAGAGGCAGCGGGTTTCTTTCTCTTGACAGCCTCCTACCCCCAACTACAATCAGCGAGCCAAGCGATTCTGAGTCAAAGGGAGAATTTCAGTATACTTCTTAAGAAATTATCAGACTGTTGTTCTTGGGAAAACTGACTAGTAGCTCTAGGGTCGGAGTTACTTTCGTTATTTCTGCTCTTCGAAAGGCCAGTCGTTCCCCGTCAATTCTCAGTCTTCTTCTCTCCTACTTCCAGTATCGAGAGAGAGGACAAATTCTGCTCATTCCCAACCTCGACCTCAACACTGTGAGTGGCTGCATCCAGTTGGCTTTAGGTGCCCGGTACCTCCGTGCTGACCAGCAGGTCTTCGGTGCGGAAGTGCAATATTTGGAGACACTGCTTTCTCTATTTTTACAGCCTCATCGTGCCATTTCTTCTTTACACTAACATAATGTCGCTCCTCGACTGTCCGAACGAAGTCCTCATTCTCATTGCTGAGGCACGCACTCCCTCCCAATTTGACATAAACGCTCTCACTCAGACCTGTCGTCGTTTTTATCGACTTTTCAATTCCATATTATATACCTGCGATGCCGAACACCACAACGGATCAGCCTTGTATTGGGCTGCTACGAGGGGAATGAAAACAACAGCCGAGAAGTCCATTCAGTCCGGGGCAACGCTATCAAAGAAGTCGGACTACTCTCACCCCAATATCCTGGGTTATATGATGGGCGAAGCGGAAGACGAAAACTTTCTTCATCCAAAAAGGACTGAGCAGCCAATATCACGGGCGGCAAGGGCGGGATACCAGGAAATTGTTGAGCTACTTATCAATCATGGTGTTGACCCGAACTACCGCAACGCAGCGGGTGGAACTCCTCTCGTTCTCGCCATTCAACGTGGTCATCTCGACCTGGTTCGTTTTCTGCTTGCGAACGGTGCCGATCCGCTCTTAGAGTGCGCATGGGGTCAGTTTCCGATCTTGCACTCGGTATACAGAGGGCATGTGGAGATCTTAAAGGTGCTGCTTGACCATTTGGAGCAGAGTTATCCGGTAGAAGCAAAGGATCAGATGCAGCAAGCTCTTGCAGCAGCGGCTGGCCGGTACGACAGGATTGAAATCATTCCAATTCTTCTCGCCCGGGGTGCCGACATCAACTGCCAAGCTAGCCGCCTTCGCCCCCTCGACCTCCTCCCCTTATGTCGCGCCGTGAACAGCCGTAATCTGGATATGGTAAAATTTCTCCTTGAAAACGGCGCTAATCCCAACATTGTTGGTTCGGATGGCGAAGGCCCTTTGTCTGAGGCTTCTGGGACGAATAACATTCAACTGCTTCGGTTCCTTGTTGATTACGGTGTTAACATGAGTCGGTGTGGCGGTGCGGCGTTGTGGTGGGCGGTGCGCAACTTCAACCAAGAGATGGTTCGGTTCTTGCTAGACTCAGGGGCTCCTATGGCGTACCAGCGCGAGGGGGTGTCCATCCTTAGTTGTGCGTATATTGAGGGTGATGAAGAGATAATTGGAATCCTACGCAAGAGTCAAAACTGAAGCACTGTTTAGTGGTTTCTGGCAAAGGGTGTTAGGGCGAAGGGTTCGTTTTCTTATGATGCTGTGTAATGATATGATAAGCTGTACATGTCCTGGTGTGGGTGACAAAATACCTAGGCGCTGTTAATTTTCTGAAAATACCTACAGAGCCTATCATGCTCACCAATTATCCATGATAGCTACAGAACGTATTCAGGTACCTGGTAGTCGGCGACCAGCTTGGTTTGTCTCTCATAAAGCGTATCTCAAGCCTAGAAAGACATACCAAAGCAATACGTATGGAGAAAAAACAACAACAACAACAACAACAACAACGAGCAAGCCTTCTAGCGTGGCAAAGTTTTGGATGGTGCGTAATCAGAAACACAAAACGGCAGAGGGTCATCACCACTTTTCAACAAAGTACTTTTCGGTACATGTCACGCGAGAAAGTAGCGCATTCGATCCTGCGTACGCCTTGCGGTAAGCATTGGATGGCTTGGTCCGGCCGAAATCATGTTGGTATCGAGTAATGCACGGAGCTATGCACATCCAGGAGCCAGCGGATCGCATGTACAGAGCATAGGTCCAGATATCATACGAGTCAATCGATTGAAAGCAGCTTCACGGTCCAATTATAGACCACTACTGTTAAGCTCAAAATACCACAAAAAGCCAGGGAATCCAACGTGATCAATGACAAAAAGCGGAAGACATGCGAGCCGCCCCTTTCGGAGTAAGAGCGTAATGCCCAGAATCATCCGGAACTTTTGCAGGCAGTTGCATTCCAGCCGAGTGCATACGCAAAGTGATAAAACAACAACATTTCATCACTTCATTTTTACTTTTTCTGACCGTGAATGTGCTCGTGCAGCAAACGTAATAGTAGCAAGGGCCGTTTCGCCCGTATCGGGAAACCGGGATATTCACCGCCACAATTTGGCGTCCGGAACCTCCATCAAGCCACATGTGACTTGATGGAGCGTTCACCGAGCCAATAAGAGAGCTGCTGCTTGGCATTGTTGTCGGTCGTTTTTGTGTTGCAGCAGTAACACATTACAGTGCGTTGCATGACAGGAGGAAGGGACAAGAAAAAAGATGATAAATTACAAACCCTGAAATAAACAGAGATAATCACAAACAGTTGGATGTACCGAAGTTTCACCGTGTAGAGGTTGAAAATATAATCACAGTCGTGGCCATATGCACGCTGCCGAACTTGGAGCGTCTCCATTCAACAATAGCTCTAGACGTTGTGGGGAGGCTGTCTACTAGCTTGCCGATGTAGAAGCATGATTGATAGCATTTTGAGCTCAGAGTGAACGTCTAAATCAACGAAAAGTCATCAAATCCAGTAAGCCTATCGTACACTAGCGGCACATGGCTGACATTGATTCGAGACTCGAAATGTCGTAAGGCAAATATGGTCCCTGTACAATTTATTGATTTAATGCTGACGATCCTAGATAGATTGACAGGTAACCTTTTCCCTCAACTCCGGGCGAGCGGATATGCACGTCCTTCCATGTGGAAAGCGCGTCAAAGAACATAGCAGATCTGCTCAATGGAAGTTCCTGAAAATGGAAAAAGAGTGCGAGCATGTGTTGACAGACCTCGCAATACCAGCCCTGATTGGAAAGAGAAAAGAGGAACCAAGGCAACAGTAATCGAGACAGTACAAAGAACAATAGAATGTGAAGATGTGGTGGAGATGATGTTGAATCTGCAGATCAGTTGAGGCTGAAGTGGATGCGGCGGTGGAGGTCTTTGTGGCTAATGTGGCTAGTACGGTGTGGCGAAGTACGTCGGTGTGGCTTGTCGGTTATGCCGGCCCTTCTCGTTGCTGTTGTTCATTCCCCCTGGCTTTTCTTACAGATACGCTAAGATGCGCTAGGAACTTGCTGGGAAGAGTGTCGAGCGGCTTTTGCGCCCTGGCTTTTGATTTACAAGATGGGTCACTGTCTGACCGCCAAGGATGGATTGGATCTTCCGGTGCTAGACCCCTACGAATGTGCAGGCCGCCGTCTATCGTCACGCGTATTCATTTACATGGGTTCCCCAATGTATCTTGCAGGCTACCTTTTTATTGCGGTAGCCTGGAGCTACTGCTTTGGTTTGCTGCTCGATAACTCAGCTGTTTGAGCAGGGGCAAAGTGGTTTTCAAGTAGCAGATCTCAAAGCGCAGAACTCAATCGCCCTAACTAATGCATGATAGTTAGAAGCAGGGGCCATCGACGTGGATGTTCGAAGAACTCATGGACCCCCTGGCCTCCGTCACATTGATCCCACACTCTGAAAGGAAAGTGGATTTGTCCGGGAAGAGGCAAAGGACAGACCAATTTGATAAGCGCTGGAAAAAAATATTACAGCCTAAGGCTTCCGCATTCCCCGTTTACTTGTGGTTCGTCGGGTTAGTATTGCCGATTATATTCTCTGTAGCAATCAGCGATCTCGCTTATCTACCTATGTGGAGATGTCGCGCCATGTGGACCGAGATTAAGGTTCCAAACTCCAAATGCCGGCCGTGATCTGATGTATCAATATGCATGGTTCCCTAGATTTCCTGGAACTCGGTTCCTGCAATGGCCTCCAAACATGGCTAATTCCATGCAGCTCGCCGCGTTGACGTGTATGGAAAAAGAAAAACGGCGCAGCAAACTAAAATCAGAATGCCGGTATTACGCTCCGGCCACCGATGTCGCCTTGCTGATGTTGCTTCCCGTGATACAGTGCAGTATGGTTGATATGCATCAAGCAACACTAGCGGCGTATTTCCGGCAGCACTAGGGATCCTTTTACTGACCTTTATCTCGATCATTGAGAAGTTATTGATTTTTAGGATACTAGTGGTGGCAAAATGTTCATGTTCCATGCAGTTGTTTTCTTTGTTGATGAGTTGGAGTGCGGACGTACAGTTGCAACGCTTGCATGGCATAAGAGATTGAGTTTGTATCCGAAGATATAAAGGCTTCCCGGATCCCGTCAAGATTTACTTCAAGCTTATCCCAAACTCAGATCTCCTGATATCATCGTCTATCATTTCTGTTACCTCGCCCACTCAACGCTAATAATTTCTACTGGCATTATTTTTCTCCTTTAATCCAACACACTTCGTTATAATTTCGTGGGCAATCAACTTATTGCTTTTACGCTTTTATCAAAACCAATAACCAAAACGAATACCCACAATGGTATCAACCAACGGTGTCAACGGAAGCTCCAGCCAAGAGTATGGCATGACTTTCGAAATCACTCCACCAACCGCCGTCCGCCCCGGTACTCCTTTCACCCTTCCCGTTATTGTAGCCATCCAATCTGGAAACCCAGGAAATGGTACTGAACAATTGGCTGCCAATGTGTCTTTGAAGAGCGAATCCGGTGCAACTGTCTCAGGTCTAGCAGGCCCTCTTACCTCTAGTGTGCGCAGCCGCAACGGGAACACCACTAGCGGATACGCGAGGTTCAGCTCTCTTACTATCTCGCAGCCTGGGAAGTACAAATTGCGAGTTATGTTGGGGGCTGCTTCGCAGAACGGAGTGATGACCAAGGAATTTATTGACTCGGGGGTTATTGCCGTTGATGGAGAGGCACCGGCGTCTCAGAGGCCTAGTATGTTATACAGCCCTGGTACTCGGTTCAAAGTGGCTTGGGTAACTAACGGAATTTTAGCTGCAGCACAGGTATCCAAGCTCCGAAGCCTGACGGCGGAGAACATCGACATAACAGACGTGGAAATTGCGGCGTGGCAGCAGGCTTAATTTGAATCTGTTTTGCTTCTCTTTTCTGCTGTTGGATTTCAGTGCATTGGCGTTGGTTCTGCTCTGTCCACGGTTTACCAAGAGCTGCATTTTTTGAAGACCGGAGTGCTTTTTGGGGGGTTTGGGGTTTTTCTAATTCTGACTATGGGGTAATTCAAAGAGGAATGAGGGTATACTGTGGGGATTATGTTTATTTTGTGACTGGTCGTGATGAGATTTTTTGGGAGGGGAGTTTTGCGAGTGGTTCTTATCTATGCAGTGCTTTGGTGATCAAGTGACTATTTCTATCTTATTGTTCTCTCTCTTTCCCTATTTCACCCACACTGTGTTAGACAGCTATAAAAACTACACCTACTTCCTTTTTACAGCAAATTCTTCCTATATTTCCCAATATTTGCGAAAAGATAGCTTACAATACCCGCCCTCAATGGGGCATATACTTTTGCAATAAGGATACTGAGATGTCTGCCATATTCCATCCACCTCCGACTGAAGAAGTATTTCTGCAGCCGGTAGGAAATATACGTCTCGATTGAAACACTCATCGGCTCATGCACTCCGAATGCAAACGCTCCCCGACATAGCTTCGTTTGGTAAGGCCGCCACTCTGTCAGCGTATTGATGCGTTGGCTAGTGCTGCTGAAGAATTGTCTGTGGCAACTAGATTGTATTTTTGTTCTTCTTATTTTCCTTTATTTTTATTTTGAATTCTTTACGTCTTTAATTTGGAGATTGAAATTGGTTGGGTGAAAGCGTACTCTGCATGCGTAGGCTTCAAGGATATATATTAACGCTCAGCGGAAATTAGCCCCATACCTCCGATGGACCGATAATATGTCGCAACATGCCTGACGCGGAGAAAGGTACCGCGAAACTAATTCAAATTCCCGAATTTACAAGATATAATCTACAAAGCAGTTTCTACAGCAAAATCCGTGTCATGATGGATACCTAGGTGTGAGATAAGGCTTGTACGATTGTAGAAATATAGTAGTAACTCGTAATTCGTAATCTGTATGAACAGAGATCCATCAACTAGATACATAATCTTGCAATCGTATTAACAAAGGAAATATTTGACGACCGAAAATGGTTGTAACACATGTCAGCCCTCGGAAATATCCGTATATGCAGGATACGCGACTGTGGTGGATATTGACCAGTGAGGCCAAACAGCGGGAAAAGAGCCGCATGCAGTGCATTGGACTGCTATCGTTGGTCGCGTCAGGTATCAACAGTGTTGACGCGGGCAGATGTACAATTGTCAATTGTCATCCGGAAACTTGGATTCGACTGGTCGATGAAAGCCCAATGCCAAGTGTTTGTAGGAAATATTAGCTTTTCTTGAATATGTCGAACTTTGTGTGTCGCGTGATCGGGATGAGGATAGCACAGCACACGCTCAGCCCTCGTTTCCGTGGCTGCCGTGGTGACGGAGACGCTCGACGCCACCACGAACGGTATCGCGCAGACTGAATCCTCCGAACAGCCAGTCATTTGAGTGACGACCGTAGTGGTTCACGGTGCCGTTGTAGCGGCGGTAGTCGCTACTTGTCTTTCTGGTGTGCTTCCGAGAGTGAGAGTCGGAGCGGGAAAGACTGCTGAAGGAGGAGCGGGGAGACATCTGGACGGGACTGGCGGATCGTTGAGCCATGACTGGGAGGTTGACCAGAGTAGTGCTAGTGGAGAGGTCGCTAGGAGCGGGAGATTTGGGCCGTGTAAGGTGAGTGTGGTTTTGATTTGCGTTGATTGAAGTACGAGAGAGAGAGAGACCGCGTTTCGTGTTATTCTGTTGCTTGGAAGACTGGGTCTTGTTCATAGCTTGAGAGATTGTAAGATAGTGAGAGAAAGCAAGGAGGACAGTGGGATCACCCAGGTATTTATGTTTCTTACGAATTCTCCTCGGGGATAGCCTTACACCCCGCCTATCAAAACAAGTCAGCCTATCAGCGTCCGTGCTTCTGCGCTAAAATGCGTAGTGAGCCTGGGGCATGGAAGCCTAGACGCCCACCAGCCAATCAAACGCCGCCAGCAAGTGCCAGGGACCCGTCAGTGGAGCTGATTGTGCCGCTAGCGGTGAAAAAGTGGGGAAAGACGCCCGTTCTGCCCTGTAGGGCAGACTCTTGGCCAATTAGGGTCTGTTTACCAGCCAAAGAGCCTCAAATTCACCGCTGCCTGCTGTCCGTCCGCAGACTGTGCAGGTTAATGTGTTTGTACTCCGCACGGCAATGGGACAATCATGTTTGTCTGTGTGTTCAGTCAATTCAGCAATCAAGTAGTATAGTCCGTATGACTCACCTGCTACTTGTCTCGAACTTTGTATAGAGGTGTTCATGTACTCATACTTGCACTCGTCCTGCACTCTGAGTAGCGAATGATACGTCACACTGTCCCGTCTGATATTCAAGATCGTCTGGATGGATAGTCCTTATTGGACCATGCCAGAGGATTTCCTTCTATCGTCATTCGAGAATCGGAACTGCTTTGCCGGTTGGCCCCATCGGACCGGATTTTGATTTTTCCTCGGAATTGCCCGAAATTACTCCGCGGAGTTCTCCTACATGGACTGTCTACTGTGGAGGATTTGTTTGTTGTGAATACCTGTATATGGAGAAGTATAGTGATCATGGTACGCGCAGAGCACAAGTCATGGTACATTCCTTTACGTCCATGGCACAGTCAGATCCCCACGTTTCTATTTCTTCTGCCACGACTCCAGCATGACTGCTCCTCCCGTAGGGCTGATGATCTCCATCTTATCTCATCACAGGCAGCCAAGTTCCTGATACATTCTATCTTTAGCTCTGCACTGTTTCTATTTCGGTCATTTCTCAACCTGCTAACCGATTTAGCCATCATAGACGTTCCAAACCAAGAAACCAACTCCGACTTGTATGCCTCTCTTTTCTGCCACGAAGGCTGACCGGTGACAGCAGACGAGCACGTAACCCGGCTCCCGAGTACGTCCAGGGGAAGAAAATAACGCCTGTTTCGCGAACGGCCTCTGCCCCTCGAGAAGGGGGCATATTGCAGGCTAATCCACTTATGCTTCCGCTGCTTGCGAAGCTTTTTCCTACAGGGAAGGCAGGAGTTGGCAAGTGCCCCACCGCGCTTTATCTGAATGAAGAAATAACCGTGTCTTTCAGAGAAATACCAGGCCATACCAGCGAAGTGCACACCTCCATGGCGCCCGGAATCCATCAACTCGAACCCGTCGCGGCAGATAGCACTCCCGTTCGATTTACGCAAGGGCCGAAGTCCACTCTCCGACAAGTCAGGCCAGTACCTCCTACGGGACATATTTCCTGGCGTTTTTCTGGTCCTTTGGATACCATGTTTGGTACCTATTCTATCAGCCTTGTCTTCGAGTCCCATCTACCTCCACCTCTCCCATTGTCACAGAAAGTCGCCGGACTACCATGCCGCATCACATATAATTTCAATGGCCTTGGACCGGAAGCGCCAATAGATTGCCTTGTCGACTGAGTGTTGAAATAACTCCTGGAAGTGTTTACCGATATCGAGAAGGAGGTACGGGTTCGATGTTCGACGAGTTACGGTCATGGTTTGCCAATGCAGAAATGCCAACCACGCAGCTACAGTGCTGGGGTAATTTGGTGGTAATCGTATTGGAAGGTCCTACCGACCTGGCATTGATACAGTATAGGACTAGTGTATGCGGATGCTTCCAGATGAACGAGGAGTCATCGTGTTGATCGCGAGATCCTTTCTGTCTTTGGCAGTGAAAGTCCCATTCTAGGCCAATCGGACAATACAGAATATGCCGTTTTGCGACCAGAGGTGATGCTAAGCTCTGGCCAGGATTCAAAGCTGCACGTGTCGTCTGATGTTTTAGTTCAGGACCGTACAGGGGACAAATACATGATCGTTTCCAGCAATGGCTTCCCTCATGGAACTGCCGTGTACCAACCCGACAACGACGGTCAGTGTTGGAAGGGCCACAGCATATATTCCCAACACAGCCCTTGCACTGCTCAAACTTGACGACGGCAAAGAATTTACCTACAAGTTATTCTAGCACACCATTGTTCCGGGTCTTTCAACTCGTCTCAAGAATCTTGCAAGAGGAAATTCCGTCTGCCGACTCTGATATATTTTAGACACCTTTTTCACAGGTTACATGGAGGGGCAACGAGGCCCTCTGTGAAACCCACGTCCCCTAAAGTGACCCATATAGTCAGAGCAATGGATGAAATGCAGATGGGACTACATGGGAAAGGGCTCATCGACATGTGGCCGATGTCGTGGCTCCCCTACGGTCTACGAAGGGGGTTATCGTGGTTGGCTTCTTCTGGTACGCCCCAAGGCGGGGCGTTTTGTCGACTGGGCACTGTCTGTTGCTCCTGATGAATTGATTGGCCAGGGACTAAGTTTGGTCTAAGTGGTGGATTTGCTCTGTATATTTGTTGGCTGCGTTGAGTTAGGATTGCTTGAATTACTGCTTGACCCTTTACCTCTGCTAACCATATCTTTTAGCGAGATATTCGACTGTCCTGTGACTTGGTGCTTTAATTTAGCACCTATCTCTCGATTATTGTCTAAGACTAACCTGTCTTTGTAGTGATCTCGATTTAGCTTATCAGGGTTGAGCAACAGGTTCGAGACAGTGCTGCCAATCAAGAGTAGGATAGGATAAACCACTTAAATAATTAGCAAGCATTCAACCAGTCCATCATAAGGGCTCGTGAACTTCAGTGATCAGCAAGAATAATGCAGGTAAGACGTGGCGGATCCTGTTTTCCCAGCAATACGAGGTGCCCAACCCGGCGCACAAATCACAGCACTTTGCTAGTGCTGGCTTCTGTTGGTTAGATCCAGAGAATAGTAAGATGATATTTGCCCAGAAACTCCTTTCTAATAACAATAGCCCGTAGACCCTTGAGCTCAACCATCCTACGTCACCCTGTGATAGATCTGCTTGGCCAAGAAACTCAGCCATGTCTGCAGTATACAAAGCCGTGCCCCTTCGTATTTAGATATGTGCCAAGCATACTCTCATCTGAAGATATGCGAAGGTATATATAAAGGTAAATGCTCAATGCGATTTTCTACTCAAATACACACGAATCACCACAAACATGTCGTGGATGCGCACCCTCCTCCCGCTCTCTCTTGCGCTCAGCGCATATGCTACGAATCATTCCCGTGCTGACGGTAACATAACCTGGGGCCCCTGCGAGACCGAGATTGAAGCAGGCGCTACGATCCCCTTGCAGTGTGGCAACATTACCGTACCCCTGGACTATACGGACACAAAATCAGACGCAACTCTCGATGTCCAGGTGCTCAAGGTGCCCACCGACAAAACACCGAAGAAGGGCAGTATCATATTTAATTTTGGTGGGCCGGGGCTCGAGGCGAGGACTACTTTGGCACAGGCGGCTGAGTTGTTGCAAACGTATGGTCAAGCCCTGGGTTCCTTTGTGTGATGTGTTGCTGATGGATACTAGGTTGACTGGCGGACACTATGATCTTATCGCAAACGATCCACGGTTAGCCCTCTCTATACATACACCGATATCGTATCTAATAAATCTACAGAGGAACAGCCAACACCCTCACCTTCTCCTGCTACGAAAACGACACCATCCGTCTTTCCAGCTTCGACCAAGCCCGTTTCGAGGAATTCGCCGGTCCAGCGGATAAAATGGCACTGGGTAGGCTGTGGGCCAGTGCATCATTGGTCACTCAGGCTTGCCACGAACATGCGGAATCGAAGGAGAGGGGGGAGTTGATCGGGACAGCATTTACCGCGAGAGATATCATGCAGATTGTTGATGCGGTAGAGGATGATGGGTTGTTAAGGTTTTGGGGTAAGTGCGTTCAGACTCTTTAATGTGTATGAGATTGATGGAGTTGTATTTTCTAGGGTTGTCGTATGGAACGGTGTTGGGGTCAACTCTTGCAGTGATGTTTCCGGACAGGATCGACAGGATTGTTATTGATGGAGTCATGAATCCGCATGAATATTACAACTCCTAGTATGTCTTTGCCTCACCGAGGTCCATAAGACAAACTAACAAATCCACAGTGACGTAGAAGTCATAGCAGACACAGACGCAGCATTCGCCCAATTCATCAAAGAATGCATCAACGCCCCAGAAAAATGCACCCTAGCCACCCACAACTCAACAGCTACGTCCCTCGAGAAATCAATCTATCAACTCCTCGACACTCTCAAATACCAGCCGATCGCATATGAAGGAACAATAATTGACTATGGCAGCATCATAACGATTATCCGCACAACCCTCAACACCCCGGCCTCCTGGCCGACCCTCTCCGCGGCCTTGGACTCATTGCTCTCCCGAAATTTGACACAGTTCCTCGCTATTCAGGCTTCTATGAATTCACCATACGCTAGTGCGAACATGAACGAAGCCGTTTACGGGATCCATTGCGCGGATAAGAAACCCGGGAAACATACCTTTAATGAAGTGTTGCCCACCGTCTCCACTTTGAGTAATCAAAGTGCCCTCATGGGCCAGGTTGGTAACCCTCTTTCTATGCTTGCTACCCAATGGAAATTAGAGGCCAAGGAGCGGTACACGGGAGACTTTAGAGCTAAAACAAAGCATCCCATGCTTGTTATCGGTAACACATATGACCCTACGACGCCGTTGAGGTCTGCGAGGAATATCAGTGAGAGCTTTGAGGGGAGTATTGTGTTGGAGCATGGTGGATACGGTGTGAGTTACTCCTCTTTCTATTTCTGAGCCTCTGGCTATAGTGGTCTTGAAACTGACCAATATAGCACTGCACTCTCCAACACGGCTCTGTATGCACAGGAAAAGCCATCCAGAATTACTTCAACGATGGGACTTTGCCGAAGGCTGGAACATTTTGTGAGGCGGCGTATCCACCGTTTGCGAATATGTCATGGAACGACCTACTGCCAAAACTTGGCTCGAATAAGACGGCAAATTGAGTCTGCAAAGGTTGACTGCGAGCTCAACGGGGTGCTATGGATTTTGGTCGTTTTTTCTAAAACGGAAGAGATTGTTTTGGGGAGAGCGAGAGGACTTTTCATTAAGGATGTGGAGGGAATAATTGTTGATATCTGAGTGGTAGCTGCATATATATATCATGATAATACTGGGATGATTCTCTTTTTTAGGGGGGAGTTGTGAATGTATAACATGACGACTTGAAGTTCCATGGATCCAAACCAACATCATATAGATAGACATCAAGTTTTGTACTTCTCAATATTTGTATGAAAGACATATGTGGTCGCTTACCAAGATAGAAAGAGGCAGATGTAAACTTGCTCTTCTCTATTTATCTCCCCGTATCCGCCTATTTTCCCCCTCGTACATACATGGCCATCACTTATTTATAGATATTCATGGTGTGTTCTCACTCCATTATCATTATCCAGGCCAACGTTACACTGTGATGGCGGTAACTACCGGTTAATGCATCAATATGCAATCAAACTCTGACACATGACGGCCTTTGAGCAGGGTACTGGGCTATTTTTTCGAGGCTTAGCAAATTAATGCCTCTACGTGTTTCCAACTTCCTCGTCATGATAGCACGCCGGGCCCTTTGCTACTATTATTTCATAGCCAACATGTCGCATGGAGGACGAAAACCAGCTAAACGATGTTATTTGCATCCAGCATTCCATGATGGTGTAGGGATGGTGGCGGGCAGCGTGACACGTACTGCACCAGCCCCAAGTGATGACAAGGGACTCATAATGGCCACCCAGGTTCTGTTCGAGCCGCTCCTGCCTCTGAATTCTCTCTCACGCATACAGAGAGCAAAGCTAAAACTCATTTGGACTTGAAAGCACGAAATTGGGACCACGATTCAAAATGCCGTCGCGGGAAGACTACTCTCCCCGAACCGCCGGGCAAACCCTCACTTATCTATGCAAAGGCTTTGGACATTCCGTATCTCGAGGCGTCTTTCAAAGGAGTGGATTCAAGGTCAAGTCCTCTCTTGGACTTTGTGGATACAGACGCTGGCGTGGCGGGGCTGGTTGAGGAAATTCAAGACCTGCCCACCGACCCACGATCGCTATACATTGATCTTGAAGGTATCAATCTTTCACGACATGGCAGCATTTAATTCTGCAAGTCCTTGTTCTTCCACTTGACAAGGCCTATTTGATCGATGTTCACACTCTCAATGAAAGGGCTTTCTTGCAGCCGGCTTCTAAAAACGGTCAAACTCTCCTAAATGTACTAGAATCATCCCAGATCCCCAAAGTCTTCTTCGATGTTCGCAATGACTCAGACGCCCTCTTCAGTCATTTCAACGTTGGACTTGTCGGAGTTATTGATCTTCAGTTGATGGAACTGGCAACTCGAAATTTCCCGAGGAGACACGCGCAGGACTGGCCAAATGCATCGAGAGAGATGCTCCTATGACGGCTCTCGAAATACGAACTTGGAAGGAATCAAAGGAGAAAGGGCTGGAACTTTTCGATCCAGGACGTGGAGGAACTTATGAGATATTCAACCTACGTCCGCTTCCTAACGAAGTCATCGGGTATTGTGTGCAGGATGTCCGTTTCCTGCCTAAGTTATGGCTCCATTATCATCGAAAAATGTCCCCAAAGTGGAAGAGAATGGTTGCGGCGGAGGCCACGAACAGAATAAAGCTCTCCCAAGCAGCCACCTATGATGCAAAGGGAAAGTGGAAAGCTCTAGCGCCGTGGGTTGGGCATGATTTAACGACTGCCTTATGATTTTGGGGATTTGTACCTGCTGCTTTGGTTGGAAAGATTTACCTTCAAAATCTTTATGCCTTTCATGCTCCTTGACTCCAGAGTTGCCTGCTGCGACCCAAACTAGCATCAGGCAAAATTGGTTGACGAAGTTTGACGAGTTCTTCCTAGCCTGTGATATAAATAATGCTCCTAAACATGAAGACGTGGAAGCTTGCTACCAGACGCCCAGTGCATGTGCCACCTACGTTTGATATTCTTAGTTTAGGATTGTGATATACGCTCACATATCAAGAACTCCGCGAAGTCATTCCTAGCATTAAATATGGCTCGAGAAACGAGTAGAGGATTTGGGAGAAGCAAAAGCTATTGTAAGGTCCAAATTTGTTCCTCAAATATGGATCTCGGCCCACAGCATGGCCGGCATCCCATATTAGCTGGGCATACATTCGGTACTGCGTTTGTCACCAGGTTGCCGAAAATCGTTGCGAAGAATGACAATGGAATGTTTCAAAATCCATCGGCTTCGACCATTGAAATATAACTAGTAACTTGCTAAGTATCACATAACAATAACTTGAAGTTGTGAGGTATTGGTGGCGTGAGAATGTTTGATGTCTTTCCAAAGACTGGCTTCTCAGGCACACTTATTGGAATGTTGTTTGCTTAAAAGTTCCCAGTGGAGGCTGGAATTTAGCTAGACAGGCAACTCTTACAGGCAAGTCACGCCACATTATGCCCCTTTTGATCTCTTCGAGGACCCGCACGCCTGTTACAATAAGTCAAATCGTGAGTTACATCGAACCCTTTTCCCGGGTCCTGAGCAAGTTTCACTCGGTAGTTTCGCTGTCGTCTTTAAAGCTCATTCCTACCCCCCGGCCCGCGGTCTCTCAAGGTCGCCAGGTTTTATTACAGATAACCCCACGGAATGCGGACTGGATGCACCTCCAGATCATCCAAGTTGGTATTCGCACCAGAGAGCGACCTTCGGACCGATGAATAACATGCCAGCATTGTCTTTGAGCACACACGGAGCTGTCTTCTGGTGCCGAAATGTACATCACTGAGACTCGGCGCTGGCAAATCGTGGTTGCCATCGACGGAAATTAATTCCCGAAACAGCCCAGCTAACGTAGGGCGGACCGACAGAACTGAATACGAGATGGCTTCGACCGGGTGTTATCCCGGCTTCTTATCCCGGCTTCGGGACCTTCCCTGGAGATACCGAATTGCTTACTCCGTCCGGCGAGGTGGTCATGCAAGTTAGCCATAGAAGTCAACCATATAGATGTGGCCCTTGTGGAAAACGAGGATGGAACCCAGAAAGTCTTACGTTAAGTAAATATTACAATTACATAAGCGGAGAGTGGGCCGGATAATCACATACCAGCAATCCAATATCCGGGGAAAACTGGGGCAGCCGGGGAAAAATGCAGCTGTCACTGCCATCCGTACACAATCGCTCACTCACTGACAGCCGAGCGTCCTCGTCCAAATCAACTGATTCGGAATGCCGGTGAGCCAATTTAGAAGGATCTTTTAAGTTAAATACGAGCAATTAATGTATCCTGTCGGCCGGCCCATGGGGTCTCCGTATTAACGGTTGGAAGGGCCAAGATCCCGAAACATCCCGAAGGATCCTGAAGCCCCGTGCATTCAAAAATTTGCCAAGCACTAGCACAATCTTTGCCATTGGTGCCGGTCTCCGTAAAACCTGTAACCTCTACCGACTACGGAGCTTCGCCGAGTTCGCCGAGTTGAAACCGGGGAGTCGGGGGGAGGGGGGAGTCTTCCATCTCCTTCGGTTCCTCGCGCTCGCGGGCTAACGGGGGTCCTGTAACTAGTCTGGGCCGTCACTTGGCGCTCGCTGAACACGGGAAAGACATACATCGGATTCTGACCTGAATAGGGTATATGGACGACATCAAGCCAGATCTGAACCCTTCTCCGCAAACAGACCCATTCTCCACCCAAAGCAGCACCTGACCGATCTTACTTGGTTGTTTAGACCAATAGGTTTGGTATAGGACACGGAACCTCTCCGGGCCCAAAGATCCCGGCTTGGATAGGCCGGACATTCGGCGGATTCGATTGGATCCGTGGCATGCGACTTCCGAAAATACTCCGGAGTACATATGTGGACCGGTTTCCTCGAAGCACTTTGCGGGGTCTGGGAGTGGAGACTGGGGATAGAGATGGGGTAGAGTAATTTCCGCAAAACATTTGGAATCGGCCCGTGGGGAGTATTTACATATAGTGTCCCGCTCACATTTTGACACTGGTTTTACCATATATGCCTTTTCCTTTCATTGCTTCCTTTCTTTTATTCGGGGTGTTAGTATATTTATATTTATTACTCTTGATGTCCTGACTGTATTATCGATTATCATCAGAGACCCAGTACTAGGTGACCATGAGTGATCCGGTGACCACCCGCGATGAGGGCGGCAAGGAGTTCTCTGCAGTGACGCTCTCCCCGGCCGAAGTTGAGCGCGAGATCGAAATCCAAGAGCAGCAAAGCCAACAGTACATGGCAAATGAATCAGCGTATGACCGGATAGCCTTTTCCCGAATCCCCTTCGGTGCGAGGAACACGCGAGCCCTGGTCATTACCCTGGGCACCTTCGCGGCGTTCAGCGGAATGCTGAGCGGCCTGGACCAGTCCGTGATATCGGGTGCTCTTCCCGGAATCAGGAAGCATTTCATCGGCAGCGGCGAATGGGCAAGCATGGACGATCCAAAATTGGCGAACGATATTTCCCTCATCTCCTCGTTGATGCCCTTGGGTGCAATGGCCGGTGCTTTGATGATGATGCCGCTCAACCACTTCCTCGGCCGCCGGAACTCGATTATCGTCTCGTGCATGTGGTACTCTCTGGGAGGCGGTCTCTGCGCTGGAGCACGGAGCGTGGGGATGTTGTTTGCCGGGCGTTTTATTCTCGGTATTGGCGTTGGTATCGAGGGTGGTTGTGTTGGTATCTATATTTCTGAATGTGTGCCGCCGGAGCTTCGCGGTAATCTGGTGTCCATCTATCAGCTGATGATCGCTTTTGGTGAGGTCATTGGCTATGCCACGGGTGCCATTTTCTTTGATGTTCCCTCGGGCAGCTGGCGCTGGATGCTGGGTTCGTCCGTCTTGTTCTCGACAATTCTGTGGATTGGAATGTGCTTCCTGCCGGAGTCACCGCGCTGGCTCGTATCCAAGGGCAAGAACGGTCGTGCATGGCAAGTGTGGAAGTCGCTGCGTGAAGTAACCGAACCTAAGAATATGGAGGAGTATCTCGCCATGGAGATCACGGTCAAGAATGAGGTTGAACGGTCAAATAATGTGGCATGGTGGCGGCAGTACATGGAGGTGTGCCTCATCCCGCGCAACCGCCGCGCCCTCATCTACGCCTCTGCCATGATTTTCTTCGGCCAGATGACCGGTATCAATGCAGTCATGTACAACATGTCGAACCTGATGGCTAAAATGAACTTCGATGATCGTGAGTCCGTGCTCATGTCGATGGTCGGTGGCGGCGCCTTGTTTTTGGGTACTATCCCCGCGGTATTCACTATGGACAAATTCGGCCGCCGGGTGTGGGCACAGAACATCCTCGTCTTCATCGTGGGCCTGGTCCTTGTCGGCGTGGGCTACCTATACACCAACAAAGGCGACGCCTTCTTCCAGGCAAACAAGGACACCGCGCTGGGCCTTTTCTTCTCCGGAATGATTCTCTACATGAGCTTCTTCGGCGCATACTCGTGTCTAACTTGGGTCATCCCCGCAGAGAGCTTCGACTTCAACACCCGCAGCCAGGGCATGGCCATCTGCTCCACCTTCCTGTATCTCTGGTCATTCATCGTAACCTACAACTTCGACCGCATGCAAGCGGCCATGACCTACACGGGCCTGACGATCGGGTTCTTTGGCGGTCTGGCACTTCTCGGTTTCTTCTACCAGCTTTTCTTCATGCCTGAGACTAAAGACAAGACGCTTGAGGAGATTGACGAGCTGTTTTTGATGCCGACGCGAAAGCTTGTCGGGCTCAACATGCGTAACATGGTTAACCACTGGCGCTGGATTTGTGGAGGAATGCATCCTGTGGAATCGCGTGAGGCCCGAACAGGTAATGCTGTCTCTGGTGATGCAGAGAAGCATGAAGTCTCGGAAGCTCGATTGGAAACGCTTTGAGAGGGGAAAGTCTTGGTAAAGGGTGGACTTTGCATAAACGGGGGGATTAGTTTGGATTATTCACGACCATGATATGTACGCATGCAGATAAATAATATTCTCGATATCTAAAGACAAAACATTTGAATGAACAGCTACCATGAGATAGCTTTGTTGATTTAAACCAGTAAATTGTTTTCTATGCGTTGGATGACCACGAAAGGCATGCCATTACGCCGTTGCGTTATAACTCGGATGTTAGTAGCCACATGACAGCCATCCTGGTCAATAGTCTGCTGGCTAGGTTCGAAGGCCCTCTAATTCTGTATATGAAGGAGAATCCACCAATAAGACCACCAGTCTATGTGTTTCGAATACAGTCATCTACTTCGATGCCTTGTTGTGATAATAGAACACAGTGATAAGATGACATGTATGCTATACTGCATCATAGCCCAGATTGCACGTGATAGACAATGCGCCAATAAAGACACTTGAATGAATACAATAGACTAATAAAGCGTGTTAATAAACATAGTTCATAGATACTATGGTCTTGAAGGAGCGCCAGGAAAAATCTTTGTTTAACTTCTAAAGGTCCTTATTGAGGTGCTTCTCATTCCGACCCAGAACAAAGTCAACGGTATTGCGCAAGAACTGTGCTATTTCCTGCGTTTTTCCAGCTGTGTAGTCCTCCGAATTCTTTACTGTCACAGACTCATAATGCACTTCACCTTCATTTAGATCTGACCAGTGAACCTCTATCCTGCATTGGATTATGTCACAATAGCAATGGCAACAAACAAGTGCTGCAACTCTGCACCTCTTTATGAATATTCCTAATATCCTGCAACATGAGAGACGCAACACAGCGTACCGGCTCTCATTTTTGCACATAGTATTTATCTAAGTGCAACTAGCCTGCAAGCACAGGCACGAGTGACAAAATCAGGGTTAGATGTTGGTGGACAGTCCGGTCTGGACTTCTACAATGTAAAGGAGAAGTCAATCTTCGGCATAGAAGCCGAGAGTCAAAGATGACACCGGACGTGCAAGTCTAGAATTCATCGTGCTCTCCAGCGTGGCCAGTTACAAAGTATCTATCCAAGGCCCGGAAAACAGCCTGACAACTCTCGTCGATGAGAAATTCGGGAGCTCCAGAAGAGCTGGAGCGTGAGGTAATCGGTGGACTTTTTGACGAGGGCGGTAATTTCGTTGACATCCTTCATAGGAAGAGAAGTAGGTTACATTTTGCTTAATTCAGGCAAGGAGGAAGTATTGTTCGTCGGAGTGGGAAGTACGAATGAAGGAAGGTGTGATGACCGCTTCCACAGGCATATGGTTATTTCAACACACTATAAGTTACCATGGCAGCACAGGATAGGCAAGAAAGGTCTTTCGATACAAATATGAGGACCTGTTACATTTAAGTGACCGCAGTAGCTGAAGATATATTCACAACCCTGTACCTGGGAAACCTCTTTTATACTCAAGGTCCCTAACGGGCTCGTTTTTGTTGAAATTCAATTGATGCTAATACATAAGTCGTAAGCACGCTAAAATTTGAACGCCATCAGGTGCGACTTGCATACATTGATCCGGCAATGTACAAACCTTATTGGAAATGGGAATATAGATCCAAATCCAAATGGTACCCCATATAACAGCTCTCACTCCTCCGTAAGCGTCCACAAACTCGCACTCGGCTCTCTCCACGCCCGCGGTCTCTCAGAGTGACATCTGCGATGATGCTTCCTCCCCCCCGGTACATGCCCGTATCCATATCCATACCCGTATCCGTATCCACCATTTCCCATCTGTGATTTATTGACCGCTACAGTCGGCCGGTATACGGTAAGCGGTATTGACGGTACCGCGTAGGAGACCATAGTATTCTCCCCGGTAGCAGTTCTGACTGTGCTCGTCGTAGGTAGAACGAAAAGCGATCGCGCTTTGTCCAGAGGTGGTCGAGCGACTTGCTGTGAAGACGTAGCGCTCGTTGTATCGGTATTGAGAGTCGCATTGGTCACAGGGATGGGACCCTTTGGGGTAAACCAGAATCGCTGCGCGAAGGAGTATCTAGGACGGACGATTCCCGCAGAGGCAGCATCGTCTTGATCGCTGAGGTCTGTTGTGCCCAGGGGGACTGCGAATTGGTGGTAGTTCAAAGGTGCATGAGGGGCTTGTGGCGTTGCTGGTACTGCGACTGGGACTTGGACTGGGCCTTGGAAAATAGGAGTATAGTATCGCGGAGTTGAGTTTGCTGGTGAGCCACAGTAGGGCCATGTATGGCGGCGTCGATGGTGGAAGTGAGGCATGTCAAGATATTGGAATTCAAAAGCTATGCAGGGAAATAATCAGGGCAAGAGAGCGATTAAAACAATCCTCCATTTACCAAGCCAGAACCAAAATCTCCCGAAATGTCTTTCGGTAACCCGCAATCATGATGAAGCTAGAGTGAAACCAAACCCGAAACGGATAACAGATCCAAGTGCCGTTCTGGAGCTAGGTCGGCAACTTGGAGCAGGATATGCCAGATATAATATAGGCGAAACAGTATCCCCAGCCAGCGCCCGATCTAGTCATAAGACCTGCACGTGCAAGGCGCACGCGTTGGTGCCCGGGTGACTTGAAAGGCATCTCAGTAACGAACAGGCGATCTAACAAATTTCGATCTGACGAATATCATTCCTCTCGATTAAAATGCATTCTGTAGTGAATGCTACTGAGATCCATAACTCCGATCACCCGGGGAGGATAGTGCCCTGGACCGAGTCAGTGCATGAGGGATATATACCCCCGAGTGGACAGCGAATAATGGCGGAGGGTGGGATCTGGATCAGCCGGTGTTGGCAATTGGCTTCATAAGTGACTTTGAGTATCAGCAGAGTCGATAGTGTAGGATAGTTGAAAGAGCAATGCGATGGATATAGTGATCGTATCAGACTGCTGCTCCCCGCGTCCGGGGATTCCTATGGTCAGCGGACGAGGAATTTATGGCTATTACATCACTTCTGAAGGCTTTCTTGCAGAAATAGATCAAGTCGACATCACAAGGCTCTGATGGATATTGAATGCTGTCGAAGTGGCGTATAGTGTTCAGTGTATACGGTAACAAACATTCGAGGGACTGTATTTCAATGAAAACAGTCACGTGGTCTAATGGTTATGATATCTCGTTCACAACTTGAACTTTGATCCGAGATGGTTCCCGGTTCGATCCCGGGCGTGACTACTTTTCTTTATTTTTATCTTATTTTTAACTGCATTGTATTTGCATTCCACAATAAATAGAGAATTGAGCGATTAATTGAACTACATGTACAGAAACTGAACCAAGAAAACACAGTCGAAACCAAGGTTCAGTCCACTGTTTACTTAAACAACTCTGCCTCAGGCTGCAACGATCAGGGGCTAAAGTGTATCCACCACTTGTCGAGATCGCATCCTCTTTCGCAAACCATCTCTACGACACTCTATACAAGTGCGTATCTACCTAACTCCCGGTAGTCCGGAGTGTATTCTCAACATGGAGACCGTTCCCTTCACGCTCGACCTCCCAACATGCCTATGCACGGCATTCGCACTGTCCATGATGCCAATTGCCTACTTCTTCAGCACGGCCTTGATCCCCTCCACCGAGAAGCGCAATCGCTTCCTCTTCTTCTGGCATGCCTACGATGCCCTCACTCACCTCTTCGTCGAAGGCTCCTTCCTCTACGAATGCTTCACTAGCTACGTCTCCGTCCCCGCCGGCCTCAACCGTGAACCCTTCTTCCTCGGCATAAAGGACCGCGTCTACGGCGCTGCATACGGTACTGGTCCCAGCGCGCGCCTGTGGCAAGAATATGCAAAGGCGGATTTCCGCTGGGCGACCGCGGATGCTAATGTGGTTGCGCTGGAGCTTCTGACGGTTTTCCTGGGCGGGCCTGCTGCTATTTACATTTGCTATCTGTTGTGGAAGTCGTCGAGTAGCCGAACCACGGCTTCGTCGCGTGGTGCGGCCAAGGCGAAGCTGTGGCTTGTTGCACCGGCGTTGGCGACTGCTGAATTGTATGGGGGCTGGATGACGTTTGCGCCGGAATGGCTTACGGGCAGCGCGCAGTTGGAGACCGGGAATGCGGTTTATTTGTGGTTCTATTTGTTCTTCTTCAACACGCTGTGGGTGTGGATTCCGGGTTGGATTTTGTGGGAATCTGCTAAGGAGCTTCGCGCTGCGTTTGTGACTGCCGAAACTGACGAGCGCAAGAGCCAGTAATGATGGAACGAGATACAGGATATCTGAGCATAACTTGGACATAATTGGGATACTTATTGAGGACGTGGCTTGCGTTGAATGGGTATCGTCATGTGTGACTTCACTCAGTCATTCCGTGATGTCTCCATGCGACGCGACCAGGTAATGACGAATGAACTTTTTTTTCTACCATGAATAATCTTGCTGTCTAGCGATTCGTACTCGTTTAGTAGATCGTGGGCTTTGCAATCAGCCAAAAAGAAAAAATGTGCCTTACTGCGCCACCGTACTAAAACTTTCGGCATGGCGATGGCGGATGATCGCGGGGGCGGCTTATGATATAAAGATCGCCTCCCTCTTCTTTCATGCACCTCACTTTTATCCTACTGTCCTGCTCAACAGCAATTGCATTCTGTACTGCATACACTACTGTATCTATAATGTCTTACAACGCCTACCCTCCTCACCGTGAGTTCATCATCAACTTACAAAATCCATGACACTAACAATGCCAGAACCGTACGGCCATCCTCCGCCGCAGGGCTACCCCGGTCAACCCCCCTATCCCCAGCAACAGCCTGGTTTCGGCAGCCCCCCTCCACAGGGCTACTATCCCCCGCCGCAGGGCCAATTCGGCCACCCTCCTCCCCAAGCCGGCTACGGCGCACCACCACCACAAGCACCCTACCCCCCAGGTCCCGGCTTCCACGGCCCCTCGCCACAGCCTCCATTTGGTGGTCCCGGATATCCTCAACATGGAGGACCAGGACCAGTCCCAGGACCCTACGGCGCACCACCCGCCCCAGCCGGACCAAGCCACTTCGCGCCGCCCCCAATGCCCCACGGTCCCCCCGCGATGCCGTCACTCGGCTACAGCCCGGGCCAAATGGCCCCCGGCGACTTCCGCCAACAAGCAGATCTCCTCCGCAAATCGATGAAGGGCTTCGGAACCGATGAAAAGACACTCATCCAGGTCCTCGCGAAGCTCGACCCATTGCAATCTGCCGCTGTCCGCTCGACATACTCATCGCACATCAAGCGCGATCTGCACAAAGACGTCAAGTCCGAGACAAGCAGCTACCTCCGCCAGGGCCTGCTCGCCATCATCGACGGACCGCTCATGCACGATGTCGCGCTCGCAAGGGAAGCAGTCGAGGGTATCGGCACAAAAGAATGGCTCCTCAACGACGTCCTCCTAAGCCGTTCGAACGCAGACCTTAACGCCATTAAAACAGCCTACGAACACACATACCGCCGCTCCCTACAAAAGGACGTAGAAGGTGATCTGTCCTTCAAGACTGCAACGCTCTTCGCGAATGTTCTCCGCGCAAACCGCCACGAGGAATCCACCCCAATTAACCCGCAACTCGTGCACGACGAAGCAAAAACCATTCACAACGCCACTTCCGCGCGCATAGTCAACAACGTCGATGAAGTCTGTGGTATTTTCGCACGGTCATCAGACAACGAGATCCGGGCGATCAACCGCGCCTTTACAGACCGGTACCACACCTCTCTCGAGAAACACCTCGAGAGCCAGTTCTCAGGACACATGAAAGACGCATTGCTGCACATGCTGCAGACCGCGCTGGACCCTGCTATGCGCGCCGCAGACCTTATGGAAGATTGCATGAAGGGCATGGGCACCAAGGACGAGAAGTTGGTTGTGAGGGCTGTGAGGGTGCATTGGAATCGGGCGCATTTGGACCAGGTCAAGGGTGCTTATCGGCTTAAGTATAAGACGGAGTTGGCTGCTAGAGTGCGCGGGGAGACGAGTGGGGACTATGGAAGGTTGATGGTTGCGTTGGTTGAGTAGGCTTTGTTATTATTATTATTCGATGGTTCTGGTGGTTATTGTTATTTTTACAACTTGTATTTATGGGTCGGTTTTCTGTTTGTCTTCGTGATACCATGGCAGTTACGGTTTATTATGAAGAATGATTACTGTTTTTATTTCGTTGAAGTATCATTTCGTATAATATCGTATCATATAAATAATCATAACTCATCATTTACGGGGTATGCAAGCACAAACAAACATAACATCACCCAACCCCCCCAATATCAAATGACTAAACAATCTCCCCCAAAACCCTAACATGGCTTCCCGGAAACAACCCCGTAATCCCCGCATAACACCCCCAAAACCAATCATCATTAATATTCTCCCCCTCCGTGATCTCCGCGCCCCGCGGAAACATCAGTTCGTCTTCGACGCCGTCCTCAGGATACCATGACCACAGCGCTTGGGCGATGACGCCCACACCGCCGTCTGGTGGGAAGCGGCGTGTTGGGGTTAATGGGGATGGGGGTGCGGGTGCGTTTTCGGGAGCGTTGGGGTTCGTCCATGGTGTCCGCGTGCGAGAGGCCTTTTTGCGGCGTTCGGGGCCTTCTTTCCAGCTCCAGTCTCCGGTTCCGACTTCTGGGATTGGAGTGGCATTTCCAGCAGAAGCAGCAGCCGCAGATGCGTGTGCCGAAGACACAGACGAAGCTGATGCTTGATTAACATGTTCATCCTGTAACGCCCATCCACCGACAAGATTCCGCACAACAACTCTCCTCTGACCCTCGTCGTGCTCTTCAAAGCCTACAACAACCATCCGATGACCCTTGACACATCTTCGCCAGCCATTATGGCAATTGTCTTTACTAATTTTGCCCGTCACACCGAGTTTCAGGTAGCAGTTTGCGCAGATGTCGTAGTCGCCGTCGTTGCAGATGAGGCAGTGGAAGCGGGTGGTCGAGGCTGGGATGGGGTGTGTACAGATGTCGCAGTTTGTGGCGAAGGAAAGGATTTTAAAGGTTTCATCCGAGGTTCCTGTATCGGAGATGCGACATATTGGTAGAAGGGCGTGGGTGCAGCATTTTCCTTGGTTAACGCATGTATTGCAAAAGCCCCAGTCTCCTTCGTTACATTCGTCGCATTTCCAGAAGGTTTCGTTGGCTTCTGAGTTGCAGATGCTGCAGAAAAGGCCGGTTTGTAGTCTGTGCGCGGGATCGTCGCTAGCTATTTGTCTGTCGTCAGAATTTGTGGCCCGACGGAGTCTTGAAGAGGAGCGCTGGTATTTTGACGATGTAAAAATGTGGGGAGTTTCGATTTCCGGAATTGGCTCGTTGTTGGACATTGCAAGGATTCTTTCGAAGTTGGTTTGTGCTGATAGGCTAAACCCGGCCCAGTTTTGGCAGCCTCGGCCCGTGCGATAGCAGCGGAGACAGAGGTGGTAGTCTCCGTCATTGCACTTAGTACAAGTTTTGTGGAGTTCATATTGGATGTCCGGTTTCCCGCATCCATTACAAATAATCGAAGGCTCAACGTAAAAGGGCGGAGCAGCATTCGATCGGGAGGACGCTCTGGGGCGACTGTGGTTTACTGACCCATTGACATGAGAAGCCACAGATACAGCGGACTGGGAAGGAGTCTGTGGTGCGTTTGATAGTGGAGATGCAACCGTGGGCGAGTTCGTCAAACGAGTTACTGAAGAACCACGTTCTCTGGTCCCTTGAGTCCATACATGTGGTGACCCTCGTCCAGACTCCGTTGCGCGTCTTCTTCTTGTCGACGGCTCTGGCGTCCTCGTGGACACCTGGGATGCACGGGGTCGTTCGGATGTCATGTCACTGGACGATCTTGAAGCTGGTCGTAAATTCGCCTCGGACGAAGATGCTGGATGAGCGGAACTAGGCGACGTTCTGCGACGACCGCTCCCTTGTTCAGACGCACCTCTCTGGTGGGTCGACGGCCCTGGGCGAGTAACAAGAGGATCAAGCAAGTATGGCCTGGACACTGGAGGGCCTCTCGAGGAGTCGCGCGGTGGTGGTCCAGTTGTAGGCCGTTGTACTGAATGCGACCTAGCACGAGGACGGCCGGACGACTGCGATGCTTCCCTCTCTTGTCGCTGTCGTGAGCGAGAGCGTAGTCTGTGTCTCCGACGATATGCGTCGGCAATACGCTCGCTCAGCTCCTCCTCCTGCCCGGGCCCAAGGTTATCCAGATCAATATCGTCCAGCAATCCCTCCTCCAATATCTGTCGCAGGATCTCTTCCTCCATAGTCTCAGCATCCGATAGACTTAGTAGAGACCTCAGACTAGACTGGTGCTCAATCCGTCTAGAGTGCTCTGCTGCTTCTGCTGTTTGTCGAGCCGCGCGCTCATGAGCCTGTCGCCGTGTTGACCGATCATCATCCCGCCGCCGCCGCGAACGACCATCATCCCTTCGCGAATCGGGATCTGACCGCTCCGCACGACGAGCTCTTGACGACTGCGGCGCCCGATGACGTTGTTCTCTCGTCCGTGACCGCCCTTCCTGAAGACTCAGCTGCCGCACCTCATCCAACACTCGTCCATCCTCCTCATCGTCCTCCTCCGTATCATCCCTAGGAAACACCGAATCCCCCGGTTTATACTTCTGCGCAATTTCCTCCTTCTCCCTCGCAGACTTCTCCTGGCTAGGATTCGACGCCAGAACTATATCCAGCAGCGTAGTCACAGTGGCGTTGGGCCGGGTTTCACGAACGGCGGCGCGACATGACGGACAGGTGAATTTCGGGACGGATCTAGATGACCGGCGTCGGGTACCTTGAACGAAGAACCATTCTTTCAGACATGAACCACAGAAGGTGTGAAGGCAGTCGAGGAGAGTGAGAGGTTGGTACAGCAGTTCCGTACAGATCTGGACCAAGCGGGGGAGTTAGCGATCGCTGTGATTCTCGGATAGATTGTAGGCACTTACCGAGCAAGTGAGTTCGTTTTCGAGGTCCCCCAAACCGGGGCCTGCGTGTGCTTCACCCGACATGAGGCATTCGAGAGATCATGAACCGTGGTTGAGGTTGAGATCAAGCTGTGTCGAAAACCATGGACGAAGCGCTGGTGGCGGGCAGAACTGAAACCGGAATGGATGAGTAAGCATATAGAAACCGACTACAAAGGGAAAAGAAAGAACAGCATCTATTATATTTAGAAGGAAAGTGATGTTAAAAGAGAATAGAAAAAGTAGATTTAATAATTAGTACATATATATTGAACGACTAACACTAGCAAGAAAGGGCCCGGTTATTGACTACATCCTGTCCTTAAGTCCTTAACAATAACATGCATACTGCATCCTCGTGCAAATACCTTATGATCTCCCGATCGACCAGCGGCTCTACAGAATAAGCCATAGGTAGGTAGGTAGCATATCAATTCTATCTACTCTAATGCCTTTTTACACGCCGGGCAGAAACGCTGCTTTATCCAACGTTGCCCATGTCACGGAGAGAAGACGGGCTATATACAATTTCTCCCCCAAGAGGAACTACCGTCCATGATGCCCATGCAATTTGTCTTTTATATGCCCCAAGGCCCCACCGTGCTTGTGCTCGGAGGACTTGTCTTTCTTATCGTCTGAGTCTTTCTTCTGATCCTTGGATTTGTCGGTTTTATCTTTACCGGACTTCGTACCGGCGCCATCTGATATCTGTCAGTCCGATGAAGGCTCAGAATGATAATAAACCAGCACATACCGTTCTTTGCCTCTTCATCAAAGTTATATTTCGTCGTTGGGGCCGGTGACTGGGGCCCTTCAAGTGCCTCCTTGCTCACTTTGGGATGCTTGGATCCGCCATTGCCAACGCCATTGCTTGATTCGGCATCTCCGGATTGCTGCTCAGACTCTTCCTTTCCTTCGTTGTTGTGCTCGTCGTTGCTCTCTTCATGCTCCTTCATTTTTTCTTTCCCATCGTCGTTTTCTCGTTCATAATCGCGTTCCTGGCTCTTGTTTCGGTTGCTCTCTTCGCTGCTGTTTTGACTGTCTCTGCCCCCTTCCTTCTTGCTCTGGATATTGTTCTTTGCCTCGCTGTTATTCTGGGTGTAATCGGTATGCGTGGTCTGTGTCAGGTCGGAACTCTGGGCTTGAACACCCTCGTCGCGTGGACTCATTTCTGCTGTAATGAGAGGTGTAGTCGGACTTTGTGGTAGTATGTGACTTGGCAATGGCTTTTGTACTTGGCTTTTGTACTTGGCTCTTGTTAGAGCATTTTGCATCCCATACCCCCAGGGGTAGATATATATATTACCTTTATGATGCAAATGATTATCCGTAAACTGGTTTTGACAAGGGTTAGAGTGATGACATCACATCAGGAAAAACCGAGATGATCAAGAGTTATGACGTTACTAGAGAGAAAATGTAGTTACATTTAGACTGGTTTAATACGAGGTATGTATGCAACCAGACAGTATTACTCGGTTTGTGGAAGATGACTGTCCCGAGCGCAGAGCAAGTTGATGTTATGAGATGAACACCTAGTCTAACCATTATGCAGACATAATGGTAGACCATGTCTTCAGTCCCTAGCGGTAGTTGCTCTTGCACCATCATTCCCAGACTTCCAGATATCGCGATACCGAATCCTTGTATGTTATGCCGATAACTCGTGGACCAAATCCCTATCATCGGACGTCTGCGCCCATTCCCTACCGAGCTTTTTACCGCATACGCCAAACTGTCTCTCATTACACCCGATTGCGTGTCAGACCTATTCTGCTGCTGAGAGCTCAAGCCCCGAGGCCTTCGTGTCATTAGATGATGCATAGCAAGCAAGCCCAGGCACGAGACCTTGTGCAGGGACACGGTCATTGTCAGGAAGCTTTCCGAAAATCTCCAGGCATAGAGATCCTTGACTATGCACTGGATTCGGCTGGATGTGTCAGACATGAAATCTTCCTCGTAGTAAACGGCGCTCTCGTAGACCTGGCATGGCAGCAAACAAGATCAACAGGAGATTTGCAAAGATAAGGGAAAGGACGTGCTAGATCCATGAGGATTGATGTGACTGAGCATGCCTGCAAATGGGGTGGTTTAGTGTATCAACCCGCTGGCAAGATAACACGTTGTCAATATCTGTTGCTACTTGCAGTTTTTCTAGAAGCAATATCTTCCAAGAACCCATAAGAAATATGTTGTACTCTTGACGGACTCAAGCATAAAAATCTATTGGCAGACTGCTCGACAACACTACTTTGAAAAGAGGAAAAAAAAAAAAAAAGGGGAAGGATGCTTGCTGAGAATTGGATATATTTATATATCTTTATAGTGTGCTATGGGGTTGAAGCAGAATAAGCAAACTCGCCCCCGACTGCCTCGTCATATCGTCACACCTCTCGCTCGCCTAGGGTGGCCGAGTATTGCAATTACACCCTAAGCTCCCTATAAGCTTCCGTGATGCGTTCGAGCTCATTATTCTTCCAGACATCGGCTTCCAAATGAGTCCCATTAAGTTGGAATACCATGTTCGTTGGTCCATGACTATATGTTGGCAAGTCAAGTTTAAACCAGCAGCTATATGCATGGATTAGCTACCCGCCGTCGTAGAAATACAAGCTCAAAACATTCCCTAAAGTCTCATAAGGAGGATAATGGAAAAGTGCCAACTGACACTGTTATGGGGTGATCGTATGATCCCTCGGGATATGACTTGACACTATGGCCTGCGTGGAGTGCAAAGGGGAGGTATAGACGAGCCATATAAAAATCCAACCATTCTCTTGTCCCTGTGCCTTCTTACTTTCTTTTCTTTAGCTATTCCTTCGTGTATGATAGACACTATTAAGTTGAGATGATCTAATCGTGATCCCTAACAGTTATAACTAGAACAGGCATAAGTAACCAATAAACATCTACAAATCTGAGTCGGCGAGACATATATCACATTACAGCCTAAATGTAGTTAATTTAGCGAGAATTGTAAGAATGCGGATATCATGCTGATATTCACATCCTATCCGCGTGAATTTGGATTTAGATGTGGACACCAAAACAGTATACGTGGATGCGGATATGCCACAGCCTACCCACCTGATCAAGCCAGTCGGTAGTACTGGTTAGTAACCACGATAAATATGGACATGCACTGTTTTTTTTCTTCCTAGCGTAATTCAGGGGTCGTTAAGGATCCTCTGAATCCGTCGAAGATGGCCGGTAAAAGGTACCCGAATGCGTGACCCTTCCAGAGAGAAAGTTATGGCGCCAGCTCAAACCCTCCCTCTTGCCCCACCGCGCTCACCATATGAAATTGCCCTGCGGGAGGCTGGTGAAGACATCCAAATTGCAGCCAAGCCTCGTGCGTGTTTCCAATGCTATGGAAATCCCGCGAGATTCAGCAATCGGCATCTCAAGCAGTACTCCTGCTACAAGGGTCTGTTACGACACTTTTGAGACGTGCATCTAGACGATCGTCACTGTAGCTACTACAACGAATCGCTGGACGAGATGTATTGGCGAAGACGCACCGTAGACAAGCATCGCTTGAGTATCAGATACCTTGGGGACTACCCTCGTGATCTTCTTTGAGTATATTCACAGGCATTACTTTTATACAGCAGTATAATTACAATAGATAGGGCATGAAGAGGCCAGTCTAAGCATGCCTGTAGAAATGAAATCTCCAATAATAATAGACAGCTTTCCAGACTGAGGTCTGCTTACTATTTTACCGTCCTCTGTTAAAGAGATTTTTATAATGAGTCAGCTTATGCTGATTATTTTCTGACGCCTCGCTGGAGAGTATCTGGTGTTCTACTAGAAGAGACCCCACACTCTCCAAACATCCATAGCGGGATCAGTTTTGATTGACGGAGACTAATCTCGGCTTTCGGATGCTAACGTTGGATCATTTGCAATGGATCTCTTGACCTCACATTTTGAGAAGGCGAAGCGGCAAGGCAATAAGAGCCTGGACAGAACAGGGAGCAGATGTTTTGTTGCCATAGTAAGCACACTCCTCAAACAAAGACGATATTTGAGATAGCGCCAACATGTCTCAGATCTATGACACAACCAGGGTGTCTGAAGATACGTGATGGTAGCTTAGGGATTGAGGGTACGAAAGTGTGGGCTCGAATTACGTTTGAATTTGGCTATCATGAAGCCGAGTCAGCTCAATAACACAGGTTGAGAATAAAAGACTCAGCTTTGGGAGGCGGGCAAATTCGTTCTTTGACTATCTTTAAATGAACATCGCAGTACGTATATTTGCTAAATCCGGCTGCTCTAATGCCTAGATGGCAGACCCAATCAAATATGACTTTGCGTGCCCCTCTGTAGTATCAAATCTGGATAGTTTCCTTTTGAACAGATTGATAGTAAAAGACAGGGTCTACCCACCAAGGAAAAGGGAAACTCTTGCATGAACAAGACAACTTATTTAACTAGTCAATAAAGAGTGCAGATAAGTGGTTATGTGGATTGCGGTTCACCAAGTTGAACAAATTTGTGAAGAGAAGCAGAAGCCCAAAACTTTCTACGGTTGCTTCGGCTTTTCACTAGCCATCAAGTGATACAGTTGAGCGGTCAGAATATTTTAAATGCAATTACCACCGCAACTAAATTGACTTACGGACCAAGCTGATAAGAAAGCCATCCTATGATAACCCCATTCCACGAAAGTGTCCGAGATTAGAAAGCGATTTGTCACCAATCCAAGACCGGAACGACAGGTAGGTAGGAGTCAACCTCTCGGTCTGGAGAAATATGTCGCATAAAATGCATAATTACTCAACCACGACCGTGCTTGAATTATGATCCAGTGGTGATGGCCTCAAGATAGTTCAAAACCTACTCAAGGGGACTGTATTACCACACATTAATTATGTATAATACACACAAGATCACCCAGGCCATGCCGACAAGCAACAAACAGACTCCAGGACAACACCCCTCTCCGGCCTCCAAGTCGGCAGCGTCGACTGGAGTTAGCTATTAATTTTACTGTGGTCAATCCCCAAAGCCTTCTTCTCTTTCGGGAAACGCACTTCGTCAATTACAATTGCCAGCCTAGCATCAGCACCATCACGGCAATGGCCAATTTCACAGTGGTGCTTCTACCAGTGTGGTTTGACCACGCTGCAGACGAGGTGCAGTGGAGCTTGCCACCCGCTGACGCAGTCACATTCGTTGCGGTTGAAATCGTATCCAGGATGGAGTCGCAGTCGAGGGGGAGGTCGGAGTCTACGGTGAAATAGCCAGTGAGGTTATGGAGATTGGGAAGTTCAACACTAGCATATGGGCAGTTAGCAGGATGGACTCAATGGCGGGAAGGAATCATTGACTTAAAAAAAAAAATTACCTCGAAATATTTCCTCTCAATAGAATATCATTAACGGCATCAAAGGGAAGGTTAACAGCTAAGGGCTTGAAAGTGGTGAGTAAAAGACTTGTTTCACTCATTTTGCGGAGATTTGGCATGGCGAAGCTAGCATCGTCAATTAGTTGTGGGTTCGCAATGGCAGCAAAAACGGCTTTTACCCTCCAATATCACCGGTGAAGATCATATCGCGCACTATACTAGTCAGACGTGGGAAGGTGAGGTTGATTGTCGGTCCTCCGCTTGAGGAAAACTCGAGATTGTATATGCCCGATCCGTCTCCCATCCTTGTGAGGGCGGGCACTTCGAGACTGGGTAAACCACTGTCAATAATTGAATCATGCACGCCTGGGACCTCGAGAGCCGAGCACACCTCGATATCCTTCCCTGCAGTGATACAGAGCCCGCGGATTCCAATGAAAGAAGCGAAATGTCTAGTGAGCTTGCTGGCGAGTTGTCTGGACCGCACAGATCCATGTTGCAAATTAGGAGCCTCTCGCTCACATCACGCAATGCGTCGAGGCGTAGGCTGCTCTGGATCATTAGCGCCTCCAAATTGCAACCTCGAAGGAAATAACAGAGGGAGACAGGTAGTAATAGTGCACGTACGTCGATATATTCCCAGTGATGGTGATATACTTCCCCGTTTCCAACGACCTAAAATCAGCCTCATGCACGTAATTGACGTGCAATTCCCAGCCCTGCGTCTTCAATTTGGGCATCGAAATATTTCTCAGCGTAGGAAGACCATTGAGGTACATTGATGAGCCTAGCTCCTCTAGATCTGGAAGGTCAATCGTCGCCGGCGAGGGTCTGGTGTCGTAGTAATCTAGATTATGTTCCCACTGCAGCGAACCGGTGATATTTCGCACTTTTGGGAGATAGAACGAGCTGTCGGTGTAGTTGTATGCCATCACGATAGTCCCGTTTACTGTTGTGCAGTGGTCTGCGATTTCGTCCAGCCCTGATTGACTTTCAACGTAATACATATAGCCATATGTTCCCAAGGGCGGGTTGCACCATTCGGTGGTGGCTGTAAGTTGTCAGCTGCGTCGGCGAGATAAGCCGGGAGAAGAGTTAGAAGTGGTCGTAGGAATCATACCAACCGGGAGCACTCCAGCTGCCAAGGCAAGCAAGCTCCAGCTGTAGAGGGAATGCATGATGACCTTCAAGATCTTCAATGGGATATAGAGTCGATCACGATAAAAAGGGAAAGAAGATATTAAATACAGAGGGCGGCCAAAGCGCTCCTGGTTTGCCTCGGCAAGTGTGCCGTGACTTGGGTGGCTTACTGGGCCAGTCAGGGACTCAGGGCCGTGTGCCCTCAGTGCCCCAAACCTCAAGGGCGACTAAGTCCCAATTCAGGGACCAAGCGTGCAGAGTCTAACCCAAAGAGCCCCTAGGCGGGTGTGCCCGACTCATCCAGAGATTGAACCTAGCCAGCTTTGTCTAACCATTGGTGGGCGGTCTCTCCACAGCTGCATTGAAATTTTGAACCTGAGGCCCGAGGGGCCCAAGAAGCGCCCAGGCTGCGCTAAAAGAAACCGCCACCTGACTCCTTCGTCGCCCTATCAGTCTCTCCAATGATTCTCCCGCCAAGCGGACCCGCAGCGGTTACCATTCCACTATCAAAACCCGATAAAGGCAGCTCTGACTAGGCACTGGCGGAGATATAAAAATGGCATTCACTCACCATACTGCAATCTTAAATAACAAAGTTGATAGGAAAGACGAGCAGCCCAATACGTGCAAACTTTGTCCTGTTACTAGACCTGGCTTTGGGCCGGGTCTGGGCCAGAAATCCGGCTCGTGAAATGCCCATTTGGCTCCCGAATTGAATAGCTAATGATAACTTGCTGACTTAGCTCGATAAAATACTATTGTTTTGCATACCATTTCTTAACTAGGCTGTTAACACCAAGTTTAAAATCCCCTTTGATTGCAGAAATACATATTCATTATATACAGCACTCATGTACTCGATTTACTGATGTGACGGTTAGCAAGCGGCTACTTTGGTGGCCGTTTTGGCAGTCCTGCTAACCAACTCCCCGTCTTGGCATCAGGGGAACGTATTCCCACGGCGACAGCCTTTCCCTCCACGCCAGGCCTCTTGACGCTAGTCTCAAATGGGACTTTCGTTGCTATCTTGTTATCATCTATCAAAACGCTCTTGCTGCAGTTCTCATTCCACCACCTGTGTCCACAGGGTCGGGAGTTTGCTCGTTTGGTGGAGGCTTCCAGAGCAGTGGAGATTGCTTGTGAGGTTGACCGCAAGTTCATCCAGTTGGGCCGGAGAAGGTGGGAAGGGAAGGTGGAGATCACATTGTTCTGACGCTCTCTCCTTGAATTGCTTTTTAGAAACGCTCCTCATTGTGAGTAGACCAGCGGAAGGGTGGGATGTCTTTGGGAGGACATTGAGTATCCCAGCTAATGGTTGATATAACGGGTTCGTGATCCGCTAAGGGAGGGAAGTCTGTAGCCACCTCTGATGATATGCCATGTGCTAGCATTGAGTCATTGGCCCATGCCAGGTCGATCATGTTTTGTCCTCGTGTTGATGAGTGGTCTCGGTCGTTTGGGCGGTCGCTTCGGGGTGGTGGGCTCTCGGGGGGAAGCGGTAGGGGACTCGTGTATGCCCGGGGCTTCCCCCATATTGACCTCAGACATAGGACTGGCGATAGCGATGTTTGTACTCGGTGGTTAGCGTGGGATTCGTGAACAGGTAGATACTCACGAATTTGGCGCTGCGGGTGTGTCGGGGTGCGGGTGGTTCTGGACAGATCACCAACGACGCCGTGTTCCTGGCACTGTGGGCGGCTCGGATAGAATGGTATTACAACAATCAAATCAAAGCAAGGCGAATGACTCTAGAGATTAGAACACAGATCTTGCGGAACAAGTGTACAGAAATACCACACCAATCAACTTCGTTACATCGGTCCACTTCATCGGCAGATCAGTGGATATTAATTCTTCTCTGCTCACTCGCACATTTACCTTGCTCATGCCCGGGTTCTGTCCGCCTATGTCAACGCCCCTATCCCCAGCATGTTCCGCTGCTGTTTGAGGACATGCATGTCGAAACCTAGATGGTAGATAATAGACTGGCCGTGACTAATGTAGCTTACTCGATAAGAATCTCTTTTAATACGAGATATGGAGGGCGAGGAAGTTGCTTGCTACGGAATTATTGCATTAGCCTTATGTGATAAAGCGGCGGAAAGTCATATCCTTGAACACGGTCAGCGCGAGACTTGGGTTGATTGGGCGTGGACCAGTCATAATAGCACTGGGCGTGCGCAAACATTCTGTATAACCTCAAGCACTGCAAGAAGTCGACCACAAGGCGGAAGCAGATATTGCGCTTATAGTACTGTATGTTGTGGGTCCAAACAAGTTTATGCGACCCACCACCAGGCACAGATGCACTTAGAACTAATCACCATGATCCACTGCTGAGGCACTTGTCACGGAGTATGGGCATTCACCAACAACGCCAGATGTTTGTATACTTTGGCCTGTTTGAGTATAGGGCAGGAGCCCCCTTCGCACACTAGATAGCGCAGCGCTGGCAGGCCCAGCTTCTTTCTTTCCTTCTCCATGTTAGTATTTCGACAGAGAGTCTACCAATGAATTTATATTGTTCGAGCCTGTCACAGCTGAGCCCGTGACACCTTGCCCTTTTTTTTTTTTTTTTTTTTTTTTTTTTTTTTTTTTTGATAAGGATCGATCGGATAAATGGTTGGCCCGAGTAGCAAGGCCAGGAGATTCTTATAGTCGACGTGTGCACACATATTGTAGATTAAGCACTCAATCAGCTGTGTACGCGCACGTACGTTCGTTGAGCAATATACATTTTTCGTCAAGTTAGTCCTCTTCATATAGACCTCGTTAGTCCGGAATAATCGACTCCCGATTTCCCTTTTGAGCTACGATCCGAAAGACCCTGCTTCAGTTTGCTTTGTTGATGATAGCAGTGTTTCCTCTTTTCGTCTTTTTTCTTCCTTCCTCATGTTAATTATTCTCGTCGATAGCTACCTAGGTAGAATCCATGAGTTGGATGTTCCATTATCCTAGTAGAGCGCCGTGACATATACTAGTTTAGATAGGGATATCTATTACAAGACACTGAGGCGTTGAGCCGTCACAGTCATCAAGGTACTCTAGGGACCCTGTAGCTACTACTTTTAAAGCGTCATCATCACCCTATACCATTGCAATATTTCCATCTCCTTCAAGTCTCACTCATTCAGTTGATCAATTACTCGATCAAAATGGCCATCCTAAGCACAGTCTCTCCCCAATCATTCACAATCACAATCACCAAAACTCATCAAGAAATCCAAATCCAGATTCCCAACCTGCATCCTCCCCACACTACCGTTGGAGATCGTTGAAATGATTTGCGACGGGCTCAGTACTCGCGACCTTGCCTTGTTAATGGGAACATATCGCGACGCGTACTGGTTAACAATACACCGCTTCGCGCAGTGATATACCGAAATCTACATAGATTTTCGCAGGCGTAATTCGATAATATTCATGCTATTTCCCCGAATAAGGTGACGAGGGAGTATGTGCATCAATTGGTGATTATGACTCGCAAGCCGTATTTGGGGAGCAGTGTGAATTGGGAGTGGAGCATGGCCAAGCATGTGAAGAAAGCGATGGATATGGCTGTTATTAAACGGTTCAGAGATGGTTTGGTGTTGAGGTTGGTGAATTGTCGGTCGTTTATTATTTCGCCGGTTGGGAATGCACATACAGAAGAAGAGCAAGATAGACAGTTCAATCTTGATGATGCGGCTTGTATCCTGCTGGATATAATCGCAGATGCCTCCTTACCTATCAAGATTCTCTGGTACGGGGCAGAATTGAATTACACATCCGACATAATGAATATATACCGATTACCCAAAGCCCTTTTTAGCAACCCCGGATTCAGAGCCGGATGGAGCGCTCTCAAGAATCTGCATCTGGAACACGAACCCACGCCATCAAATTCTTCATTCCTCATGGCTGTGATTCTGCACGCTCCGAACACACGCAAGCTGTATCCCAGTCTTGGACTGAAGGATTTGGCTGTCGAATTCTTCTCCCAACTTAGCAGATCAAGCAATCTGCCGAGTAACCTGGAACGAGTGACGTTATCATTCACGGCCATCAAAGCAGATGATCTCATAACCATCTTGTATCAATCCCGACATAGTCTCCGATGACTGATTCTAAACGGCGTCATCGATTTATCAGTTGGGTGACTTACATTCCTTAGCAAAACGCAAAGCCTGTTTTCGGCACTTGAAACAACCGCGCTGAACATGCTCTAGTGTGAAGGCTACATTATCCTTTTCACTACTATCAAGGGTTATCCATCTGAACTAAAACAGATGTTTAAGCTACAGGCTTGCAATTATCCTACCTTAAGAGGGGACTGGGACTGGGAAGACGTATATTATTGCGATTACTTATACAGGGCTTGACATGGGGACGGCGTTGGATGTGTTATTGAAGGCGTATGAGGAATTGGGTGGGATGGAATTGATACTGATATACCCTATTGAGTGTTCTGTAATGGTTGAATAAAGCGAATGGAATGTTCTATGATAATAAGGCTAGTAGATAAATTGAACGTTGCGAGACAGTAAAATATTGGGTTGAGTATCTTCGCTGATTAAAGTTAGCCCAGAAACGAGAAATACATGTTGAGCAATACCACAAAGCAAATAGCGAAGTACGACTAAATCTGGCGACTCAGAGAGCCGACTTAGAAAGGCGAACCATTTTTCATCATATCTTCTTCCCACCAATCACAATCATGGGTTTTGTCCCAGTCATCGTAATATCAGTCATCATACTCATGAATATCGAAATCGCCTTCGAAAGGATCGTAGAAGTCGTCGTCGATATTGGGATCAACTACGTCCCATGGCCCCAAAACCTCATCGTTAGCTTTCCCATTGTAATTCGCACTTTGTGAAACTTGATTCTATCCTTTGTCGCATCTTGTACCTTTACCTTCCATGCATCACTGAGCCTACCATTATAAATGCCATATAACCCGGGCAAAAAAGCAACATCCCCAGCACAGTATTGTATGATTATAGGTGCGAGAGGACGGTCATCGGAAATCCCATATCGATCGCCTCTGAAAAATCGAGCAGTCCTTTCTTTCTATTGCTTCCATTCCACTTTTCTGGCGATAGAGATTGGACTATCGTTCTCAATACACTTGGCTAATCTGGAAACAATCTTCTTTGAGCCCTTCCTTGTCGCCAGCTCCACTAGCTGGAGGTCTTGCACACCGTCGAGAGAAATGTTATAATGAGTGGACAAGGCGTCTGAATCATTTCGAACGTCGAAGAAAATCTTCTTGATGCTGGGAGATTCGAGAACACTCCGCAAAGAAGTGCCGTTGATGTGCAGGGTTCCGAAGGCCTGTTCTCACATGACTTGGACATCGATCAGATAGATTGCCCTCTTAGGGACCACATAGAGGGTGAGGATCGATATGGAACCGTCACGGCCTAGGCCAGTTCCTTCCAAGTCGAGATAGAGGACGGGAGACGAAGTATTGAGACATGTGAGATCGTCGAGGGAGGTTAAGAGGGTAGCTGAAGAGTCAACTACTTGGTTTGGAGTTGGGATTGTTCCACGGTCATGCTGGAAAGGTGAGTACACCGCAAGGAACAAGGTATGGAGTAACTAGATGACAGTTTGACATAAACCAGCCCACCACTGTTATAGTTTTGCTAACAAAGAAGGATTTTCAAACCTTGTAGGGCATTAAGATAGCCGGTGTATTGTACAAGTGAATAAAGCACGCCATGTCTCTGTCATTATTTTCTGCATGGTTGCATGGTCATTGCTTCCTGGCAATTAAGGCACCAAATCCAAAGTGATGATACGCGTGCCAAGACTGTGTGACCGCCCACGTGAACCCCGCGTCGTGAGCTCCGCCTGGCCCGCGCGATATTCTGCCACCGCAAAAGCCGGCCCAACGCAGGCAGGAAAACAGCCCTTCATAACGCCCTTTTTCGCAGCCGCTTCCCGCCAATCACCGTGTGCCATTGCTTTCCAGATCAACTGTTTTCCTCCTCGCTTAGTCAAATACAGCAAAACAGGAACCGTCGAATCACGTTTCTCCGCCCAACACAGCTATTTAAACAGTCTTTTTGCCCCCGTTTTCTTCTCTTTTCCTTCCCCTCTTACTATCATCTATTTTAGCAGCCGACGCGTTACGTCCATCACCACTTTTTCTATCTCGAAAGTGGTTTCTATTTCGATCTTATTAATTTTATAATTTTTTTTTCATCTCTAAACACTCGACAATATGTCTGGACGTAAGTTCTTCCCTCTTACCTTGTGTCGTTGGGTGGTCGCGTCTGATGGTCACCTGCACGTGATATCGTGATTGGTGCCTCAGGCTACCACAATCATACCATCAATTCACAACACATCGCGTCTACCCTTCAGTACTAACAATCTACTCCAGGCGGCAAAGGTGGCAAAGGTCTCGGCAAGGGCGGCGCCAAGCGTCACCGTAAGATTTTACGTGACAACATCCAGGGTATTACCAAGCCCGCTATCCGCCGTCTCGCTCGCCGTGGTGGTGTCAAGCGTATCTCCGCCATGATTTACGAAGAAACCCGTGGTGTCCTCAAGACCTTCCTCGAATCTGTTATCCGTGACGCCGTCACCTACACCGAACACGCCAAGCGTAAGACCGTCACCTCGTTGGACGTGGTCTACGCCCTCAAGCGCCAAGGCCGTACCCTGTACGGTTTCGGTGGTTAGGCTGCTGTTAATTGGTTGATATTGTTTGCGTGCTTTGAGTTTCGATTTTCTGATGGGTATATCTCGGGGTTTATGGTTTATACGGTTAACTGGGTCATGGAGTATCAAGGATGCGGGTATTCCTAATGCGTTACGGATTTATTTACCTGTTTTACCGTCAATGTGAATAGCACTTGATGGGTTCGGAATTAGAATGGAATTGACTTGCACGACTCCTCAATTGTGCCATTGCCCAAAGTTCGTGGATGTATTTAAATCTATAGTGAACTCTGTACGGAGTAGCCTTGTGGCATGTCCCTTAGAAAATCGATCCAGCCGAATCACATGCCTATCAGTTACCATGACGTCATCTCCCCAAGATATCTCCGATGCGACAGAATCAAGACCAACCATGATCCATCCCTTATCATTCTGATTTCTCCTTCCAGCTGTATCGATGAGATACGATTTGAATCAGATTTGTTTAATGTGATTGTTCTGCTCAAACCGATAACTGCACCTCATTGGGAACCACCCTGTACTACTTCTATTGGTACTACCCTCACAATACACCGTCGATTCCTTCTATCTAATCATGATCCTACAGACAATAAAAAACACCTGGAATAATTTGCACTGAGCAAAATGGCAGAGTATCAACTTTCTTACGAGTCCGAATTGGTACCATACCCCCTGCGATTCTACTACTTGACCTCGCCGTCATCCATCTACTTGAATGCTGACATCACATCTCTCTTCAGGACACATTCCAATTATACTACCGATACAATGAACCGCCCAAAGAAGACTGGCGCACGGCAGCCCTACGAGGCCCCGCTCTTCCAGCTCTGGGGAATGCCCTAGCTGGCGCCATGGGCTCCGCTGTATCCAACGTCGCAACATACCCGCTAAGCGTGATCGTGGCAATATTGCAGACTCAGAAGCAGAACCACACGAACAAGTCAGATAACGACGAGAAGGAAGACAAGGGGAACAAGGAAGAAGACACGAACATCATTAGCGTAGCGAAAGAGATCTACCAGAAAGGCGGGCTCAAAGCGTTCTATCCCGGTCTCGTGCAGGATACAGCGAAAACGGTAGCAGATAATTTCCTCTTTTTCCTGGCATATTCGTTTTTCCGGCAGCGACGGATCAGGGCTCGATTCGGTGCGCAGCGTGCAAGGAGACATACTAGTGTTGTTCTTCCGGTGTTGGATGAGTTGGCTATTGGGGTTCTGGCAGGGTCGTTTTCGAAGTTATTCACGACGCCACTGGCGAATATCGTTACGAGGAAGCAGACTGCGGCGTCGAGTAAGAATACGAGGGAGATTGCGGCACAGATCAGATCTGAAAAGGGTATCAAGGGGTTCTGGTCAGGGTATTCGGCTACGTTGATTCTCACGCTTAATCCGTCGATTACGTTCTTCTTGAACGCGCTCCTGAAGTATACATTCTTGTCTCAGGAGAAGCGGTCGAAACCCTCACCAGCTACGACTTTTTTACTTGCTGCCCTGAGCAAAGCAGCTGCCTCGTCTATTACATATCCTTTTTCAATGGCCAAGACCAGAGCCCAAGTATCCGGCAACACTCGCACCAGCAATGAAAAGACCAGCAACAAAAACACTCTTCTAACCCTCCTCACCCCTCAAATCCTCAGAAATGTCGTCTCCATCGCCCGCACAGAAGGACCCACAGCCCTCTATTCCGGTCTCTCCGGTGAAGTATTCAAAGGCTTCTTCTCGCACGGCTTTACCATGCTCGCCAAAGACGCTGTCTACTCTCTCATAGTCAAGTCCTACTACCTCCTCCTCCTTGTTCTCCGCAAATATCCCACCCCAGAAGAACTCCTCGAGCGCGCCCGCGAACAGATGGAAGAATACGCTGAGGTTGCACGTGAGGGTGCAAAGGATTTCGCGGAGAAGGCTAAGAATGGTGCTGAAGATATTGCCGAGAAAGCAAAGAATGGTGCTGAGGATCTTGCGGACAAAGCTAAGAATGGTACTGAAGAGATTTTGGAGTCACAGCCGGGTCATGTGGCTGTTGACGGCAGTTCGTATGCTACGCCGGGGGGTATTGAGTCGTCTTCGGGGCTTCCGAATGAAACAGCTGAGTTACTGGGAGATTATGTGGGGAGTGATGAGTGAATTGTTTGAATCTGTATGTTTGTTTGTATATCTATATGGTTGTCGGTTGTGCATGCTGCCTGTATGTTTAGTATTTTTTAATCAGTGTCAGCCTTACCTGGGCCGTGCGTTCTTGCATATCTCGGCTTTCTTTAACATGGCTAATGGCTCCATCAATTCTATCAATCCACCAACCCATCTCCATCCAAACCTCAAATCCTATCTCACAAAAACCACCACAATGGACCACCCCCTCATCCAAAACTACCCCCTCCCCAACCATATGCAATCCATTCTCCAAGCCTGCTCCTCCGCAAATCTCGCATCCCTCCAAACCCTTCTAAAACCCTACAACTATCCCCCAACCGGCACCTCACCGACCTGGTGCGAATCAGACACCAGTCCTCCGGAGACCTGGAAAATGGTAACCGTTGCCATAACCCACGGACACATACATATACTCGCCTACCTACTTACCTTGTACTCGCGCGGAGGCGGGGGGATTGAGTGTGACCCGGTTATCGAGGCTATTCTGAACAATCCGGATGTACAGGTCATGACCCTCGTTCACAACCACTCCCCACGCTCGATATATTACACTTTTAATTCGGGGGAGACACTCCTCTCAACAGCATGTAGAAGATGCCAATACCGATCGCAGTCTGATCCGTTCATGTCCAAAATGCTTCCGCTTATTCATTACCTACTGGATAACGGTGTCTCGCCAGCCAAGCACGTCCATGACAGATTCCGTGGAGACAGTGCTTTACTCCCAGCAGTACAATCATCATTGCCTATTGATGTCATAGAAAAGATGATTCGGTGCGGTGCGGTCGTTGGCGTCGAGGAGTTTGGGGAGGCTGTTGGGGGGAAGAGGATTGATGTTCTAGGACTGTTTATGGAGAAAGGGGTGTTTGGTGGAATTTCGTATACGGAACTGTGTGATGTTGCTAGGGAAAGGGCGAATGGTGATGTGAATGGGGAGATTGGTCGGTTCGTGAAGAGGGGGGTTAGGCGGAGGATGTGGAGAGATAGGAGGGATCTATGCTTGTCCAGGTTGTGTCTTTTTAGGAGTATATAGTGGTTAGTTAACCCGCGGTGAAGGCTAGCAAATATTGGTCTATTAATATATTAGTTACTATAAGACAAGAGCATGGATTTATTCAGGACCTATTTATTAAGACCAGTGTAAAGCAGACTCCACATTCTATATCAGTGCTATATATGACAAATTCTCTACCACAGTTGCAGTTGGCATCCAACCAAGCTATGACCTTACCGGACCGGCTCCATTCTACAAATTGTCCGGATAATTTTGAGAAAACCCCATTGTCTCGAATTGTTCATCTCGCTTAGGGTTCTCGCAAAAGTGCCGGAGTTTATTCAGGAAACTTTTCTGGACTTCTTTTTCCTTTTGGGGCGACACAGCTGTGCTCTTTTTCTTTTCTTTTTTTCTTTTTTTGTTTCTTATCATGTGATTCACCTGTTTTCCCATTCCGGGCTTTACCACCTTTTTCTAAACTATTCCTTAAAGAGGGCCCTTGCTATCAGCAGTGCTTATACAAAAAGCGGGTGTAAACTTCCATATTCCTCATGGAATCGACCGGGAAAAGGATAGTTGCTTTGCCTTCTATAGGTTTATTGCCATCCAAAGAACCACCCAGCAATTTGAAGGGATGGATATGATATCAGTTTTCCTAGTTTGGAAGGATGGCTGCACTGCCAGAGATAGTGTGATTGCTTGTGATAAGCACTTGGCATTTGCTGCCCAAAATTCCACTCCATTGACTGTTAAGAAGCTCGAAAAGCCTGTTGGAGCGACCGCCAGTAGTGCTTTCATGCTAAGAATAGTCAAGAGTAGACGACGTAACTCTCCTCTATCTCCTTTTGAAAGGACCGGTGGAATTGGCCAAATTGGGTTTTTGTCTTTCTCTAACACCATCGTTCTGATGAAGATGGGGAGTACATTGTCTCCAGCAATAGTCGGAGGGCACGCAATGGCGGTCTTGACACGGTCTGCATGGTCTGTGCCGGTTTTTAGGACAATCTCGTCCACATTACGATGGAAGGCTGCCGCCGGAAGGTTGACTAACTCCTCCACCTTGCCCCAGTCGTTGAACACCTTGTCGTCAGGCTCGCCCGCGACCTTCCACACGTCTGAATCAAAATACGTCAGAATACCAGTATCGCCAGTGTGCAGCCAGTACCCGGGTCGCTCAGGACTGTAGCCTTTGATCATTCCATTTGCAATCGCATTGGCCGCACAGCATGGTCGGAAGCATCCGCAGCGTTTGTTTCTCCTGATAATCAGAGGGTTTGCTATCTTTCGGTATCTCTACATACGAATTACAACGTCTGCCTAAGCGGCTTCCTTCGCAAGACTGACGGGATAAACGCTTTGCCGGTTCTATAACGTTGTGTCTACACTGAAACTGACTGCGATCTTGAAAACATACAATAGCCAGGATTGAGGTATCCAAGACCCATGCAGCCGATCAACCCCGGGACATGGGCTCCTTGGAAATGAAGAAAGAAAAACCCGATCCAACTGTCTTCTCAGGGTCCAGTTCTCTGAGAAACGGTTGTAGAGCTAAAGCAAAGAATATCACATGCTAAACAGGAAGGATGTGTCACAGGCTCGGAAATAATAGATACTGATGAAGTGATATTCCTATCTAAAATATTGTAGCCATCGACGAGAATATCGAATCTGAAAGATGAGAGGAGAAAAGAAGCCTATTTACATGAAAAGATTTTATAGGGTTGTACAATAGGAATAAGCTGCCGTTTGTTCCAATTACCCGTGTGGTACAGTCTGCCATGTTGATGCCGTCTGTCGATAATGGCGTCGGTGTGGCGCTGAGCTGTTCTAACATGCATACCATTAAGACCTAGCTATCAGAATCACAGTGGAGTACATAATTGGATTCCATACATCGCATTGTGATAGTAAACTTATTCAATCCAATTATGTGAGCGTTTCACTGAAAAGGCATGCGCATTTTCATTGAGCACGGTTTAAAGAAACTCTAGACAAACTTTGTATTACAAGGCACTCTATCTCAAAATCTCAGATGCCCTGAATTGGATAGTTGTGAAAGCAAATGACTACGCAAGGGCCCATTGGTTATGTATGTTATCTATCATAGACCTGATGTATATTTGTCCCCATGACGGGGTTTGACGATGATCTTCGACAAAGTCCGTACCAAGGACTGCCAACGCCCCCAGTACTACTGATTTCAACCTCAACCACAACTCCAACAAATCCCAACAAGTGAGTCTTCAAAACCTATTTATACACACTCAAATGAAGAAATGGAGGGACATGGCCAGTCTATTGGTCTAATCTGCATTCGCGAAGGTGCTCAAGACTAGAACATACGGAAGCTTCGATGGCCTGAGTGAACTTTGCGTGTGAGCCATTGACAGTTGAATGATACCTGAATATACTCATCTTCGTACTGATATCTACTTTGCTACAACGTGGTAGTTCCACATACCCTATTTAGATTTCATACTATAGCCACCTTGCAATAAAGCCTCTCAACCGTCAGGTCCCCTATCGCACACGTGACAAATTTAGATCTCTATTGACACGGTCTCTCTGCTCTTCTTTCTGACCGTTGTGACAGGCATGAGTGCGATATTCCATATGCCAGAATAAGAAATTCGTTTCTGACTGTGGCGACCGCGGGTCCGCAACCGCGATTTTATGCCAAAAGGATCCGATATCCGCCAATAGACGGTGATCATGATCCTTCCGCTAAGGTTCCCTGGGGGATGTCTGACGCATGTCCTTCGGCTGCTTGATCGGTTAGGGCATATTCGGCGTAGAGTACGAAAAGGATTGCCAAGAGAAGGAATGATGGCATTCTGTGGACGACGATGTCTAGGACTAGATCCAGGGGATCTGGAAAGAGGCAACGTAAAAAAAAAAAAAAATCTAGAACCATAATGCGTTTGCCTATTGGATGTAATAGATGACCCTATTAAGGAGACCTGGTCATTGTGGCTCTATCACAATCAGCAGATAGAATGTGCATCCTCCAGACTTGATCCCTCCAATAAAAATGGAATAGAGTAGTAGATCATGGCATGCCAATCACTTGGATAGACCGAGATACAGACCCACCATCCGGGAGTTAGCAACCGGGTTTGACCGAAACTCTGCAGTCATCAACGGCGCAACTTGCATTGACTAATCCCCCCAGCATCAACCAGCCACCACATCTGGGGTGGAGTAGTGCAATCAACAATCCGAATGCTTCTATTGATGCCGTTGTCTCATTCTATTATAAAGGTACAGTTAGCGGTGCTGGTATCAAGATGTTAGGTAGATAAAGCATATTGAGAGTCTGAGGTGGTAATTGATCTCCCTTTATCAAGTAACGCGGCCATGCCATGCAAATATGGATAGATCATATAGTACAAATTCATATAAATTTGTAGCATTCTGGTATCCCTCAATCCCTTTCTACTAGAGGTATATTATCTCCTAATTCCCGAAAAGCTTTCTATTAAGATAAAAAGCCGAACCTTTTAACATTTTTATTATCATCTTCAAAGTAATGGTACGAGTAATAGTAGGTATATATCATGATATAGTGATTACTCCTTAACCAAAACACCGCGATATCTCATCTTCCCCTCTCTCAAAGTCTGCATCGCATCTTCAATTCCAGCCACATTCATCGGGAAGGTCATAACCGTAGGGCGGATATCCTTTCGAGCAGCAAACTCAAGCAGAGTGCGAATGCTACGACGGGCGGCGACCAGAGAACCTTGAACGCGAACACCCTTGAAGGCAAACTGCAACAGAGGGACGGGGGAGGCTTCGAAAGCAACAGTGAGAGGGTAGATGCTGCCGTGGGTATCCATTAGGGGGGCAAGCCTTGGATGGTTAGCTGGCGGGCTATACATATAAGAGGACGAATGAGCTTCTTACGAAGGATAATCAATGCTGGCACTTCCACACAGCAAGAGATGCTTCAAAGGCTTGCAATCCTTAGGAGGCTCCTGTCCAGAGCGGAAAACATGGAATTCCGACGCCCCAAAGTCCATAGCCTCTTGACGCTTGGACTCAGAACTGGACAAGACGACGACATGGCACCCCATTGCTGCGGCCAGTTTTATGGCAATATGGCCCAGTCCGCCAATACCCATGACAGCCACTCGGTCAGTGGCCTTGATGCCATATTCAGTCAGGACAGTCCAGACTGTGGCACCAGCACACATAAGCGGTGCGGCGTGGATAGAGTCATATCCCTCGGGAATGGGGAAGACGCAGTTGACGTCCCAGACGGCGCCGTAGCTGAAAGTACCGTTGTCGAGATCGTGGAAACCGTATTGTTTCTGGTTGCGGCAGTATTGGTCCCAGCCTATTTTGTTAGCCAATATTCAGCATAATAGAAATAGTAGACATACCGGTAGCACAGTTATCACATGAGTTGCAGATACTATGAGTGTACCCAAATCCAACACGATCGCCCACCTTGACAGTGTTCACAGCAGGACCAACAGCCTTGATAATACCAATACCCTCATGGCCCAGCACCTGTCCAGACTTGAGATAGTGTTCATCTGTACCACAGAGACCAGAGTGTGTGGTTTCAATAAACACCTCGTTGTATTCAAGAGTGCGGCTGGTCTTGTCGGCCACAATTCGGCCTTCGGGGGAACCGCGGAAAACGTCAAAGGTGATGCTCATTTTAGTGGGGGGGACCTTGTTGGAATCAATTTGATTGAGGTATTAGACTTTGGGTATCTAGGTACTTATAGAGAATGGCAAACCCCTATATTGTCAAACTGATTGCATCATGTCTTCAAAGTGGATTCCATCGTTTGTTGTCTGATTAATTCACCGAATAATCAAGAATCAAGACAGAATCCACTCTTTCCATGAGAACCGTCATATATGGAATAATTCGAGAACAATGTGGATCATCTGTTCCGCTGCAGAACTGGCAATCTTCACGGAGGTGATCTGCTTCGAGATATATTTCCGAAGATCCACCGCGGTCAAAAGTGAAGCGTGCAACCGAGAAAAGTCCGCAAAAAGCCTCCGGGCGGCGCAATTGATGTCCCGTCGCATGATCGGGATACCGAATCATTCATGATTATTATTGTTGGGCCGAGCGAGCCGTTGCCGACTTTCCATTGATGTTATATATACCCACCGTTTCACAAGGCCAACCACACTCCACTAAAGAGGACGAAACACAGTCCCGCGCAGGAGTTTCTGCACCGGTGTGTATAGTTAACCTATTAGTAGTTAATATATATAGCTTAGCTACTAGATAGACGTGTGTTCCAATCCGGGACCCCTGGGCACGTGATCAGCAAGTGATCCCTAATTTCTGAAACGGATAAGCCAATAAGGCGGTTAAACTCCGAGTCAAGGAGTCGATTATCCGGACTGCACGAGGCTATATATGAAGAGGAAATTTAGATTACACGGAGGGTGACATTGATATCTATAGACACCATAGATGGTAGAATGAGCGCTTGGCTATCTAAACGAGTGTGTCCGTATATGAGGGATCTGTCGGCCGAGGTAATCGGACCAACTATTAATCCATCTCGACTTTCATCAATTTCCGACGTTAAATAGTAATTACTCTTACTAATGCCACTGAAAAGGCAGCTTTAATAGCCATGAAGCCCTAAGCAGCCTCCCACGCGGGAGGCTACCTGCTTTTGTATAATAGATTATAGCGCAGCTAGGTAACAGGCAGTTCCGATCTACCCGCCCCGATGTTGGTTAGGCATATAACGTAATCAACCACTGAGTTGCGAATTTTCCCGCTCCCCACCATGATTACTGAGCTGTCTCAACCACATTGATTATTGAATTGATTATCCAGTAGCTTAAATATTTAGCTATTTACTGAGACTGTTCCTTATAGTGTGGCCAATAGTTCCACAGCCACCGCAGCGTTGTGGAATTCTCTTTTGAGGCACAGGTGTAGGCTCATTGTAACGGCTCAGCCCAGCGCCTTCATCAGCAAACATCATCAACACGGCAAACAATACCATGGAAGCAACCAAGACAAACAAGCTGCTTAGCGAGACCACACACAACCATATGGGACTTCTTCACGTAAATAGACTTGCCTCTTATTTTCTTTTCTTCTCCAGATTCGATATTCTCGTCGATGGCTACTAGTTGGTTTAGATAGGAATATCAATTCGTTAATATCTTCTAGCTATTGAGCCCGAGACACTCATCAGGTTGCTCATTAGCCTGTATATCAAGCCGCTAAGCCCGATTTTGGCCCTCATGTACAGATAGAAGAGGGTTATTCCCTAGAGTACCATGTTTCCTTGATTTCTTAGGTTTTCTCGCATTTCCAGCTCGGAGAGTCTTAGTTTTATCTTGAAGAAGGTTCATATAATCTTATTAATTGCCATTTGCACAGCCCTTTCGAGATGATTAATATGAGCCATTGGGCTGTTGGAGGGCGTTCGCCTTCTTTACTGGGACTCTTCTGCAAGTTGCAAACCCCATGGCCAAGCTGACGAGTATTTTGCGGAGTTTGAAAAGCAGAGGAGACTGAGCCTTCAACTAGAGCTGGTGATGTTGGCGTCCGAGTTGAAATGTAATTTTTGCAAGAACCCGGTCTTGATCCACTGCTGAGGCACGTGTCACGGAGTACGGGCATTCACCAACAACGCCAGATGTTTGTATACTTTGGCCTGCTTGAATATAGGGCAGGAACCCCCTTCGCACACTAGATAACGCAGCGCTGGCAGGCCAGCTTCTTTCTTTCCTTCTCCATGTTAGTATCTCGACAGAGAGTCTACCAATGAATTTATATTGTTCGAGACTGTCACATAAGGCCAACCCCCGCAAAGGTATTTCTTATATTGCCTGGGGTAAACATCTTTGCCTGTGCTTTTGAATATAGGGATAAAAGGTCTTATCAATATGATTGTTGTCTGCAATCATTTGTACCTCCAGCAGTTTTTCCTGCTCAATCCCTTCGTCGTCGATAATGGATGTCGTGAAATTCGTGTAGGCTGCCGCCATGACCAGCTTGACCATTGTGTAGCCGTGCTGGGGGATAAGGCGTGTTGTGATTTCTGCGCGCGCAGAGTAGAATCCCGATGTGCCGTGGCTGCCATCGCCCAGTAGGACAACCTTGTACTTGGCAAAATCATCAAAACGAGGCTATTCTCGCAATCAAAAATTAACGAGTCATCTTGCGGCATGTGTCCAATCATACTTGGGGGTAAACTTTTCCCATCATGTTTTGACCCTGCAGTTGAAAAGCGCATCTTGCACCTAAACGCTGATAAGGAAATGTATAAGCTCGCTATGCGGATTTGTGCCCTAACATAGTCTAAATTTTACCATAATTATATTATATGAGTCGAAGCTTAACCTGCCGGAGCTCCCTACCTATACAGAATTGCTGGATTTATGATGTATGTTAAGATGAGTGGCCCAGTTGTACTGGTGGTATCACCAGTGTACTGCCTTGGTATGTATGTACAGCATCTGGAGACCCAGCTATTATCAGAGGATAGAGATGATATAACATTTGTGTCCAATTTTGGTGTACGTTGATATAACTTCCACGTCCGTTGTCTTCATAGGATGATTGAAATCATAACAGCTCATACATGTTAAGGTATATAAATATGTGTTCTATAGTCTGTGGACATTCAACCGGATCGGGACGCCAAGGAATTAGTTATAGCACCTTGATTAAATGGAATAGTTGATAATTGTGACGGTTAACAGCCAATGGAGGGCTATTATTGGGTGTACCAAATAAACACCCCACTTCATGCTATGTACACATGAGTAAGACTAGAAGATGAACGCATAGATATTAGATGGAAACATAAACAGACGATACAGCATATAAAATCCCAAATCTAGAGACCTGCAGATCTACCCCCATTGAGCACTGGGTCTCTGCGCCATTTTATTCTTCTACGTCACTAATAAGCCAGATCCCCTTAGACTGTCTTAATACCCCCCTCAATTCGGTTAAAATTCCCCTCATCTCGGCTAAAAAATAGGTCGTAGGAGTGTATCCAAGTTGAGATTCTAGTTTCATATAAGATGGGTTGGTTAAGCATTATGGGATTGCTGACCCTACAGGCTTCAGCAACCAAACAAATCGTTTGACTACCTTTTCTCTTTTTGCGACTATGATTCTTCGCCCATTAGTAGCCTCTACCGCCCTTGTTGCTGTTTGTGCTGTCAGTGCTACACCGTACCGTCGCACACCCGGGTTATCAGAACATGAGCTATCGCTCGCACCCTCCCTCAATCGCTGGTCACGCGGAATTCACCTGGCTGTCGACTACTACCCTTCGCAATGGCCGGAGCAAGTGTGGGAATCCGACATTTCTCAGATGCGAGATGCCAACATATCGTATGTGCGATTAAACGAGTTCGACTGGGCCATCTTAGAACCAACCGAGGGACAATACAATTTCACTCTTCTCGACAGAACTCTGGAGCTGCTCGCTCGGTATGGCCTTAAAGCAATTCTTGGGACGCCCACAGCAAGTCCTCCCAACTGGCTCACCGAGAAGTACGACGTCAGCTTTGTGGATTACACCAATACCACATTGCTCTTTGGGTCTCGCCGTGGCTATAGCACATCTTCGACTGACTACCGTATACTGAGTCAAAAAATAACGCGAAAACTAGCAAAGCGGTACGGAAACCACCACACCGTAGCGGGCTGGCAACTGGATAATGAATTTGGATGTCATGATACCGCGCAGAGCTACGATCATAATTCCATCAGGCGATTCCGGGCATGGCTACAGAATAAGTACGGCACTATCAATAATCTTAACGCTGCCCAGGGCCGTGTGTTTTGGTCGGACCAGTATACCAGCTTTGACGCAGTCCAACCCCCGTTTCTGCAAGTCTACACGCCACAGCCTGACCATGTTCTTGATTGGTACCTATTCAGCTCAGACATGATGATTGAATTTGCACGGCAGCAGTCGGAAATCTTGAGGAAATATGCGCCTACGCAATTTATCACAACCAACTTTATGATGGCCTTCGCCGAATTCGACCACTTCAAGTTCTCGCGTGAGGTGGGACTTGACCTCGCAACATTTGATGAGTACCCCCTTGATCTGAGCTCGTTTTCGTGGCTCTCTGCAGAAGAACAAGCAAAATATCTGCACACTGGTCTACCGGATTGGCAGGCGCTGAACCATGCTATCTATCGCGGCGTTGCGGGTGCCGCCTACAACAAAACATCAGGACCGTTCGGCGTCATGGAAATGCAAACCGGCGTTCTGAACTGGAGCCCTTACCGGGTGTCTCCGTTGACAGGCATGGTGAGACTATGGACGCACGAGACATTCGCAGACCTGGGTGATGTGGTATCATATTTCCGCTGGCGTCAAATCCCATATGCACAAGAGCAGACGCTGTCCGGCCTATTCACCCCAGACGATACCACAGACGAAGGCTTCCTCGAGCTTCAGACCGTGATAGATGAAGATCTACCGACCCTAGGGGAAGCACTCAACACTGATCAAGAAGAAGAGCACCAAGCGGATGTAGCTCTCATATTTGACTACGTTTCTTCCCAGGTTTGGGCTATCGAGCCGTACAGCGGGGACTGGAGCCCGAAAGAATCTAGCTATACGAACCCAACTGTGAAATATATGGACATCGTCTATAATTTCTATTCCGCTCTCCGCCGCCTCGGTCTTTCTGTTGATGTGATTAGCCCCGACCAACCTATTCACGGCTACAAGTTCGTCGTCGTACCGAGTTTACCCATTATTCCTAAAGCATTCAACCAGGCACTAGCTGACTACAGTGGTCCCGTTGTTTTTGGGCCGCACACGGGTTCTAAAACGTCTACTTTCAGCTATAGCCCTGGTCTCAGCCCCTCGAAAGGCCCGCTCCGCGACCGTCTACCGAAGAGAGTCACCCGGGTAGAGACACCGCCAAGTTACGCGGATAGCGGTGTCACATATGCGGGAAAGACGTTCAATATTTCAGGCTGGGAAGAGTGGGTGGTCTGCGAGCGAAAGAACCGTACGAGCGTTATTTCAATGACATATACTTCGTCACATCGTTTCGGTCAGCCTGCCGCCTGCTCACTAGATGGGCTGCACTATCTTGGCTTTAATCCTCCGGTCGAACTGCTTGTGTCATACCTAGGTCATGTCGCTAAGGACACGGTAATTACTGATTTTGCGGGACGGCAGGCCAATAGTAGCAATGACCTTGGACCTACGCTGCGGTTTGCGAAAAGGGGGACCTTGCTCTGGGGGTTTAATTATGGTTTAGAGCCTGCGAACATTCCTGCCCTCGAGGGTGCTGAGCTGCTAATTGGTGGGAATGGTTCTGAGATTGCATCGGCTGATATAGCAGTTTGGAGGTTGAAGGATGCAGAGACTTGACTATATTGTAGACATCGATGTGCCTCCTAGGCTTTTCTTTAGCAGTGGACTTCAATGGTGTAGTCGTAGCTAGAGCTGGAAGGATATCTGTTCTAGACTCTCATAATGCCAATTTATATCCTAGATTCAAACGGGGAAGCTTTGGGGCAGCGGTGCCGATTCTCCGGATAACCGTACGAGGCCTATATGACAGCCGAGAACTATAGCGACAGTACCGCGCAGTAGAAAATGTACGTGGTATTGAGTCTTCTGTAGAGTGATTGCAAGAACTAACTAAGAGCTTCATCGCCGTACGATAAAACCTCTCCAGAGCTTACTATATCGGCCCGATATTCATCCGATCTTCATCAATCGTACGGCGATGAAGCGCTCTTAGTTTAGCAAGCACTCACTATAGTACGATAGTCAATATACGTGTACACCCCCTCTATGGATAGCATAGACCAGTTCCTATTCTCATACAGTGGCCTTGTACAGCACACAACAATTGACCTCCAACTACTGATCCTGAGCTGGTGCCCCACTTCATGTGTAGATAGTGTACTCTTATGATATGGTCTAGTTAAGAGTAGGTGCAGCATGAGATCATAAATCTGTACAACCAAGCCACAATTGTCCAGGAACTGGCAACTTTTCCTGTGAGTATGGCACTTGATATAAATAAAAATGTTTATATATTCCTGCCTGCTCATCATGACGTGAACCCTCCATCACTCAGTCATGGTAAGTAGTCAATCCATTCCCATAATCCTTCCCTTGTTTCTTTCCTTTTACCCCAATCTCAAGTCCAAGCGACACTACAGTGCTACAGTACTACTTATTACTATTATTACCGACTAATTCCCCCAATCGACTTTTAATCCCTATCTAAGTTATCTTTCCTGTGTGGCCGTTGCGTCATCGTCGCGTCAAATCCTACCTCCTGTACATAATATTTTATCTTACTTGTCGACCCCTCTAGTATCTTTGAATAGTTCAAACAACCCCATTATGCCGTCGAAACCGGTCAATCGTCCCAATGATCCCAAGGAGAAGGAGCAGAGTATTAACCAAAAGCTCCAACTGTACGGGATCTATCATGGTAAGTCGCAATAACCCCCCGCCCCAACTGGTAGGGTTGTTGGAGTGGCTAATTGCTATGGGTCAAAACGTACAGGCATAAAGCGCGGCAAGATGCCGTCAAACAAGCAATGCGATATCGCGTTGAACAGTGCCCTTCAATCCAATGCTCTCTCTTCTCCGTCCAGGGAGTTGTCCGAGGAAGGTCAGACACTGGTCAAGGACCTTCGGAATGTCATTGACCAAGCTAGAAAGTTGATCATGAGTAAGAACGAAGGCCAACTGCTTCAGGACCTCATCTGGGAGGCTCAGCATCTCGGCTCGGTGGAGGCAAAGAAGCCTGGTGCCACCGTCGATAAGGACGGCGCTAGGCAGGATGGTAACCAGGCCATGGATGGTCTGAGGACACTGGGCACCCTTTTGATCACCAACGGGGAGTTCAGGAAGATTCGTATGTAGATTTGAACCTTGCCTTAGTTCGAACATTTCGAAGCTGACTAAGAGAATAGTGAGCGATGCGCTGGTCATCGTACGCGACATGGCTAACGATGCCTCTCAGCACGCTCCCACTAAAATTCGCCCATCCGAAGAACAGCTTTCTCAGATCGATCAACCTGCTGAGGAGAATGAGTGGCACGAAAAGCCAGCAGGCTTGCCAACAGAGCAGCTCAAGTCTCGATTCAAGAATAACAAAGGGGTAAGCTGCTCTCCCGTATCCCAAGCGTCATTCTTACTATGGGCATGACATATTGACATCGTGTAAAAGGATCGTGCGAGCGAATTTTCTGATTCCGCTACTGGTAATCATACTGCAGAGGTGTCAAAAGAGTCAACCAAGGACCGCAAACGCCAGGCCTCTGGCAAGACCAAAGAATATTTATCGGAAAAGATGCCTCCAGAGCGACGCGACCAGGCCATCCGGCGTTTGAAGAAGATGGTGATGGAAATTCAAGGCCACACTGACTGTGAGTCTCAATCTTTTTTTGTCCACCTTGAACCTTGTTGCTAATTAACATCTACATTGTAGACCAGAAAGCCATCGAGACCCTACTTTCTCTTGCGGAGAAGTATGCTCGACAGACCAACGATATTTCTCAGCAAGGGACTGGTTCGGTCAGGGAAGTTGGAGGCAACCAAGGCGTGAAAACCGTTGAGACCAATCTCAGAGTAAGTGTTGCTCTACATTTTTCTTCTTCTTCGTCATTGGAATTGGATGCTTATGCCCAGTTTTTAAAGACATTATTGGAGCGCTTCGCCAACAGCACGTCATTGGATGGCTTCTTTGATTCTCTCGAGACTATCTACAAGGATGCAGACAAGGATCGTGAACTCAAGGGGTGGTTCAAGAATGTCGACACTTTTATCAGGAAGAGCTTGCAAGAGCAAGGTTTTGTCATGGGTAGCCAGTGCAATCGTGAATGGAACCACCTATATGATCATGGTCAGTACCTGTTGCAAGACCGGTACAAGGCCCACACTGATCACATCCTGGATGAAATCAAATTCTTCTCTGAGCAGTACAATAAGGATGCCCAAAACAAGGCATTTGGTCAGTCTATGGAGAAGCTCCTCACTGATCTTGGGCACAACACAGAGGGCAAGGTCAACTTCAAGAAGCACCTCCTTAAAGATATTGGATATGTGATTTTGCCATCTATCCTTGCGCATATTCACTACATGCCAATCCCTCGCATTGAGTTCGGGGATCCCACTGTTGATGTGGTGGTGGAAAACCTGGTCATTGAAAGCGACAATTTGATGCCCAATATCCTTGAATTTGGCAGCGACAATTACTTTCGCTGGGGACGCCAGAAGCTCAGCAGCAAGCAGGACAACAAGATGATGATCTCTGCTTCTGGAATCCAAGCAGACCTCACTGATGTCAGCTACTACATAAAGAAGAAGGCAGGCTTCCCATCCATCTCAGATAAGGGTCTTATGGATATTTCCCTTGGTGGCAAAGGCTTAGGTTTCAAGATTGACGCATCTATTGCCCAAAAGGAAGACAATGAGCATTTTGTCAAGCTAGACAAAGTCTCCATAAGCATCTCAAACATGGACATCAAGTTGCAGAAGTCCAAGCACAAGCTCCTCTTCAAAACCTTCAAGCCTCTCTTATTCCGTGTGATTCGTCCAGTTCTGCAGAAAGTTCTTGAGCAGAAGATTCGCGAGGCCTTTATCAATGGTGATAGCTTCTTCAATGAAGTACACACAGAGGCTAAGAGAGCACAGGAATCCGCCCAGAAGAATAACCCTGAGGATGAGACGAGCATCTACTCCCGTCACCTGGAAATTTTTCGGTCGAAGATGTCAGAGAGAAAGAAAAAGTCCCAGGAAGAGACTGCTAAGCGTGACAGCAAGGTCGAAGCAACCGCCAATCTCCGCGACTCCCAGTTCCCCGAAATCAAGCTTCCTGGTGGTATTTCCACCAAGGCCACAGAGTATGTAGAGCTTGCTGAGAAGGGTGAGCGTTGGGAGTCGCCCATATTTAGCATTGGTAATGCGTCTGAATCTACTGACATCCCCAAGTCAGCAGCCATCACCCGTAAGGACCACGGCGTTGGTGGTGCTGGTGGTGCCGCCAGGGACGCCGGAGCCAGAGCGAATGGTGTCAATGGTCAGACCAAGAGGACTGCTGACAGATACCCATCTCATGGGTTCTCGGGCGATATTAATCAGGCATTCAACAAAGCAGACGGCACTGTGGCCTCCAACGGCTCGTCGAAGAAGGTCGCTAATGGATCCACCATTGTTGATGGTCCCTTGAATGCGTTCATTCCCCAGAATGCTTAACTAGGCTTAAAATTCAAGGTAGAAGGACTGGTCACATTCCATTGATTAATGATATTTTTTTTTTTTTTTTTTTTTTTTTTTTTTTTTTTTTTTTTTGGTGCTTTTTTTGTCCTGTGATCTTGTGATATCACATCTGCACTCTCTTCTAAATCCTCTTGTGTCATGCTTTTTCTCTTTAAACTGCTATTTCCTGATTTATTCTGATACAATATCTCCTGGATGCTGTACGAGCATTCTGAAGTATTTAATATATGATGTCATGTCAGTTAGACTCTAATGAAAATCCAAATACGGAGAATTTAGGGTCATTCACCTCAGTAACCTACACCAACTAAAGCTCACCCGGCCATCACCCTTATAGCAACAATGAGAAAAGGGCAAATTTTTAAGGTTGACTAAGCTTAAGATGTGGCTCAAGTACGGCTGAGTGGACGGGAAGCCCTGTTTTCCACACCTATGGTCGTACGCACTGGCCTTTGGCTTGAAATAATATAACTAACAATAACATAAAATAATAAAGGCACAATGCCATATAATTTCCATTAAATCCATGATTCCCTTGTAAGTTGATTCTCCTCCACGAAGCAAGTGACTCCACTCTCTTCACAGTATTGGCAAATGTCGAAATTACCACCGCAACAGATCCCGCAGTGGAAATAATGTTCATAATACGGTAACCACATCAAACATATATCGCAAAGTATCCGGCCATTTGGTCTTTGTAAACCTTTCGCTTCACTCAGCAAGAGACAATCGATGCCGGAGATCTCCTCGCCTAGCGGAGCTTGTGCAACATGGCGATGTCCTCTCCTGGTCTCTTCATATTCCGTGTCGCGTCCATACTTGTCCTTCGGGGTAGGGTCGGCCCATCATATCAAGTAGAATTCGAACAAGTGTTAGACTTCCACCCGCCGCAGCATTCGCATGAGGCGTCCTGCCACTGATATCTGTGATATTTATGTCACTACCAGCCTGTAGTAGTAAGCTTGAAATAGTTTTATGGCCAATAGCAGCTTCGAACGTTAAGGGAGTTTGACCATAAATGTCTTTAGTATTTGGATCGGCTCTTGCATTCAATAACAGACAGGCCACCTCCTCAATTCCTTCCCGAGGCTGCAAGTGGCAGAGGCATTCCCCAATATATGTTCTTGACTTGAGGATTAGCACCGCGTTCCAAAAGTAGTCTTACAATATCTTCCTGTCCTGCGCAAATGGCCATAGAAAGTGCTGTCTTTTCGTAGTGAGGATTCTCGTAATTAACATCAGCACCATGGTCCAGTAAGTGTTTCACCATCCCAGAATGTCCGTTCCGAGCTGATATTGATAATGCTAATTCGCCTTTCTCTGCTGTCGTTATATTTGCATCAACGCCAATTTGAAGCAGGAACTTGGCATATTTACTTTTCCCCTGGTGTGCGGCATAGAACAGTTTCTCAGGATGCTTGAAGTGATGAGTCTCCATGAGCATAATAATCTCCGTTTAGAAGTCATCAGTGGCCACTGGGAGCGGAGTAAAGCCATTAATATCCGTGGTATTTGCATAAACTACTGTGCTAAGCAGCAAGCGAACAACTTCAGTACCCTCATTCTTGACAGCATAGAACAGCGGCGTCGAACCATGAATGTCCTTGGGCATCGGGCCGGCATCATTTTCCAGGAGAAGCTTGACAACCTTAATATGGCCATTGCCACATGCCCTTCGAAATATTCTTGTGTTGTATGGTGGACTAATCGAATCACATGGGTCTATTCATCTATCATCACTAGACTAGCACACACAGAGACCATATCTTCAATGTCAGGCATGTTGTCTGGGTCGAACGAAGTCTCTCCTATCTCCACAGTAAATGCATGCTGAGGCTCTACTGCACTAAGCGGTCTCTGGGAACATGTGATCCATGAAAGTGCTTGCAATGTCAACTCTCTCTGGTCAGGCACTAGACCCAAAAATCGCTGCATTTGCTCTAGATAGGCATTATCAATTGCTTCCGATCCTGATTGGAGCCGTTGGAGTGCAGCCCTTACAACTCTTGGCGACCGCTTTCCCATTAACGACTATTCTCTTTATTAGTTAAATTCATAGTACAGTCGGTTGACTCTATCCCAGTTTTAGGAAACCGGACAATAGGATGTGCCGTCTTTGCATTTAGTAGCTATCAAGTAAGCACCAAGGGATATTAGGGTTTAAAACCAGGCACCCATTCATGAGAATCACAATCGATATCAACTTTAAATCTTTGAAATCCATGATTTATAGTTTTATATAGCAATAAATAACAGGTCTACTAAGAAACTATTGCAAGTGCATCAATTTCCGAAAGCCTATATTGGTGACTGTCGCAGCACGGCCAGACACTTCAATACCTTCTCCTGTCATCTCCCCATCCAACGATCCTGTCGCCAGTTCTGCCAAGATCCGTCCCAAAGGTTTTGTTGGGCTATGCATTGACTTGACTGAGCTTCGTATGATCGGACCAAACATACATTCTGCCAATCCTTTCAGGCCGGTTGCTGGCGGAATCCACTGTCGCAGTTGATGATGGTCTTTAGAATCGACCATAGCGGGACGAATTATGATTGGTCGGAAATGGGGGATCTTTTTCTCAAGTTCCATAAGGGCAATCTCTGTTTCGCCTTTGACACGACCAAAGAGAGGTGTAAAGAAACCCGGCTCCCTTGTCGCACCTTCGCCCGACACAAAGACGAAGTTGAAATCTCCGGAATCCGGTTTGATCTTCCCGAAAGCCTGAGCTGCTTCAAGTGTCAATGACTTTGTGATACGAATGTACTCTCTAAAGTTTCAATTAGCCAACAATGTGAGAAATATCTCGCACAGTGCACAAGACACTCACTCCTTAGCCACGGCATTTTGGCTAATCCCGAGTGCCCACACACAGCCATTTGCACCACGGAGTCGCTCAAGCAGTGCTGAGTCGTATTTCTCGAAATCCTCATGAAGTATAACCTCAACGCGCTCGTCCTTCATCGCATCAACCATAGGTACTGGCCGACGGCTCAAGATAGAGATTTTGGCGATGTCTTTCATGCCCATCAATGCAAGCAGAGTCGTGGAGCCAACGAGACCCGTTGCACCAGTTAGGATAACATGCATTTTGTTGTTGGTTTCCGGCACACCAAAGAGTTCTGAGCAATGGGCGATTTTTGGAATATTTATATGTACATCGGTGCGGCCGCATGACCACAGCGCGAGCAAGATAAGGACCCACTTGCGGCCGCACTCGTGTCCGGCCGCAACCGCTCCTTTAATCTTCTGTCTTCTACACCTATGATTTTCGCTTCGCAAGCTAGACCGCTGACTAGATATTTCTGTAACCGCCTAGCCAAAGCAGCTGTAAGCAGCGGCCACGCGCCAAAAGCTTTACCCGGTCACAATGGAAAGTGGCAATACCAACGTCGGCGAGGCTACTCATGTTTGTGCTTCGTGCAAGAAGAATAAGCGCCGCTGTGATAAGAATCTCCCAAGTTGCGGCTCATGTATAAAGTCTTTTCATCCCAAAACACCACTTTCCCGTCAATCTGAGACTAATCGTTGGCTAGGACTGGTCGATTCTGTGATTACTCTGATTATGCGGCTTCCGGTCATACAGACGAGATCAATGAACTCCGGCGCAGAATTGAAGGATTAGAGCAATGCGTTCTGCCTGTATCAAGACAGGCACTTTACACTCCCCCGGGAACTCAAGAACTCAGTCGCACTCCTTGCACAGAAGCTTCACCCGAGCCGGATCTATCCATCCAGGCATATTATCTTGATTCTGATCTGTGGTCCTCCTGCAAGTTTCCCGATAATGCTAAATGTAGCGTTTTTGTACCCGAAGGGATATCTACGGTCCTGGGAAACCAGCTCGAAATAGACGCCATGAAGGTTCGTTACTTCGAGTCTGTTCATACCTGGATGCCTATTGTCAGTAAGATCAGATTGAATCGGCTCATCCAACGAGCGGGAGGGCCCTTGAAGGCAGATATTTCTTTGCTATTGCTCTGTATGAAATTAGTTCAGGAAATCCCACATGAGCAACAGACGGAACCATCGGAGCTTTATATTACGGCAAAGCAATTCCACAGTGAGCTGGAATTGAAAGGGTTGCTTACCCTACGCATGGCTCAGGCTGGTATTCTGCTTTCGGTCTATGAACTTGGCCATGGAATCTTCCCTGCGGCTTTCTCAACGATTAGCCACTGCGCAAGACAAGGTGTTTCTCTTGGTCTACATAATAAGTCAGCACCCCAGTTCCTTGGTGGACCTCGAAGCTGGGTGGAGTGGGAAGAGAGACAACGCGTTTGGTGGATGATAATGATCCTTGACAGGTTGGTTAGTCAATCCAAACAAAGATAACATAAAAATAACGTGTTCTAGACATATCACTGTTGGAGCTGGTCATCGACCGTTATGTACTGAAGACCCTAGCAAAGACACAATTCTCCCGGCAGACGACAGCGCTTGGGACAGCGGTGTGAGCTTTTTTTTTATGCTCTATGAGATTTGTCTGAACTAACACTTATACATCAGGAAATTGTGCCCCCTGAACGTGTTTGTCTCTCGTCACTCACTAGCTCAGTTAGCCCCTTCGCACGACTGGCGCAGGCATCAAACCTACTAGGTCGCGTAATCAGACACTGCAACGATACGGCGTTGGAGCTCGATTTCGTCCTGGATAATTACGAAATGCTCTGCCAGTCAATATTCTCTCTTGTGGAACTTCTTTCCCAAGACGATTCGACGGCATCGATGGAGTCGAGTATTGCGACCACTATATGCTTCAAGTATGTGAAACTACTTAACTACATTGCACATTATTAACAGCTGGCAGCGCTCTCTTGAAATTATCTGATCACCACTCATGCGACCTGTTCAACGAAGAGAATCAGTATTCCGAACATAATGCGGCACCTCGTATCCGCGAGTGTATGCAACGATGTTTCCAGATGTTCAGAGAGATCTGTGGGCGAGTTGTATCATTCGCCCAAGGTCTCAGGCAAAGGCTTACACAGCCCGTAATGCAAAGGATCTCGCCGCTAATGCTTCAATGCATTTATAACTGTGCGGCAAATCTATCCTGGATGTCGCTTGAGACGGATAACGCACAATATGCTGCAGGGAAGCTCGTCTGTGAAGATATACTGAGATCCATAAGTGGCCGGTGGAAGACAGCTGGTGTCTACTTGGAATTGCTCCGGATTGGCGATATGGCCCAAGATGAGTGCCGTTGAATAGTAATGGTATGTGGTTTTACGATCCCCAATAAAATTACATGTTAGCTCTGCTTCTCAGAAATGGGAGTATGATCGGCAATCTATGGTCGATCTAAAATCGACCGATAGCAGTTCGTATCTTCAGATCGGGAGCTGGTGTGGGTTACAAAGATTTTGTTGGGCTGCTAATCTGATGATGATTGTCCAACCACCAAAGGCATACGTCGCCGCACTGGAAGACTGTTTGCAACTTGAATGAACAGGCGCAATTGCAATACGAGTATAGTTCGTGAAAAGCCTTCATATACAGGCTCTGGAAGCTAGGCATATTTGAGGATGACTGCTGCTCCGTATTCTAACGCCATAACGCCAGGAGACTTCGCTGAGCTCGTGAGAAGACGCAAATCGGTGAATACTAAGGGTATATCTCGGTATTATTGAATTCTATTCTGCAAGATCTGCAAAACTAAATCGAACTTCTAGTGTAGATCATGAATTTCGTTGAGATATAGTCCGGAGGAAATTTCTAGAATCTTCACCAATGCTAGCAGGGAAGTTTTGCTTAAATTTTGACCATTTGCATTGGAACATAAAAATTGCCTGGAAATTTTGATTGAGGCACATAATGAACGACTTCTCAGCTTGGCCCGGCTCGGACAAGGTATAGTGGAGCTGGGCCTGTATGGGTGCAAATAAAATGGCCCACAAGGGATTGTTGGACTATAATTTGATAACCACTACTAGTTAGTATCTTTCCTTCAGCTGAGCTCTTCGTGATGGCTCAGTGCTGTGTTAACGGCCGATACAGACAAACAACATCAACACACCAAACAAAGCCGTATAAGCAATGGAGGCAAACGCGGGCATGAGCCCTGGCGCATAACGCTTGCAAAAACCCTTAATTATCTAAATATATTTCTTTCTTCTTCTTCTTCTTCTTCTTCTTCTTCTTTCCAGATTCGATATCCTCGTTGATAGCTACATTAGTTTAGATAGGAATATCACTTTGTTAGTATCTATTAGTCCGAGCCTGTGACAATACCGGAGCTATAATGCTTCAGACTTTGGTATTCATATAACTTGGCAAATTCAATTAACCGAAGATCATCTCGACGAATTATCAGATGCGACAAAGACCACAGGCATTGGGCGGAGGGCAGAGTGCAAATAGCCAGGTGCAATGTACCTTGGAAGGAATGAGGACTTTACGAGCCCACATAGTGGATAGGGATCGGGCGTTATCGCACACTTAATCCCAAAATAATCTATCTTATAAAAAAAAAAATTGGCAAGGGTTGAAGAAGGCTGGGATTTGACTCAGCAAAAAGCTTGTCACGACGTTCTCGCTTGCTTATATTTGGCTTCGCAGCTTAACTTTTGGTAGCACCAAGGAGATATCTTTATTTACGACGCTTCTTTATGACTGACCTTTTTTCTTTTCATTAGCTTTAGAGATAACCAATATTATGGTTGTGCTTGCCGAGATATGTATCGGTGTCCTTGTCTGCTTGGTATTATTATTATTTAATCTAGTTTATTGCCCATACCGAGCCCTAGAGCTATGACAGACCATATTCGTGGACTCGAGCCCAGCAGCTATTCTACAGTCTCTTGTCCCCATAGGTTCCTGGGGCAGCATTCTCCCCTCTAATCTTTATAACCCTTTCCCTCGCCCCAAGCCGCCTGTATGCGCAGGGCTTTCGAGCACGGTGCTCTCCTTGTGTTTCGGAGCAAGATGGATGTGGCCTAGGCTGACTCTCGGCTTAGGCTACCCTCCCTGCTACCCCTCTCCTGTTCTAACTGCTTCCTCCAATGCTTCCAGTCCCCATTCATCTTCTCTTCGGGCCCTTTCTGTCATCCGCTGTGGGTGCGCCCGGGGTAGAGCTACATTGGTGCTGGCTAGGAATTGTGACAATGCCCTCGTAGCTTTGGGCTCTCCTAAGAGTCATCCTTGTGGATATTCTTCTGCAGTAGTGGGTCTCATACTCTGTCTGTCTCTAGGTCTTTGTAGAGCCTGTTTCGTTGGTGTCGCCATTTCCGACATTCAAAGAGAAGATGGTGTGTTATCTCCCTTGGTATACCACATCCTTCACAGGTTGCATCCTCCTGGACTTGGATCCAATGTAGGTATGCTCCTATAGCTGCGTATCATGACTTCAGTTGAGAATAGCGGCTTGCTAGGTGCTTGGGAACCATTGCAACTGCCGGGTCGAGCCGCCAGTTCTTCTGTGGCCTGTATATTCGTTGACCTTGTTGGGATCATTGTCCAAGCTCCTTGGTGAGCCATCTTTGTCTTTGTGTTGTAATGGCTTCTGTTCGGGCTCTACAAGCAAAGGCCAGAGAGATCTCTCTTGTGTCAGGGGCTCAATAGCTAGAAGATATTAACGAATTGATATTCCTATCTAAACCAACTAGTAGCCATCGACGAGAATATCGAATCTGGAGAAGAAAAGAAAATAAGAGGCAAGTCTATTTACGTGAAGAAGTCCCATATGGTTGTGTGTGGTCTCGCTAAGCAGCTTGTTTGTCATGATTGCTTCCGTGGTATTGTTTGCCGTGTTGATGATGTTTGCTGATGAAGGCGCTGGGCTGAGCCATTACATCTTGGGCTTTTTCCTGGAGGCTTATTAGCTGCCCGCTTTGGCGCCTGGTCAGCTCTCTCATTTCCTTCTACTCCTGCGTGTCCCGAAACCCATTGGATAGTTGGTTGGCAACCTCAGACATGTAGTCTCTTGGCTATAGCATGTGCTTGGATCACTAATGCTTGGCCTGGCCCTGGCTGGGTGTGTCGCAGCCTCGCAATGACAGCTTGGGAGTCCAGCAGGATGGTGGCTGGTCTTTGATCTCCCACTTTCTCTGCTAATTGGAGTGCTCGAACAACTCCAAGAAGCTCTGCATCAAAGACCTCGTGTCTCTTGCCCAATGGAAACTCCCGGGTCTTCCAGGCTCCTGATTCTTGCCATGCAAGTTTTGCTCCACACCTGCCATTCTCCAATATTGATCCGTCTGACCAGATTGCTGGTCCAGGAGGAAGATATTGTGCTTCTGTTGAGGCCTCTGGATCTGGTAGCACTTCTATTCGGCCGGGGAACTGACTACTGGTCGTCTGAATTGCGCTTTCAAAGCTCTCGGATGGATTCACTGGTAGAATATTGGCTAATTGTCGAGCACGGTGTTGTCCCAGGGACCATGGGCCTCGGTTGTTTCTCTCAGCCCATTGTCAGTTCCCCGGGGTCTGCTCCCCAGGCTGAGTGTGTTGATCCCCTTCTCGGAAGCTCACCGGGAGGATCTTCTTAGCCGGGTGGTTTTCTGGTAAACTGAGTAGCTGGGTAGCATATCTCAATTGTCGGGCCCCCAACAAAGCCTCTGCTAGTGCCAGGCCTGCTTCGCGAACTAGTAGTCCTACAGGAGTGGATTTCAACATGCCGGTAATAGCACGGGCCTGTCGATTGATCATCAGCTGTATGCCTGCTAGTCGATCCTTCTGACCCTGCCACCAGAGCTCTGCTCTATATAGAGCTACTGACTGCACCGCCGCAACTTGAACTTGGCGAGCCAGTCCTGGAGCGAGTCCATGACTCTGGCATAGGCATTGTACCCGGTTTTCTGCAGACTGGGCCTTGCGCATGCAGGTCTGATTGTGGGGTCTTGAGATTCAGCCCAGAATCAAGCCAGATGCCAAGCCATCGGGTTGCCTCTGGGTTGAAGGGCACATGGTGGCCACCTACTTCAACTCGTGCTCGTTTGATCTGATCTTTCAACTCCCGGCCCCGCTTGCGAGTAAGTAGGGCTGCCTCTGTTTTCCCTGCATCAAACTGGACAACATTATCATGTCCCCACTCAATGGCCACCTTGGCTGCTTCTTGCAACTTATCCTGGACCGAGCAGGCCTATGTCATCTGCAAATGAAAGACATTGTATACTATTCACTCTCCTCTCGATTGCATCAAATACACCGCTGAGATAGATAATGAAGAGAATCGGTGACGCTGGTGAGCCCTGTGGCACCCCTGAGTTGATTGGGTGTGCCGGGCACTGTGTGTTGTTAATCTGTAGCTGAATCCATCTGCCAGTCAAGAAGGACTGCACCCATCGGATCAGGTCCCCATCCAAGTTGAAATCAATCAGTCGATTTATCAGTGTCTGCTTGGTATTCTTTGTTAGACTATCCTAAATGAGGTATCATCTATGGTTCATGTCTTCATCAGTATATTGCTCATATAAAATTACTCCTTCCGAATCAATCTATTCCCCATCACAACCTCTCCCACATAATCCAATGCCCCCTGACAAAGCCTAACCTGCTCCTTGCTCGCAAACCGAGAACCAACGACAGTCCGCATCGGCAAACGCAGCACATACCCATTCACCAGCTTCACATTCGACGACGCTTGGAACTTCCCGTCTTGATCAACCTTCCCTAGTGAAAAAGAAACAGTCGAGCATACCATCTGTAATAACAACCGAATACGACTTTCTAGACCTGTGAACAGATCAACAGGGCCTTCGAAGCAATGGGAATGATCGAATGCTATTTCCTTTTCAGTAAGGAGATCGCAAAAGTCTATGAGATGGGTGTAGAATATTATCTGAGTGGAGAGGATAGTAGCCAGGAAACAGGTTGTCCATTGGTCTCGTTTGACATGGATTGTGTCGTTAGAGAGGACGTCGTGGTATTGGACTTTCCAATGGTTCGGGACGGCTTCATGCCAGGTGTCGATTTCGTCAATGAGACAGTGGGCTTGGATTAAGAGTCTGTGGATTATGCCACATGTTATGGTATAGGTGGGAGCGGTAGAAGGGAGTGAGGAGGGTGATGAAGAGGAGGGAGAAGGATAGGGAGTTTCTGGATTCGACAGTGTGGCTCGCATTTCGCTGATGGAGTAGCATTGCTGAGCGACCATGTCCATGATTATGCCTGCTCGGTATACGTTGTCTGGCTTGTACATCTTGCGGATGCACTCGGGTAATGTGGCATAGCGGAATTCGTTATTGGCGATTGCTTGTGTTTGCTGTCATCGAATTAGCAACGTGGGCATATTAAATATGGGTCGAGACACATACGACTTGTGTAATGGCCCAGCCGAATAATTCTCGGCCATACTTGGTATGTAACTGCGACTTGTCGCGTAGCTGCAGTAGAGAGTGAGTGCCGGGGATATGGGGATTCAACCCATCGCTCGTCTCACCACTCAAATCCTGCATGTGTTAGCCAGCTATGGCGATGGAATACTTGATAAAAGCATACCGTGAAGACATTGAGAAACAATGATGCAGCAAAGACCTCATCCGTTACAGCTGTCTCGTTCGATTTGAGAGCATTGTAGAGCGACTTTATAGCAGAACCATAATGCCTCCGGGAATTCACATATAGCTGCCCGACACGAGAGGCATTAAATAACGATAGTGACGCAACACTGAGAACGGCGTGCTTCAAACAAGAATCATCCCCCTTTTCCTTATACAATTCCGGAAAGAAAGCCAAAAACCCCCGACAGGGAGATTTATGCACTTTGAGTACATGATGATGGGTAAAATAGCAAACCGCCTGCCACTCCAGACTGAGAGCAGGACCGGTCCGCGGCCTTGGCGATGAGATCGTCGGCGAGAGTGGTTCTGACAGTGCGCGCTGTGGTTCGCAAGCAGATGATGACTGGGCTTCTGCAAGTTCGGACTGTTCCTTCTCTCGGCCCACAGTTGTCATTTTAGTTTGACGACGGTCTCTTGTTGCGGCTCGTGTCGTTCGGTATTCCCGAAAGGTGAGAGGATCCGGATACCCCGGGCACGGCATTCCCCGAGAGATGCAGTGCTGGCATTCTGGTTTGGCGCCGTCACACTATCATTATTATGTTATTCATCATCAAAGAGGTGTATTATCACTTTATTGGTGGGATTACGGTATACACACCTTGATCTTACGCTTACGGCAGAGATGGCAACCCGTACTCCTATTCCCGGGAAAGACCATGGTGCGGGATAATGAGCGGCGATATCGAAGACTAGTAAATTAAAAGATCGCGCGGTTGAATGATGATAACGTCAATTCTTTTGGTAGCATTGAATCCTCATCTCTTGTTGTGGAGTTGTAGGATCTAAAAGGAGGGGAGGGAAAAAAAAAAAAAGGGACGATCCCCATCAGGTGACTTCCGCGACTTCGGCAAGGATGAAATGAAGTATATGTATCTTAAATACATCATTTCATGGATTATTATAATAAATTCTTTGGTTTTAAACTCTTCTAATCAAGCCAGTACATAATGCATAATGAATGGTGAAATGATTTATACTAGAACGAGGACGCCCCGAAGTGGCGAGAACAGCAGCTACCCAAATTCCAACTTGAAAAAACGCATAATAAGCAGACCGGTACGACAGATGTAGTTTCAATTAAATAGCTCACTGGAATCTGGAGTTATACCAACAAACTCTGCCGACATAATGCGCCAACAATGCATTTCTTTCCAGAGAGCGCGGTCTATAAATGGAGCATTTACTTTTTTTCCCTTTTTGGTACATGCTTGCGCAGACCCACTTGCACGTGGATCATTAAGTCCGATTAGACCCACTATTTACTGTTAGTATCGGAGATAAAAGCCTTAACGAGCCCTATCTGACGAGGCAGCAATTGACAGTTGCATTGTATTCATTAGCCGCATTGTACAGGCAAAAGCATTCTCGTAGAGCGTAGTATTTATCTTCTTTGAAATTCTCTCCCAGGAGTTCTCGCAGGATTCTTGAGTTGAGCACATCTGAGCCACATTAACCATGAAGCTCTTGTGTCTCCTCGGGCTTCCAGCCCTATCAGCAGCCGTTGCCGTCAACAATACCAACCACATCTTCAATGCGATCCATTCCTCAATGCGCCAATGGGGCTCCTCCATCAATCATAATGGCATGTCCTTCTTCCTCGCGTCTGTCCCCAAAGGAACAGCCCTCTATCACGGATCCTCTCGCCCGGATACTCTCGTCGATATCGGATGGATGGCATTCGACCCGGAGCACGCCCTGGTTTTTGCCCGACCACCACATCCCCCGAGGCATCCTCCCCACGATGGCCGAGTCCAACAGAAAATCGTGATGTCGAAGCACGGGGATTCAATGGAAGACCATGCAGGTTGGCTGCATACGTACCTGACTACCAAGAAACTAAGACTTGTGTATGTTGACGGGATGTCGGCTGGGAAGTCAAATATCGGAACGCTGGATTCCCAGGATCGCATCCTCTTTAATGATAGCATCCCGTACGGTGGCGTTAGCCAGGAAACAGAGCGTGCAAAAGCAGTCTGTCGGATATCAGCTGAGGAATGGGACAATCGGATCGATGGTGTTATCCGCATGGCTGCCGGATTCGAGATCATTCTCTGTGCGCCAGAGGAGAACCTCGTCGCAGAACGAGTAACAAAATCCCGACTTCACAAGCCCAAGCATCACGAGGATCACAAGCCAAATCACGGCAAACCGGGTGAGCTCTTGCGTGTTGTCACTTCGAGATACAACGGGATCGGAGGAGATCGTGTGAGGATCAATTATGACCACTTTGTCTCTGTTTACGATAGCGATCTCAATATCTTTCCAGCAAACAGCACACACATCACACGCCCTCGACTGACACATCTGTCCAAATCATCGATTCAGAAGATCAGACAACGGCTTACAAATCTGGTTATGGATTACGATATACACGGAATGGTCAACTGGCAGGCTGTTGCCGATATGACTGTCCAGCAATACGGCCGCCGTCTACAAGATCTAGTTTCCTCTCCTCGTTTCAGGGCTATAGAGTCTCTAAAGGCAGAGATAGCACAAATGTGGGAGTCATTTACCGACTTGGGTTATTCCAGTCCAGACGTTGAAATCCAACGCTGCACAAACCGGTTCATCCCACATGCTGCTTCTAAGACCTCGCTAGCCCTTGAAGTTACCTTTACCATTAACGAGCAGATCTGCTCTACGCTCGCAACGATTTTGTACGACGATCATAATTATGCAGTTGCAGTTGGTCGTCTTCAGGAGCTTATGGATTATCTTTCTTGGACTGTGTGGAAAGAATGCCACGATTGCCGGGATGATGAGTTTTGTGCTATTCCAATTTGGCCTCAGGGATCGTTGGAGGATTATGAGGATCCGAGATGTCAGCGGTATGATTCTGCGTATGCTGGGGAGAATGACTACTGGGGGCCTATCCTCCACTGAGAATGTAGACAGTGATTGTGGTGAGCAGACAATTTAAATCTAGAATAACAATACATTGCCCAGCTCCTCGTAGGCATATAATTGTTTGCACTCAGACGAAATGTGTACTCTTCTTGCAATTATACGGAAAGTTCTAGATTGATGCTTTCTTTATACGATAATAGTCTATAATCTTTCTTCTAAAATTTTAAATACGCATAATAAACACACTCATACATACAACCACTTGTCCAAAATGAATGACTCAAGAAACCACCGTAACATTATTAGACAGCGGACCACAATTCATCGGCAATGTAATCCACCCCCCAACACCCGGCCCAGTCTCACTATGGTTAAAAGACGGATTCAACGCAAAGATATGCCCGGGAGTCGTCTTATACTTGATCGCAAGATCCTTGTACGTGCCCCAAGTATAATAAAACGGCTCAAAATCGCACCGACTCGGATGACACTGCGGCACCTTGATCGATATTCCACTTTCAATCTCATCGTCAATATCAGCAGAGGAACCGTACATCATGTGCCCGGCAGTGCTGTTCAGCGCGTCGATGGTGATGTTAAACTTGGCCAGGGCGATTTTTCTGATTGTATCGCCCTGAAAGGTAGTGTAGGTATGCGGACCGCCGTTGACACAGATGTTGGTTGTGTTTTGGTTGGTGAGGAGGCATGAACGCGAAGGATCAGAATGGGCGCAGCGCTGCGGGGGGATATAGAGTTCCTCGCCGGCATAGAGCATTTGCGGATCGGCGATGTGGTTATAGCGGGAGAGGTCGCAGACGGTAGTATTGTAGCTGTCTGCGATGGAGAAGATGGTGTCGTTGGATTTGATGGTGTAGGTCATAATTGCATCAACGTGCTGGCAGGAGGGATCGAATGCAGCCATGCTGCCGATTAGAAAGAGGGACAGTGATAGGAGAGTGCTCTTCATAATGGTGCTCTAGATACCTCGTAGATTAAGGATGAGCGAATGTCTGATTAGATGAATGAGTAGCTGATGATTTGCTGGTTTACTGCAATGGGTGCTGTTTTTATACTTGCCTGCATAGATAAAATTGGACGAATGACTGACTTAGAACCACGCGTCGCTGCGATCGTCAGGAGAATTGTCACACCTTGCTATAACGCTCTACCACATATACGGAACTGTTATCCGTCACTGGTTATGCCGGAGTTATTTGGTTAGATTCAGCATTCGGGGCAGGTTTCCATTTTGGGAAGAATGTGGAAGATCGTAGACGGATATACCTCCATTGGTTTTGCAGAATAATCCCCGGAGATTAGCCGTATCTGCAAATTCAGGTCTGCTTGGGATCAACAGAGATTCCTCAGTTTCTAGCCAACAGAGATTCCTCAGTTTCTAGCCAACGTGGGGGGCCATTTGCCATTCGGAGAACGGCAACTTGCCGCACTGTAAAGTCTGATTTCATTGTTTTACTTGTCAAGCACAAAATTTTTCAAGTTACTTACAATGTATTAACTACAATTCTCGGAAGGAAGTCATAGGTAGTATTGAGAACGAATAGAGGAAGAACTCTGATTCTAGATATCTATCTATCATACGGTCTTTTTATACACAATCTGGCGGCCGTCAACTAAGCGCAAAAGGGAAGGTCGTTGAGAAAGAAGTTCAAGGAGACAAATGGAGCACAAAGCGCATGACGCATGCATGCGGTAGTCATTGTCAAAGGATGCTGGCTGCATAACCGTAGCCCCCGGTCCACTCATCATAGTTGTATCTGTTCATGCATATGCTCGGGCAGTCATAAGTCGTACGTCGTAGATAGGCAGGAGTGTTCGGCTCTAATTGGTCAGTCGAAGCAGCGAGCATTATCAATCACTTGGCATATATGGAAGTCAACACAATGTCAAATAGCAAGTTGATAGCCATATAGTTATAAAGTGTAAAGTATATCTTTGACCAAACTGTTCACGGTATGTTCAACCTCCTACTCATAATTCTAGCCGGGCTTCTCAGTGGTAAGTGTAAGTCAATTGTTGTCATGAAAGCTGAGAGACCCTTACAAAGGTAGGCGGGTTGAGATATTGGAGCCCTCGCGAGTCTGTACGTACTCCGTTGCTGAAATTCGCTGTCGAGCTGCGCACAGTTGGGTTCTGGTCGCTGCTAGGAACAGCAGAGTAGCGGAATTAGATTCGAACGTTATTTCCAACCATCAATGCCGTTCCTTGTTTCCTCTTGTTCTCGTTTAGCATAATGCTTCATTTTCGCTTTCTTGAACTATTAACCCTTCTGAAGCATGTACAAGATAATGGTTTGGAAATGGATGGTCAATTACCGCTTTGAGACCTGGTTTACAAATGACCCATCCACATAGACCCACTTAGCGCCGGGTAAAATAAGCTTAATCCAAACTGAATACTAAGTCCGAATTGGGTTCGCAAACCAGGCCTAAATATGTATTCAGCTCGTGGGGGACGGTAATTGAACCATGGGTGTGACAAGCTAGCGAGACATGAAAATCTTCAATACGTGATTTCGACCATTGATGCGAAACTGCATATCATGTCCCGATCTTCTTTTAAAGCTCGTATGGAGTACATTCGGAAGCGGGTCATGCACTCGATTTAGTTGATGGTTGGCGAAAATCGTCACATAAGAACTGTATATCCAGATCTACTACATCTATTCAACAATAACCCTTGAAGCAAGCTCAAGCGACATGGGCTTCTTTAATTACTTTACATCTATATCTCTCCTCCTTTACCAAATAACAGCCACGAGCGTACCAACCGCTCAATCCCTTAACGGAACCTATAACAGCCTCTACTCCCAATACTTCAACCAAGGCCTCTTCCTGGGGATTTCATACCTCCAAGCCCCCATCGGCAGCAAACGCTTCCACCCCCACCAGCACCTGGAATGGATCTGTCGCTGCAACCTCATACGCACCGTCATGCGTCGGTTATGATACCTCCGTGGACGCGAATGAGATGGCTGAAGACTGCTTCTATCTCTACGTAATCCGACCTCATGCTGTCTCCGACCTTGCCAACTTGCTTGCTGTCGTCTTTCTGCACGGTGGTGGCTTTTCTGGTGGCAGAGCTAGTGAAAGTCGCTACAACCCGTCTTACATTGTCGACCACTCGATAAAATTAGGTCAGCCAATTCTCGCTGTCAGTTTCAACTACCGTCCTAGTGCTTGGGGCTTCATATACAGCAATGAGGTCAGAGACACCGGCGCTACCAACATTGGTCTGCGCGATTAACGCTTCGCACTGTCTTGGATTCAGGAGAATATTGCAGGGTTTGGAGGTGACCCGACTAAGGTTACGCTCTGCGGACAAACCATATCCATGTTATCGCACATTCAAACGTCACCGTGAACCCAAATAATACTATTTCTGGTGGGAGTATCCAGCACATTGGGCAATTCATCTTCGACGAAAACTTGCTTCATAAGGCTCGCCAGGTCTGGCCGTACACTGAGAATTCGTATGCGATTACCACATATGCCGAAGATGATACTTTCCACCAGGAGACTGCATACCCAAACTCGACCCCGTGTTTCACTATGAGTATCTTGATGATAAGCTCGAGAACAGACTGCTCATGTGGGTAACAATTGGTGTCAACGTCACTGCAAGCTGGGAGGACGAGTATAGTTTTATGAGGATGGCTCAGGGGGTTAAGTACTCTTGTGGCACGGGTCGCATCACGAGTAACTACACGCAGGATGGAACTGACTGAGAATAATGTTGATGTTAAGGATTTGCCGGGTGAGTCGGCCCTTGGGCCGGTTTTTTATCCTAATTCGCATAGCAAGACGGACTATATGATTGGTCTTGAAATAGGATGGTCTGAACTGGGTTGGATTATGTATTATGCACTTTGTGTCCACATATGTTTGTTTATCTCTTTTAGTTGCCGAATTTATTTGTCCGAATATATTATTTTTAGTCTGTAGGGATATATTAGGATAGTGTGAACGACTTTCAAACATCCAGCCTCCTATTTCTCTGTCGTCTTTCCTGTCCACGCTCTGCATACTGGACCATAACATAACACACAAAAGCGATTCCAAGAAAACGCTGAGACCAAATCATTTCATTGTAAGTTACTAGCAATGCCAGTAAGCCCATACCACTCGCCACTGTCCAATACTCGAATAGCTGCTGTGTTCGAATGAATTCCATATCATCTGTATGAAGAAAGAAGCACATTGTCACTACAAAAATTCCCAGGCCGATAACTATTCCAGTGATCATTTTGTTCCCTTCCGGCTGAGGTTCGAAATGCGGCACTGTGATGGGTTCAAAGACTGCTAGCTGGCTCTTAAACTCGGGTATATGATCTTGTCCGCAACGGTAATCAATATTACTTTTTATTTGCCGCAGGGTGGTCAGGATCTCGTGCAGGGTACCACCTGACCGCAGAACATGATTCACGGCTGTTAGGAGAATGCTGGAAAGGAGGAAAAGGCTTGGTACGAGAAGATGCTGTCGACGCTGATTTGGGTTCATAGTTTAGAGATGGTAAGAAGTATAATAGAGGAAAGAATGGAACTTCAGCTCAGCTTGATTCTGACAGTCTTATGAATGCCAAGACCTTGATCCCTGCTGTCATCATAGTTATGAACGATATTCTTTCCTGTTCATAGCATGATTGAAATATGGGTAATTTGGCAGCCGTGGCTAATGGTGAATAAAGACGACAGAGATCTGGAAGACGTTGTGGCGGCCTATTTCTGGAAGGACAATGATTAAAGGAGGCAAAAAGTGCTGGTTAGTAGTTGACATTGATCTGATTTTGATCATACTGGACGGAGATATAGTGCAATAATATGGAAGTCAGTGACCCTCAGCGTTGAAATAAAGACAAGACAAAAATGGCCAAGGGAATGGTTGAATGAGAAATGTTCAAGTGAGTGGATAAATACTGCCACAACCCAGCAGTGAATGTCATTTTTATCAAATTTGTCAACCCAAGTAACACCTGCAAAGCTCTAAGACTTATCATCTTTTGACAATATCACCATCTGCCTACTTATTTTAAGTTTCTGCCAACACCAAACACTGCACCCAACAAACACAACCTGGTTACCGAAATAAAATGGAGGTCAACTGCCAACCCTCCAATACAGACTTCTGCCAGAAAGCAGTGCAGCTATTGCTAGTTCCGTGGCAGGCCTCACCAGTTAAGATCGAGAATGATCGTGATGTTAGACGACGTCGTAACGACTTATCCCCGGAGACATGGACTGGAATGTGTAAGAATATCATCCCTTACTGGATTCTGCTTTCTTTCCTTCTTATAGTTTCAGTGGTTAATTCGGTATACTCCAACATCACCGGCTCATAGATTGTGACTAGACTATGACTGGATCCCGACTGGACCACGACGCCGTGGACACGGCGGATACTATCAGTACTATTGATGAAGGGCATCATGAAGTGGGAGAGCCAGGGAACCAAATGCATGACAAAGTGCTGGATCTTTGCTCTTCTCGTGTCTCTTCGTTGTGGTGGTCAGTCATTGCTTTGGTATGAGGGCAAGACAGTGTCATGGTAGAAACATGTCACAGAGGCGGATTGTTTGTACGGAGTATTCTAGCATTATTGGGCATACTCGAACTATCTGTAGCTGAACTAATTTGTATGTCTGTACTCTATAGTAGTACAGATTTGAGAGATCTGATAGATGGTTTGCCGCAATTCTACGTAGAAAACAATAGTTGATGTCACATTCACGTGACCAAGATCGCGGGTGAAGTCAAACCCAACGCGTCTTCAGCGCAGCAGTGCCAGGTTTCATCCTCGTTCCCCAGTTTCTCTCGATCCCATTCTTTTCGCAAGCGCATGATACCCTTCGTCTACAGCTAAGCTATATTTTCTTCAAACTCCAAAGCGCAGGTTTCGAAACCTCCCTCTCGCTCCTTGCCGTCCTGCGCAAGCGCTCAACAACACCAACATTCCTCTCACCACCGTCACCGACAGACCACCGAAATGGCCACCGATTACAGCAAAAAGACCAACGCGGAACTCGTCGAGATTCTCAAATCCCGAAACCTTACCCACACTGGCAAGAAGGCAGAGCTAGTCGCTCGTATCCAGGAGGATGACACCAAGAACAACGGTGGCGAGCCAGCTCCCGCCGCGCCCGCCGCGAAAACCGATGTTGCTGACGATGTGATCGACTGGGAAGACGACGATGTCCCGGTTGAAGGTACTACGAAACCATCTACGGAAGCCGGTGCTGCGGCAATCGCGGCCGGCGGTAAGGGCCAGGTGTCCAACCCGGCTGCCGTTCCGAACCAGAAACTTGATACCGATCCTGCTGCAACCGATGACCTTAAGGTTGAGGCTGCTGGCGGGGAGGCTGGAAAGGATGCTGCGCCCGAGCAGGAGACTGAGGGGGCTGCCGCCCCGGCTGGGGAGGAGGGCGCGCCCGATGCTGCTCAGGAAGAGAAGCCTGCGCCCAACTTTGCCAAGGGTCTGCCTATTACGGAGTTGGAGGAGGAGTTGAGGAAGCGCAAGGCTCGTGCTGAAAAGTTCGGAATTACTGAGGACTCTCAAGCTGCTATCGCGCAGGCTGAGCAGAACATTGAGAGAGCTAAGCGTTTTGGAACCGGCGCGGACGCCAATGCTAGTGTTGGTGTCAAGGGGCTGGATGAAGCTCTTCCGCAAGAGAAGACCCGCAAGAGAGGCCGGAACGAGGAACAAGGTGGTCGTGGTGGTAAACGACGTAACTTTGGCGGGAGGGGGGGGAATCGCCCCCGTCGGGGTGGCCAGGGTGGTCAAGGCGGAAACAGGAACAAGACCAGCAACGGCAGCGGCGAGAAACCACAACCGACGCAGATGAGTGAGCAGGATCGCGCGGCCTTGGAGGCAAGAAAGAAGCGATTTGCTGCTGCGACATGATCACGGTTGTATTTGATGCTTGGCACTTAACACCATATTTGTACTTTTCTATCTTTTTGCTGGCGTTCGGGAGATATGCTCGATCTAGGGTCTATTAGATATCAATACTATCGTCATTGGATTCGCTACATATTTAATTGTCCTCCTAAGGCTACATTACATACGTACTTGTTTTTATAGACAGCTCGAAGGCTTTCTCTTTCCAGTTTAGTGCTCACCCCTCGCCGCTTTTTGCTCACTGAGTAGACCTGAGCACGCCCTGAGCGCCCTGAGCTGATCACTGAGCAGGGGTTGAGCAGAGGGGTGAGTAGCCTGAGTAGGGTAACCTCAATTAAATGCACCACGCTAGAGTTTCACCCGCTTCCATTTTTTCTTCTCGTGATTCTATATATATATCCGTCATTGCCCTTTCCCCTCTCGGGGAATTGCGGTCATCTTCCTTCTACCCCACCAGTGAGGCATAAATTCAAATGAAATAGTGTGAGAAAGAAGGGGTTGAGACAGCGTGATGAGCGCACTGCAAACTGTATGCGTAGTATTGACAAGACTAATCGCTGGTGTCCTAAAGTTCGACCACCAGCGCCGCGAAGTGTGTGTGTGTGTTTCTATTTAACGTCGAGGGTCGGGAATTTCCCATATTTCCCAAAGATCGACGGCGCTAGCCATTTATGGATGCACTAAGCTAACCACGGTTAGAATCGGGATTGGAGTGGGAATTTCCCGTTCCCATTACTCCCAACCCGCCTGCCTTATTGTAGCCTTGTGGTTTCGATGCCAAATACACCACGCGTTATATCTATAATCAGCGATTCTCCTGTCCTGAAAAAATATATATAAAAATAAAGTGGGCTCCTCTCTATTTACTGATATTTTTTTAATCTTTTTCTGGTGGCAGGTGCTGCAGTGAAAAATAAAAAATACTTGATACAGGAAATTACGGCTCCGTCACAACGATATATACATATATCTTGGACAAGGTTACTGCGCAACCTATAGATATGGCCGAAAAAGTTCATCAAGGGCATGTTCTAACAGTGGCTATGTTAAGAATAATAATTGAATCCTGAACTCAACACTTGATAATCTAAAATAAGAATCATTGGCAACGTTAATGAATATTACTGAGCTGGTAGTAGCCTCCTAACTCGATGGTTGAGGTTTCCCTGAAGAGGTTCCCCCGGATAATTACATAATCACGACCAACCAATCAAAAATCAGACCCGCACGAGGAACTCATCTAAGTATTGTATTCTGACCATGGTTAAATTAAGTATGTAATAGTATGTATTGGGAAGTTCGGGAACATGAGTTATTCTCATTTCCCACATTTCCCAACCCGACCATTCCCTAGGGGAGTAAACGGGAACTGCGGGAAATCCCAATCTTCCCCTTTCCCGCTACGAAAATTGAGGATTGGTCCCAATTCCCTACCCTATGCGGGATGGGAAGGTTTCGGGAACGGGAAATGCGGGTTGGGAATGATACTCTACGCTGTCCTCTCTGTAGAAAAGTCGGTTTGATTGAATAGGATTGGTTAAACAACATTACATTCTCCACCTTGATATAAGGTCCGTGCATTTTCCTAATACGTACTCTCGCACCCCCCAGGTCTCTGGCCCGAAAAGACCCCTTTTCCTCTCCACCTCCCCGCCATCATCTGAAGAAAGAGCCTATCCAACACCCATATACCGTAAACGGCTGCGGTGGGCCAAGCGTTGTCACAATGGCAGCCAATCCGCCACACTCGACTTTACATGACGGCCAGAGCGAATCTGATCTCGAGTTCGAAAGGTTTGAATACCTGGCCAGTCCTCGTATGTCTGTTCCTAGGCGTGCCAGCGACACCGAAATAGGCCTCCCAAAAACAGATGGTATGACTGTGCATACACAGGACCCGCAAACAGACACTGAAACAAAGCGATCTGGGTTCGATTGGAGCGGCTCCTGGGCATGGGAAATTGGATCTGTTACCCTAGCCGTCGTGGGCGTTGTTCTTTTGGTTGCCTTTCTTTTCAAAATAAACAATACCCCATACGCGAACTGGCAATATACCGTGTCCCCTAATACTGTCGTGTCAATCATCGTCACTATCACCAAAGCCGCACTGCTGGTCTCGGTGTCCTCGTGTCTCGGTCAGCTGAAATGGAACCTATTTCAAAATCCAGCGCCACTATATCAGATGCAGCTTATTGACCAGGCAAGCCGGGGACCCTGGGGATCTTTGGAAGTTTTACTGAGGGGAATATATGGGTCGAGAACAGGAAGTCTGACTTATATTGGGGCATCTCTCACGGTTCTGGCTCTTGCAGTGGATCCATTTGCACAGCAAATTTTGACGTTCCCTCCACGAACCGTTCCTGCACTGAATGCCACTGCATTTACCCAAACCTCACAACAATGGTACTCCATAGAGGGTTCCGATCAAAGTGACGTAGATACTGGGCTCGAGCCGACACTTCTTACTTCAATAATGAGAGGGCTCTTGGAGACATATAGTCCTCTTAGGCCTCAATGCAATGCAAGCTCTTGCAACTTCCCAGAGTTTGTTGCACTGGGGATGTGTAGCAAATGCGAGGATGTCACAGCTCGAACAAAGCAAAAGTGTCACGCGTCAGAAAATTCAATATTCTTGGATGCTATCGCCGAGCCCCTCAGGGCAAGCCCTACGAATTGCAGCTACCAAACCCCGAATAACTTCTCTTTTGATTTTGAAGAATTCCCCCACCCGCGCCTCTCGGGCGACAATATCATATATGGTATAAACCATTGGAGTTTACGTCCAATGGTTATGGACCTAGCTCTTGATATTCGAATCCCAACTTTTGACATTCAGACCCCAATTGGCTCCTTCACTGCGATAAATTATACCACCGAGGTTACCTACGCTATATCCAACGCGACAGCCCTCCCACCAAAGCCATCGGTAACACAATGTGCTGTATACTTTTGCGAGCGACAATACACAGCGAGCTCCTACCTGTCTGGCGACCGAAAAAGTCGTCCAATGCATGTTGGTGATACACAGCAGCTCATTCCTACAGAGGCCCTTGAGGATCCTCTTTTTACCCCAAACCGTCCTGTTCACTTTGCACCCCCGGACGGGTCCGCAACCCTATCAAAGGACTCGTCATACAGCATCGATCTTCGCACATTCGGCCATTTCGCAGATACAATGATGAGCTTTTTCAATAGTACAACTCAATTCGGTGGAGCGGTATCAACATCAACTGTGTTGAAACTGGGAACGATCCTGCGCATGGATAACCTCAACCGATTGCTCGATTCGATGTCCATCAGCGTCACTGATACCTTCCGCATGAATCCCCTTGGTCACAAGATTCCCGGGAAGGCATTTCGAGAGGAGACATTTATTCATGTCCATTGGCCATGGATTATTCTTCCGGTCATTGTTACTCTGGGATCAATTGCCCTGCTTCTGGGAACTGCAATAGGAAGTAAACACCGGAAATCTGTGCTATGGAAGTGTATGGTGCTTCCGTTGTTAACAAGCCATCTCGATACTACACCAGAGAATAGGATTGCGTCTGTGCGCAGCGTGGATGGGATGACTGATATGTCGAAGAAGATGCGCGCTGTAATGGTACATGATGAAGGGCCACTTATATTCAAGGAAAAGTAAACATGTGCCTGCATGCGGCACATAAATGAAGATACGAATGTACGAGCTATTGAGTTAAGCCATCAAGGGATTTATTCTATGTCTTTCCCAATATATGAGTAAGAACAATTCCATGTTTTACTTAGTAACAAAACGACAAACACCACATTTACGAGATATTGTATCTCTTCAGCAAGAAGACATTCTCCAACACTTGGATATATGTAAATATATACAACGCGCTACACATTTCAGTAAACCCTTGGGGGTGAGGGTCACGCGACGCTCATCTTAGTCGCGCATGAGTGATCAGCCAAGACGCCGTTCACTCTTCGTGCTGAACAGAGTTTCCACTAAATGCCAGACTGAGGGTGTTAGTTGGTAGACTCATTTAATAATTATAATTTGCTGTACAGTGCGGCTTCGCTTAGCCGATATAATTCTTCCCTCGATATAATATCGGCTATCTGAGGTTGTCGCAAAGGTGAGGTTCATTGGTTAGTTATCTAAGCCAACTATCTAGTGTGCCTTGGACTTGCGATGCGACAATCTCACTTTCCAGGTCTCGCTCAAGACGCTCAAGAGGCCGAAGAAGAGATGTTCTTGACACACCCTGCCCTTCCATATAAGAAATAAGCAGCCGTACAGCATTCAGAGCATCTGATGGCTTTGGAAGTGGTGCTGGCTCTGGAGAATCATCCTCTTCATCATCATTATGTACACCACCAGTATCCAAAGCCCCTGTAATCAAATGCTCAAGTAAAGTCTCAGATGACAGCTCTGCCTCACTTTCAGTAGTTTCCAATGACTCCTCCATTGAGTTTAGAAAATTTGTGATATCCATGCAGTTTGAAAGGCGGCCAGTCTGCTGTACCTGATTGTAAAGAGGTGATAGATTGGGAGATTCGATTGGAAGCTGCACTGGATTGAGAACAAGTGTGCTTTTATAGGAACAGGCAATGATGGTTGTGCTTAATACATCATGATTCCATGCCCGTACATGTGACGGTCAAATGCTATAGAGCCGGAGGGAGACTTTCTCGGACGTATCATATGTGAAGTATCATATGAGACACATTGGACGTGACAGGTCAACGCCGTGTCTAGATAAATACCCTCTCCTCCCTCTAGATAGATTCCGTTCTCCAGATTCGAGATCCTCGTCGATGGCTACAATAGTTTAGATAGGAACATCGATTCATTATTATCTGCTATTCCGAGCCCGTGACAATTTACACTCTTCGATTCTTCTTCAGCGCTCGAAGCAGCAACAGGGAGAATAGTCTGCAAAACAATGGAAAATGGACAATTCTAGGCAAAATATGAAAATAGGCAGTGGAGGCAGCCGGGAGGTGGGCTTCTACAGCGATTGCAGCATAATTAGGACTGGCAGAAACATTTCAGGTCAAGTCATTTTATGTGTAGGAATTCTTTTCTGGCTGTTTCGTATTAATCCCATATTATCTAACAAGGGTGAAAAATATGCTTGAAGGAGGTGAACACGGGCATAAGAGGGCAAAATGGGAGGAACAGCAACGGGCAAAAAGGTAAGTGAGCTAACAGGGCCTGGCTAAGTGCCAACTGGGCAAAATCATAGAATCGGCAATAAGTGCGTGTTAGAATCCAAAAATTTTATTTCTCAACGAAATGATCGTTCAGTTGATGTACTCATTTTAGCCCCTGAGCACCCTCATAGAAGCGGTGGCATCCGGAAGGGGAAAGTCACGGTCGCTCTAGAAAATCAAGTTCGTATAGGCACATATATACTCCGTAGTATTGACAGCTATTCTCACCATGGTCGACGCCGGCTGAAGGCCGCATTAGCACCAATGCCGGTTCCTGATCAGCTCCGATCTGCAGCACTGCCGACATGGACAGCCTGATCTCTTCTCTCACAAAGAAAGATGTCTTGAATACGGAGTACTCCGTTTCCCACAGACTCCAAAGCCAACAATTCGACACCAACAGGTGACTATACAATCCGTCGGTTTCAAAACTTCCAACGGAGGACCCGAAGCGACTCCATCCCAACAACTTATCTCCCAGCGAGCGAGCGCTATTAACCGCCGACTCCACCGGCAAATATCACAATCACAGGCAGCGCTGTTGCTTTCGCTTTGTGCTGCGCTGCTTCACTCCATTTTCCCCTCTGGCGAATGAATCGCCATTTCCGCCCTGTCGCATTGTTTGCCCATCGTGGCCGTGTCAACCCGGTGGACTGACTCGTTTTCCAATCACCGCCCAGATTCGCCCTGCCGGGTTTACCCTGGGCTTTAGTGGCGGATCAGAAAATTGAAAAAAGCGGGGACCCACGGCTCAGCTCCAGTGTCTGTGGTCAGTCAGTCAGGACTCGGATTGCGCAAAGTACGGAGACGCCGCGCAGGATGCTTTTACTATGTATTCTGTATGTGTGCTTCGTACGAAGTATGGAGGCATGAGACAAACGGAAAAACGGCGCCCGTGAACAGACCTCGATTTGGCCCTGCGGATAGCGTTCCCCGGAACACGGTGGACCGGGGGGTTTCTGTGCAATCGGAGCTTTTGTTTGAGAGTCAAGAATGGTAGGAATGGCTCGGGTCGAACCTTCTCGCCCTCCATAAGGACACCAGGTTAAACGGATGGCAGAGATGAAGGATGGGTTTGGATCTAACACTTTCGGCCGGGTTTTGACAAATCTTGGTATACGAAGTACGGAGTACGGAGTACGGGAGATACGGGATTGTCAAGAGATTTTAGGATGATCGGGTTCGTCCTAGTGGAAAAGCATCTACTCGAATGGTCTAGGCAAGTGCGAGGAAGATGAATATCCAGGGAGTCCACAAAGAAAATTTCAAGGTCCTTTACACTCCGGGAATCATATTCGGTGCTGTGCAGAGTATATGGTGCCCCTAAGGTGACTAAAGCTGCCATCTCGACCCAATAGTAGCCAGCACAGCCAGACGTCTCGAGTCATATGTGATGCTTTTTCTCCATGGTTCACGGAGCTATGATAGGAAATGAATGCGATGAAGAACCTGTCCGTGCACGTGATCGGCCATCATGTGGGATGCGATACTTGGATGGCCATTTCTGCGTAGTCAATTGAAGAGAACAAGAATAACAGAATGACAAATATCAGATACCAGTACTATGGACAGAGAAAAAAGGAAGAGAAGATGAGCCACGACCCGGCATTGGTGTCCGGACCCCCGATGTCGCCGGCATTCGAGAAAGCCCCAACTCAAGACCCGACAAAGTACGGAATCCTGACAGAAAAAGGACCAAGAAAACCACAAAAACAGTACATTTCTTTTTCTTGTAGACTGCTTTTTGACTTTTCTTTTCCTGCTGTGATTCCGGACGAATGAGCGCTCTCATCACGGCGCTTTCTTTTTCAAAACCCGGCGATCGCACCGGAGTCAATTCAATCAGAGCAATCAAATCCCTTAGAGGACGCCCTTCCTCAGTCTTTTTTCTTCAAAATGGAGAAAATCCTGAGCCTAATCGGACGTGACAGGAGGCGATGTTCTGCTGCTTTTCCCCACGCGTTGGCCTTCAAAAGAAGCGCCTCGTGCTGTGCCCGTGCTCTCGTGCTCTCTTTCTCTCTTGTTTACTTGCTTACTCACTAGACAACTGTCACTCTTTTTCTTTCCTTTACTTTCTTTTGCCCTCTTTTTCACTTGTATGCGAGTCAACGTCGTTTGATTCTTTTTATATATACTCTGACGTGTTTGCGGATCGCCACAGTCACTGCCACAGCGTGTGGCGGAGTGGGTGCATACTAAACAACCCTCGTTGTCTTTATACGCCGTAGACCCTTTGGTCAGCTTGGGTTGATTAAAGTTGGAGCTCACTATCTTTTGGGGCTATTGGATTATTTAAAATCGTTTGAACATCGTTGGCTGTGTCCACCGTTTGCCGTACTATACCCTGTTATACCCCACAAGATACCCGCTGAAACCTCCCGGATTTCTCGTTATAATCGCCATCTGATATGGTATAAGGACCTGAGATGACCCAAGAGTGTAAGTGGAACCGTCTTCTGTACGCGCAGAATGCGACACTCATCAAAATACAGAAACCGTGGCGAACACAAGACGGAATGATACCAGGTTCTGACCATCTTACACCCATTGACACTTCTTTTCTTTCCGAATTGGAGCCTGGGATAAACCACACATTCAGACTGCCATGCTGTACAAGTCTGATGGTGGCCGGTTCAGGTCGCGGTATCTCATGTCTCAAACCCGAAAGACATCTTCAATAACAGATTCGGCAAAGAAAACCGATGTCTCGCCCATTTCACCATCTTCAAAGTCGCAGGCGACGGCAAGACAGACTCAGGCAGATCATTCATCGAAAACAAAACGGTCATCGCTTCTTCCCAACGCCGAAGAGGCCCATCCGACCGCAGCATCCAGACAAAGCAGGAGCGATGTCCGGTTATCACTTCTACCACGGCCAGCTGCTCCGAACCAGACCTCTAATGGCTCGCAGGCTGCGAGTCGGACTGCGCAGTTGACCGTCAAGTTCGAGAAGCAGACGCCAGATGAAGACCAACCGCGCAACATGCTCCGTAGGAAGGCTCCGACAATCGGACAACCTAAGAAACCAAATGGCCAAGGACTCGAGAAGTTACGCGTTGTTATTCCGAATACATCTCGCCGGGGCAAATCCATCAATGTGACTCCACATCTATCGGCTCAGGAGGAGGTGACCAAGAACAGCCCTTCCTCGTCCGTTCAGCAGAGTCAAACCGTGAAAGATTCCGAGCCAGCGATCCAAGGCCCCAAGGAGCTGGCAAGTCTCCGGACAACGATTAACACACAGAATCTGCTGCCGCCCACGTTTGCCTTGCATTCCGCGAGCAGTCTTTCCACAAAGTGTTCCGAGTCGCCAGGAATATGGAGTAGGGGTTCAACCCCAACTACTGCGATATCCTCTTGTTCTCCGGGTGTCTTCTACTCCCCTAAGATCGGTAATTCGAGACATTTAAGTCCTTCTGAGACCAGACTTCCCGTATACTCGCCGTTGACGCAGATATCCAGTCCGCTGAGCGAGTCGGACCGGAAATCGATCAGATCTCCCAGTTTGGACAAAGCAACGGCGTCGCTGGCTTCGCTCGTCAATTCAGAACAGGAGGAACCGCCAAAAAGCACGGATTCCCCAAGGTCACATTTATCCCCCAAAAGTGCTCTGCCTCGGAGAACATCGGTTTATTCCAATCTCCCTGTGCGCACGAAAGCAGATACTCAAAAAGACCAACAGGAACCCGGGAAGAACGTTGCAGAAACTCTAAGATCACCAACGGTACCGAGCAAGCTGAAGAACTCTGGATCTGCGCCACCACGACCAACCAGAAACGGGACCGATCAATTAGAGTTGGAGCCATCACCTGTGATCCGGAGCGATTTGCCCCCAAAAATAGTATCTAACCATAAGCGGCGGGAATCTCTGGAAAAGAACTCTACTTCAAAATCCTCGACACATTCCGCCACAGCCTCAACAGATTCGCTTAATACAAGAAGACAGTCCCGAATTCCATCGCAGTCGACATCGCAGGCGATGTCGCAAAAGCTCTCACAAACGTCATCGAAGGAACGATCGGAAAAACAAGATACAAAGAGCCCGACTACTCCATCCTCTGCAACGACCAGGCGGTTCGGTCTTTTCCCCAAGAAACCGAAACCGGAGGCCGATGCACAAGCCTCGGTGCAATACCGACTACCTCGAAAAGGCCCGGTCGCGCGAACAGGCCACGAAGGGTATGGAAGATATGCTCAACGGGATCGGAGAATGAGCACTAGTAGCAACAGCAGTGCTACCAGAACGAGACCCACGAGCACCGCCGAGAACACGCCCAAACCTACCTCGAATCGCAAGGAGAGCTTAAAGAACAGACCAGATTTGGAGTTTGATGACTTTCTGCGAAATCGCTTGGAACCTGTTGTTATTAGTGGCGGTGGTGGTATGGATGGGAGACCGTCGTTGATGCGGACAGAAAGTGAGCAGAGTGTCATGAGTGGTTGCAGTGCGATATCTCCGTCGAATACTGCACAACACGCGCAGGGTGCATATTCGACTGCGTGCTCGACAGATTCTCTGGCTACTTTGTCAGCAACCGCGGGCGATCCGAGCATTAAGCAGAGGACAAATTCCGAAGGTGGTGTCCAGTCTCATGTCCCAATCTCCAGACTCGGGGGCGCATTCCATCGTGCTGCAGCATCGCAACCGTCTTTTTCTCGAACTTCCAGCCAAGCTCGTTCGGAAAAAACGCCAAACCCTCCACAGGAGAAGGGCAGAAAAAAGAGTTTCAGAAGCTTCTTCCAAAGAAGCTATTCCAAGCCGCGCAAAAACTCTACTACTGAGGCACCTCCATCCTCCGCAGCTCAACTCCCCGCACAGGTAACTCCGGTACCAATCAACCGACCCGTTGCGCACTATGCTCTCCTCGATACCGATCCGGACTCCCTAGAAGATGTCATGCACGACATCGAAGACTCGCCACCAACAGACTACGATTATTCAGAACCCGGTCCACCTGTAGAAGTTCCGGCTGCTTTGAATATACGGAAATCAACGTTGCTTCCCTCGCCCCCGAGACTGCAGACTGAACTGAATGCTGGTTGGCAATCTCCGCCAAAGGTGTATATGAACAAAAGTCCTATATCGTGCAACCCTGAACCTGAGGAGAGACCTATGGCCAGACGCCCAAGTCGACTAGCATCCATTGGACGCATCCC